GGAAAATTTCCAAAAAAAAAAAAAAAAAACATAACAAAACCACTTCCATTCCTCCCTCCCATCCCTCGTCGGAATTAAAACAAAACCGAAACAAAAATAACGCGCGTTTAATTAAATATATATATATATGATATTGTATATCAGAGCGAATAACTTTTTAATTACGCGATTCGGACGGGCGCGGCGGCCCCGCGGGCCGCGTACGCGCTCGGTATGAGAAAATATAAAAAAAAAAATAAATAAACGCCGCCGAGAATAACAATGACAAACGCACAAACGACCGCCGCGCGTACCGGCGGCGGCGGCCCGTAGATAAGAGGAGCGGCGAAGGGCACGAAATAATAATAATAATAATATATACGCGGTCGTATTATAATAAGTCGCGCGGGCACGAGAGGCAATCGTTTTATTCAAATGCGAAAAACCTCTCGAGCGGGCCGCCGGCGTCCTCATAAACGGCGATCACGTTTTTCACGGGACTTCCGAGGGCGGCGGCGGCGGCGGCGGCGGCGGAAAGAGCGGCCGTTATAGCCCGGCGAGTAGGTGCGTGGCGAGCGGTAGGTATTCGTCCCATCTCCCCACCGCCCGCGACCGCCGGCAAAAGCGATAAACTCGCGAGCGGCGGGGATCAGAGGGCGATGGGGGGGGGGAGCAATGAATTAACGCGCCGAAATTAATATTCGTCGAGCGAATATCAGCGGCGGAGGCGGAGGCGGCGGCGACCACGCGCCATCATCGTCACGCTGGTTCGTGGCCCCGCGTCACCGGAGTGACGCCGGAGAAAACGACCGCGACGAAAAGAATGTTCGCAATACATTATTGCGTATGTTTTGTATAGTAATGTGTTGAGCGGTTACAGGGGGTGTCGGTTTTTCGCCGAGCGACTTTCAGCGAGTCGTCCCGTTCCCGTGGTTTTCTTTTTTTTTTTCGATTCCGAACTACGCGACTAGCGTGTCTGCAAAAAAATTTTCTAAAACAAAATGCGTTTTTATTTTTACATACACATCAGTATACAATTGTGGCCATCAGACCATAAATCCCGACGACTTAGTTCAAATCCACATCTGATTATTATCGAATTCGAAAAAAAAAAAAAAACACCAACACTGCGGGGGATGGGCGTGTCGCTGTTTTTAATTTTTTTTTTTTTTTAGTTGGGAAGTTGGGAAAGTAAGATGCATAACGTTTTTTAATTGTACGCAAAGATAAACCATTGCTAACGAAACACGCGATTCTAAGCGATGTGCGGTTAAACATGTTATGGAATTAACTCCTCGGCTGGATCCGAAATGCAACAAAAAACGATCTCTTGTCGGTTTTCGATTGGACCAATATTTCTGGTAAAAAATGCGCGAACAGATACAAAAAAAAATAATCGCATACCTCCATGGCTACATCATAGTAAAACCAATAGGCACATTCTTTGCACCGCTAAAAATCGAAAACAGAAGTCATATTCACTTAAGATCCTCCGAGAAAATTACTGGATCGCGACGAAAGAAACACCCTGTATCACATTATTTAATATTATTAAAACACGCACATTGCGTGCGATTTTAATACGGACCCACGTCTTTGCGGGATCAGTTTAATACCGTCGAAAATTTCACGTCGACGTGCCTCTCTCTCTCTTATACCGCGCACCGGTAATAATAACGGCAAAATATCTTCTCGTTTGTGTCGAAAACGACCGGCCACCACCACGGCCGGTGGTGGAGAGAGCTCGAACTTAAAGGATCCGAATTCGAGATTTGAATATTATTTTAATCCGGATATTTACATATTACGCATTCACCGAGACTTGAGCAGAAAACGATTATAATATGGTCATACACATGTTATAATACTACTATAAAGGGTTCCGCCCCTCGTCTGTATTCCCGACAGTATAAACCCAAAAGGTACCCACAGGTTTTTATAACTCTGTAAAATTAACAGAAATTATAAAAACGAAATAGTTGTAAATTCAACGGATTAACAGTATCTGCCGGGCTACAGACGATAATACTATATGAATAGTAATAATTCGATTTACACATAGATAATAAAATCTGGAAAAAGAGCACGTTAAATTAAAACGTATAGAGAAAAATATTTTGGAGGGGCGGTTATAGGCTATTTGTATTATTCAAAATAGGTATAACCCAGTTTGATATAGAAGATACAAATATTTTTTTTAAAATAACTGAAACTTTTTTGATAGTTCATAATTCAAAAAACCCACCAGACGTTTCCTCAAAATATTGTTCTCTATGTATTTCATAATAGATACTTTAATTCTAAAATCAAAATTAAGCTAGTTTTACTTATTCCGCATGTTACCCGGTAGTTGGACTGACAGCAGATGTGAGTATAACGTCCTATTAATGATCTGGTGAGCCCAGGAATCGAAATTGAATATGTATCCTCGTTATAATATACGTCTATGTTTGTTCTATACATTTCTTTAACAAACATTTTATATAACTGTTCATCTCCTTAATGGGAACCTGTGACAGTGTTTTAGAATTATGAAATATATTTTATGAAACACCACAATATGTTCGAAAACTATAATTTTACAAAATGTATAGATTATCAAACCAACAGTTTTGACGCTTCTCGACATACATTTATTTATAATACTTCTATTTAAAAAGTCTTGTTGTGTACCGGTATCACTGAAAACATTTATTTTGCCGTAAACTTAAACTCCTAGAACGGATCAGTCAGTGTTTAATCCAAGTATATGACAGGGGATAAAAGCCCAACCGTTAAATATGGGTAGTTAATAATTAATTAATTTAACAAATTCATCTGGTCTTAGTAAGAGTAGATAAGCGAAAAAGAAAAAGGTCATAATTATAATTTTAGTATTGCCCCCCCCCGCCCTCAGAAATTGTCTGGAACACTGGGATCAGCTGCTACTAATATGTTTGCCTTGTTGTTCCCCTAAATTTTGAACAACCAAAATCCTTTTCCCTGTGATAATGCACCCCATCATAACCCTATATTATAACCTCTCATTGGAAATTCGTTTTACTCACGCATCATAATATTCATTGTTATGACCATAGATAATAAAGACTTTATTGTTATGACATTTGTGCACGCGATAGTACTATAGATTAATGTAATAATACAGAATGCATAAAGGAACTTCTTATGTATATAATATTTAATATTACATTGCCCAGAATCAGAACAGATAGTAAAAAAAAAAAATAACACCACTGGCAAAGCCACGTACAGATTAATGGTGATAACGCAGTTCTCTACTAATCTTAATTTATACGAAGGATTTTCTTTTTGTTTTCCCCATAATAAAGTCACTGCAAAACCACTACAACCACTAGGCCACGCCGCTTCGTAGATACACTCACATATAAATAGTGCACGTTTAATTAAAAACTGATAGTATTATGATGGAACACTAGTAGTATAGTAGTAGTTGCGACCGATACTGAATTCAATTAATAACAAGATAGCCTATAAACAGGTTGGGAAAAATCCTCGGTATGCGATAGGGCAAAAATAGTTGCCTGTAGTGGAACCAACAATAAGTAGATTAAAACAAATTCCCTTTGTGAATGTTTTATGGTCTCTTGCCTAAGAATAAGCATAAGGCCACCACATTTCCACAAGCACTTACTCTACCAAAAGTACATTTTTTTATTCAGTGAAAGGTGTTCTTTTTATTTTTAGTAAAATAGTTTTTTCATCTTTTGAGTGAAGGGAGTATACGTACCCTTATATATGGCAGCTTCGTATAATTCAAATAACATTAACCATCATCCCAATGGTTAACAAGAAATGATAGAAAATTGTATTACTAAATATTAAAAAATAACATCAAATATACAAATTCAAGACATTAGTTTGTAATAAATAATCAAATAGATACAACATAATATAATAGATCTTAACTTGTTACATAATTATTTTATAAATGTGATGGAAAAAAATATTATATAATTATACTAGTAAAATATGCATTTTTAAATACAAATCATAACTCATTAAATAACAATACATATATTTTTATCTGAAAAATAAGAATAAGTCAACAATATAAAATTGAAATATAATAATTACTGAGGTGTGAAGCAAATCATTTTGTGTATACAACTTTGTTGAAGCAATTTCATCTCTAAACACTAAAAGAAAAAAAAAAGTATTATTAATAATAATAAATATTACAAAATATTTTAGTAACTAATGATATTGTGATACTTGATAAAAGGAATTAAACATTTCAAATGGTTTACATAAAAAAGCTAATAACTAATCTAGATTTATACAGGGTATCTCACAAAGATATACCCATTACAATATTTTCCGAGACAATAAAAAATAATCAAATTCTGTTTATTTTTATATTATTACTCAAAGAGATAAGAATTACAAATATTTATATTTGAATTAAATTTTTATGTTTTAGTAAAATTCTTCAAAAATTTTTTTTGAAGATATTTAAAGTTTATTCTTCTGGGGCAGAGTGTAATATCTCAGGAGAAATTGCAATGGGTGCATCTTTGTAGGACACTCTGTATTCTCTTTAAATAGCCAAAATATGTATGTATATGAAATTATTTACATTACATCAGAATATGTGCTTTTATAATATATATATATATATATATATATATAAACCGTGGGCATATTTTACTCCAGCAGTTGAGCATAATATTATCATATCCAATAAAAAATTGTGTTATGCAAAAAGCCATGAACTACTTATTATAATTTATAAAATATCTTTTTTCATTAAAAAAATATAAAACTAACTATGTGTATTATTAAATACAGTTTAGAAAATGTATGGACATTTAATAATTCCTAAAATAAACTGGCATTGAAAACACTACTATATTATACGAGAAATTATAAAATAAACTTGTAACAATGGTTAAAATATCCATAAATTACTAATTTACAGAAATATATTTGAATCTGCATATTTTTATCAAGTGAAATATGTATGTATATGCAAAAAAAATGATGTAAAAACGTTTTAAAATCATATTCTAAAATGTTACATTGTTCTTTTTTTATCACCATTATTTCTGAGGTTGAAACGGCTACCTATTTCTGATTTTCAACTGGTAACCTATATTAAAAATTTCATAAATAGATGAAGTACAAGTTTAAAGTTAAGGTAGGAGTAGTGGAGCATCATTTGAATAGCAGCATGGACCGCGGAATTTCAATAGTTCTCTACTATTCCTCCCCAGCTCAAACTAAACAGTCGAGTATTTCATCAATAGGTTGATGGAAATCAATTACTTCAGAAAAATCTTATTATCTTATAATCTTATTTATAGAATTTTTGATAAATGTTGCTTTATAATATCAAACACTGGTAGTTTCACCTCTGAAAATAAAGATAATATAATATTTATAGTACTTCATGATAAATTTGACTGAATCGTGAATGACCCTGTATATTAATTATTTTACAAAATAGTTTTGAAGAGAACAATGACATACTCATGAGTATAACTGTAGAAAGCAGTGAGATGGGTGGGTACTTTTGTTAACTGCATGTGCTCTCTGTGCCACTATCTATATATATCAAACTATAATAATATATTATAAACATTCTTTAACATTTAAGTGGGTCTAATGAAAATCATAATTTTGTTTGCATTACTATACTAAAAAAGAAAATATTTAGTTATTTTTGAGTTACTATAGTGATAAATTATTGTTTATTAAATAACTATTAAATTACACTACACACATTTTGTAGACAAAAAAAAAATAAAACTATATGTATTATAATAATGAATACTGAAGTGTAATCAATTTGTATGTACCTATTGTATTTTAAAAGTACAAGAGGACCACGGAAAAAATGCTCCAAAATCATATGCGGCCCGTGGACCTCCAGTGAATATTAATTTTAAAAATTGAATTAATTATTATAATAATTATATACAAAAATACCTTTGGTATAATTGAATGTTAAAAGATACACGATCTTCAGCAGGATCATCAGCATCAAATATATCAACAATTTGAATATCATTATTATTAGTAGATACAACTTTAACATCCAAAGATTTTTCATGAATCATTTCATGTAATGCTCTACACAGTTTATCTGTAAGCTTTTCTGGTGGGAATAAATTAAATTCAACTTTTAAAGCCTATAAAACATCAAACATTTAATAAAAAAAAATAACAAAATACCAATAAAAGAATAAATTCTATTTGCTCTTCTTCATAATTTACAAGGCATGTAACTAGTAAATAAATCATTGTACAAATAGTGATGGGTCGAACCTTGATTTTTGACATTAAATGGAACTTTCACAATATTTTTCAGTCTAACTTTAACTTAAATTTTTTTCCAAGTAGATGTATAATAAATGTAAATCAATCATAATTACAATTGATTTTTATTTTTAAGTCTATATAGGACCTTAGCCATATAATAGAAATTATAATACCCTGTATAACTTGTAAATACAAACTGTAGAAAATTATAAATAGATTTTTCACATTTCATAATATTATTCATTCTTAGACATATACAAGGTTATTGCATATATACTCAAATATTAGATGATAAAAACAAAAATAGGAGCGTGAATAAAATTTGAGTTTTGAACTGTCAGAATAAATTTGACAAATATTTTAAAGTTTGACTTTGAAACAGTATTAAAATGTTCGATTTGACATTTTTTCATTGCATACTCAAGATTCAGTTGACAGTTTTGACCCATCACTAATACACACTGTTTACAAATAAATTGTTTTTTAGAATTTACTATTCAAAAATAGTAAAAATATATATCAAGTATAATTATTATATATTTTTTAAAATCAAATATCAATAACCTGAGGGCTAATTGAAGCCAACAACACATCAACTGATTGAAGGTCAATCAACTTATCTTGATCAATATAACCATAGTTTCCATAGTCGACAAAATATACTTTGAACTAAAATTACAAAATAAAATCATATAAGTACAGATAAATAATGGTGTGCACTGTAACCAACTTTTTGATCAGGAAATATAAAATCATCAATTACTGCCCTGCTCCACATTCCAAGTTCAGTGCATTTAACTAGGTATAACTTATGAGGTGATATACTTTTTTTAGAATAAAGTTGATCTAGTGGACGAGAAATAGAAATTGAATCCAATATAGATTCCATAATCAATAATGTATCATTTGGTGGGTGTATGTATACATAACCTTCAGAAACAAAAGCAAATTGAATTCCTTTACACATACCATCAATCTGAAAAAAATTCTTATTAATATTTTCAATAAAATTAAATATAATTTACATAATTTATTATAAAAACAATATAAATTATTAAGAATATAATATATAACAATAAAATAATTACCTAACCTATTAAATATTTGAATACAAATTTAAAATGCAGTAATATTGTAACAATGCATTATATTATACGATTGTAATACCATTATATAATTACAAAATAAAAAGAGTTAATTTTCTAATCAAGTAATCTGATATATATATATATATATTAGACAGATCCTTAGTTATAAGATTTAAATTATCAATTTTGTTTCAGGACCCTCCCCCCATATATTTTTCCATTAATATACAAAAATAATTTAGGTTAAATTTGGTGATAACTAACCCTCTTCCCATGCTGCAAGAGAGTAGTTTTAGTTTTTCGAGTTAAACTGAAAATATATAGCATCTACCACATAAATGTAGAAGACATTAATTGTAAATTATAATATTGTACATAAATTCACTTAAAAAAAATTATTTAATTTATTTTGCAAAATTGAAAATTTTTTCAATTATTTAAATATATCTATGTAGCTTTAGCATTCTACTCCTATTATACATCGATTATTTTTCCAAACTCATGTGTAGTGGCACGGCACAGCATGCGGCGTTTAAATAGTATTCTATTACTCTCCACCTGCCTAAACTAAAAAGTTGAATATCTCGACAACGGGTCGACAGAAATCAAAAATATCATCATCAAAATTTATTTAAAATATTACTCCATTTATTTATAGAATTTTTAATATAGTTTCCTATTTAAATTTCAAAATTTAAAACCCAAACTCTCCCCCTTCAAAACAAAATGTTAAACATATTTTAGGAGTTTATAAGTAAAGAAACTTTTGTATTTAACGTTTTTCTTTATTTTTAATATTTACAGGAGAAAATTGCTGTAACATAAAATTCTAATTACCATGTATATTTTTTATGGATATATACTCAGTGTTACTATATACTTGAATTGGAAAAATAAAAAAAAGTAGTGTCCCTAATAATTATTTAACACAAGGTAACACGTCAGGGGTTTAGTCCACACATATTCTCACTAAAACATATTTTTAAAGATAACTGTAATTTATCAACTTTAGCAATGATGGTTTCAGTTATAAAATAGGTCTAGTTTAAATGTAGACATTTTTTTTTTTTTAATTGTATTTCAGTGAAAAATAATGTAATACTTTTAGTATATTACAATTTAAAGACATGATACAGTTTTCAAAACATTCTGTCAAATTTTTCTGTTATTTATAGACATTTGAAATTTTGAATTTTATTTGGTTTCATATGATTAAAATTGATTTGGTACAACAAAATAAATAGAAAATTGAACACAAGGTTTATCATGAATTATAATTAGTGGTAAAAAAGGGAACTTTTTAAACATGTTTCAACTTAAAAGTTTAAAATATATACTGCCCTACATGTTCTACTTAACTATTAGAAGAAAATTAATATTTCTTTAAAATTAGTTTAAGTAAATAGTCCCCCTCCCCATTTGAGCACTGTATATACTATACATGGTATACTGTATTCGGTAAAAGTACAATGGTTAGATTGCTAATCTTTTATTTTAGAATGCCATCACTACAGCTATTTTCATTACGAAGACCTATTTTTAACAAGTAATTATAATTTAGTACAAACAACTATCAATTGAAATATTTTCCAATAGCAAATCTGACAGTGAAATGAGCCAATAATAACATTTTATACTATTTTTCCTAAGGTATCTATTGATTTTTATACCTACATATGAAAAATATATTTCGTAATCCAAATTCTATGATGTAAGGTATCTAATGTAAAATTTACATCAAATTAAAAATATTTATTATACAAAGCCAATGTCTAATTCCTACATAAAATAACTAGGTTGAAATTATTCAAAATAAATATGTACATGGAATATCTAAATGTTATATTACTTGATCAAAATTGGAATTGTCTACAATAGCTTTCAAAACCATTTTATTCATATTACATTTCCCATTGTATAAAGTGATCATTGGAATTTCACTTTCTATATTATCAGGTACAGCAGTAAATTCATTACCAAACAATATTTTTTGAAACACTTCATTAGCTACTTTAAAATAAGGTGCAAAAAATAGAGATGACAGTGAACATTTAATAGCCTGAAATAATATTAATATAAAAATAGATAGGAAAAAATCAATAAAGAACATTATTATTTTACTTGTGAAGGAGTGCTCATAAATTTTTGGGGTAAAAACATGACAGAACTTTTTGAGACATACCATTCCATGCCCAAATCAATACAAACACCAGTAACAGTATCATCTTCAATTCTACTGACTTGATATCTATACCACTCATTTTCTATTTGAATAGCATAAATATCAAAAATCTCAATATTAAACATTTTATTAAAATGTTTAAACTCATCTGGCGTATTCATCAATTTAAACAAAGTATCAAAATCATCCTATACAAAAAATAATCCTAGTAAATTTAAATATTTAAGTCAAACAAACTAATATACTAATATTAAGTACATTTATTCTATCATGAACAAACATAATCCAAAATGTTTTGTTACTATCAACACAAGTTACAGTTACACTTCTTTCTGTTTTATCAATTAACTTCATCAAGGGAAGATTGATGTCTGTTACAGAATTATCAAATATTTCTTCCAATTTTTTTTTTTCTTCCTTAAAAAGTAATCAAAATTCATTGAAATAAAATTGAATTATTAAATTGTTGTAAATATTTTTTGCTAAACATACAGGTGTAGTATAATATAAAATAGATTTGTTCTGTTTTGGTAAATTGTTAATTGTAATATTTAATGTGAACTTGTTTAAATGTGTTAACCAGTCTGATGGTAAACACTCATTATAAACTTTTTTATAAATATCTTCCACTTTATCACAAAATAGACCAGCATAATTTTTCTGCAACTCCTATAAACATCTTAATTAGAATAAATATAAATTAATTTATCAGCAAAATAAAATCAGACCTTCTCCAATCTCTCAGCAACAACTTCCATATTTTCGGTAATAGGTATATTTTTAAAACTATGAGTCTTTTTCAGAATAGATAATGCATTTCGAGCAGCAATTTGTTCAGCTACTTCAGGAAGAGAATATTTTTCCGGGAATGAACTCGCAAGAGATGTATCGCCTTGCTAAAAAAAAAAAAAATCAATTTAAATACAAATGCAACAGTAATTGTTAAATTTAAATAGTTGACTATTATGTTATAACCAAAGACTTTACTATATTTAATACACAAATTCTAATTAATAAATAATAAACCTTATTATAAAATTTGTATTCTAATTAAAACAATATGAAAGTACAGTATAATCAAGATTATTGTCAGATCAGAAAAATAATATTGTTTTATTTTAAAAGAATTGTATGTAAATAATTACTTATTATAATTTCTACAACAAAATTTTATATTTCATCTATCTTTAAAACTCTAATTTTAATAGTCTGTACACAGACTGTCCTCATGTCATCACAATTAGGTTTGTTCATTGTTTTTATTGAGTTTTTCCTAATTAATGGGAAAAACTGAGAAAGAGGTAAAATATTAAACTAAATATATATTACATATATGTTAGGCCCGTTCCTGAGAGGGGAGAGGACGATGGGAGCTTTTGAGGCAAGAGAGAAGTAGACATAATAGATATAATCAATATATTAATTGATATAATTTTTTAGATTCTGAATAGTGAAGAATGTAGATATTGGTTTTTAAAAGATCTTTATTTTTATTCTATGACAAAAATGTCTACCAAAAATCGTGTCCCCGATATGTATGTATGGCATCATTTCTGTAAGGAAATACTGTCTAGAAGGTACATTAGGGGTCATTTTTGATTTTCCAAGCAGTTTTCATAATATTTGGGAAAACCCAGGAAAAAATATAAGAAAAACGGCAAATTTACTAAAATCTTTTTATTATTTTCAATTATGTTATTTGTTGTAATTTAGTTAAAAATATTTGTACACTTGAAATTTTGGCACAAAACTTATAATTGCCTATTTTTACGTAGTAAAACTGTAAAAACATTAGAGCCAAATTTAAGCTATACACTTTAATTTTTATTTGGTAGGTGCTGTGGATAAAATTGCTAGATAAAACAGAAATGCTTGAAAATTGAACAGGTTAATTTTAAGTTGTACTATGTGGTCAAAATAAAAAAAATTAATTGAATGCTGTATATTTTTTATATAAGAATTTTAATATTAAATTTTACTATAGTTGTTTTAGTAAAAAATTATGCGGAAATATCTAATTACGGTCCATAGAAATTGTTTCAATATAATATTTATTTTACTGCAATGTTACATATATATTGTTGAAAAAGCAATACTATTAACCGAACTTACTTAGAATAGTTTTTTGCTAGCAATGATTAATTTTTTCTTACGGATGTACATTAAATTTCCCCTACATCTTACCTTCCCAACTTCTTTCAACTTATCATTTACAATAGTGATTCACCCATACTGCGAAGTATACCAGTCATATCAAAATAATCAAATTTAATGATCTCCTCTTCCATAGTCAAGGTCTGGAGACGGTCCTGGCATATGTAATTATTTCTAACATAATATGACATACATATTGTTGACAGTGCAACACTATTAACTGAACTCTCTTATCATATTTGCTAGCTATGGTTACCTAATCATTGTATACAAATTTACATTAAATTTCCCCTCTACCTTCCCAACTTCTCACCATAGTAGCCCACTTACATGTAGAATATGTTTGTCTTTTTCCTTATAACATGACAAACCACTCAATTTGTACTTTTTCTAATAACATTACATTCCTAAGTTACCTCTTATGTAATAATTATTATAATATTTAGAATGAATACATTCAATGAATACAGAATCACACCACAATAATCATATCTACAACAACCATTTTCAATTTTAATTATATTTGTGAACTAAGGTTATCTTAATTTAAATCCATTCCAGTACTAAGTATTTAGACATACAGTAGAACCTCATTAAACTGGAATTTGCTTAATCAGGACAGCCATTTAATAACACATGAACTACACAGTTTGTGGCGCAGACTAAAATAACCATGAAATCAAGTTCCAGAAATTTACCATAAATGCATATTATCATGATTATTTATAAATTATGTATATTCTTAAATCTATAACATACACCCAGTTTTTTTTTTTTGTTAAAACCGGCACACTTTTAATTTAAAAAAAATACACTATTTATGGTTAGGTATTTTATTTAATCAGGATATTCATTAATTCGGACAACCTAGAGCCCCAATTAGTCTGGATTAATGAGGTGCTACTGTATTATAAAATGACAGTTAAACCTTTCATTTTGCTTTAGTTGTATTTTCTTATCAACTCACTTCACTTCTCACCAATTCATCCATCAATATTTAATTCTATGATCTCCATATTACTCAAAAACATTTCTTTTGCAACACAGATTTAAAACACTTAAAGTTAACACCATGTTTTCTATACTCATTAACTTGCCATAATAATACAATACCTAGTTTTTTTTGTTACTCCTTCTAAAATCATACATAATTACTCTATTTACTCCTATTAATCCAATACGAAACTGAACTTCAAGTAACTTTAAAAATTTAAAAATCAGTGTTTTCACTTGAATCTCTGTTTACTACCTTTACTCAACCAATATTATAAAACCAAAATAAATTAATTATGCATACAAAATCAAATGGGAAACAGTTTGAATCAAATATAAGAATAAATAGTAAACACAAAGTATTTTTTAATTTAGAAAACAGCAATATAAATAAATATCCACTTCTATAAAACCATAAAACATATATGTATCACGCATATTATTTTACTGAAGTATCTAAAATTGATAAATTAATTAATTTACCTTTATATTAGCATAATAAGCAGGTATTTTTGATTTTGATTGACATCGAAAAACACTAAATTCTACTTTTTCCAAATTCATTTCTTCTACATACTTTTGTAAAGGTTTTATATGATCAATACCTGCATACTCAAGAATATTTGTATCTTCTAAATCGGTCTGTAAATAAAACAGACAATTTCTGTAAACAATTACACTTTTACAAAAATGATAATATTTTTCAGAAAATATTTAGGTAAATTAACCTATTGCTCAATTAATATTATTGCATTTACTCATGTATAAAATATTATAATGTAGGTTTTCATATAAGTATACACAGGTATAATAATAACAACAGTACTTATGTATAATGATTTTGCTTTATTTTAAATACTTTTTTTTAATGTTTCATCGAGTAAAATTTTTTTAAGTAGTTAAGTATATATTAGATAGATACATAGATCTGGTAAATAAAATATACATGTACAACTCATGATAGTTCATTCAATATAAGTTTAGCTATTCACAAAATATGTAATGAGGTAAAGGTACATAATGGGTATCAAATACTTACAGGATCATGAGTAAAACAGGACTTTGTTCTATGACGACCATTTTTAATATGCTTTTTAATATTCATACTGATATTGCTAGTATCATTATTTAGTAACCAACTTTCATTCAAATTTGTCATCTAGAAAAAAACAATTTAAATGTTTAAATCTATGGACTATGTTGGTATTTCTTAATGAAAATAGGTCCTTAGGTACAATAGGTACTTAGGACTAATATAACACTGATAAAAGTGAATATGGATTAAGCGATCTAGCATGAGACAAATTATTGAGGAAATAAGTAGTAAAATTATAATAAATTTAGTATTTAACTCATGAATAAGGTAAAGATTAGGTATTCTATTTATACTTTACATAGTTATATCAAAATCTGTACAAAATATCAATATATGAATAAATTAAGACAATATTAGATGAATAAAAGGTATAGAAAAATGAATAAGCATTTGCAAAAAAGTATTCCTTTAGAAACAACTACCTACCTACATTTATAAAAATATCATTGAAAATCTAAAATTGTCAACAAATTTACTACCCCAGTCAGATTTCCATTCAGAAAAAGTGCTACACTAGAAAATCAAAACGAAATATCGGATAAAAAGTTGAAATTGTTCAAAGAAAAAAAAAACATTATATAAAAACCAATACATTCTTCACACTGCTCAGAATCTAAAAAAAACTAGTTAGGTTGGTAGGTACTCATACCGTATCTATACTGATCTATAAAATAGTTTATTTAGATAGTTAATTAGGACATTTTATAAAAAATTATCTGGAAATAATGCCTACTTCAACATAAATCATTATGGGTGTATAAACTTTACTTTGAAATTACAACCGGAAGATAAAAGTGTATTATACAAACTATACTATTATAGTAGATTCCTACCTACTTAACTGAAATAGTTTTTAAACTACTTTTCGATTTCTTGACGTTTTTATGCTATATATTAAAGTCCAATACAAAAAAAAAAAATAAAAAAATAAAAAACTCGGAAAACTTTTATATCAGTTTATCGATTTTACTCTCTTAATAGTTTAAAAATCCATTAACTTGGCAGTACAAATATCTAAATCAAATTTCACAGCAGAACGATCAACACGAGCTGTCCTATGCGGGTCTAAAATTATAATAATGCGAAGTTCGTTTAATGGCTGTAAGAATTAAAATTTTGTAGCATTTCTCTTCCTCGGCTAGATTTTAATCACTAGCCAAAGCGGGTACCCAAACATCGTAAAATGTCCGATTTGTATTTTAGTTGTCAACATTCGCTACAACCGGTGGTATACACATAACTTGTACGAGGGAGAATCGGTAGTAAAAAATTTGATTACTAGGAAACTTTTGTCGAGTCAACATACAAAATTACGTACATTGTGTAAAAATAAAAAAAAAAAAGTCAATAGTGGGGATCAGAATTCAAATCCCCTCCCACGAGTATACGCCCCTTGCTACGACGTACCCACCTATTACCAGGCCAAGCTCACATTATTAAGATACATTAACGGACGCCAAAAATTATACTAGGTACAAAACACGTGTAGTGCATAATATATTAATATCATAGATGACAATAGCCACTTACCGTAATATAATATGAAATCCGGTTAAAAAAAATCTAGACAATTCGTGAAATAATGATAAATACAGTCAATGATTGAGAAATGCGCAATAGACGGCGCCTGATAAATCTTAAACAGGACGAGAATAGTACGAAATCGGTGAAACTCGACCGTCAAACTGTCTGGAACGCAGAGAACGCAAAATTCCCAATCGAAAAATATGAAATTAGTCTGGAAGCGACCGACGAAAATGTGCGACACGGTAACGGTTACGCCCGCCGCCTGGTACGTTACTCAACAGTGGTACCACTATGCGGTACCACGTGGCAATTTTATAATTACGGTTTTACTGCCGTAAAATATTATGATATCTACACACGTATTTATATAAATATGTGTGTGTGTGTGTGTGTGTGTACGTTGAAAATTTCTATCCACCTTGATTATGATATAACCTCATCAACAAACAATTTTTTTTCATTTATCACGATCGCGTTTATCGATTCCGTCGTGATCGAAACATTCGGCTCGGCCGAACGATTTTTGTTTACTCGTGAACGCTTGTGCAGTTACAGACCGGTTCACGACATCAAGTATTTGGCGAACGGCAAACTTTGAAAATTCGTTTGGAAAATGGTTCGGACGATCAGATTATCCATAACTAAAAGGTGTGTAGCGATCGGTCAATTATAACCGGCGCAAATTTAATTTGTACAGTAATCGTCGCAGTTGGCAGGCGCTAACAGGCACTGGCTATAAGCCACCAACCGCGATGCAGATAAAATTTCATCGACACCGTGGTAGGTACCGATACATTTTGGGACGTTCTTGCATTAGAGTTGCGAAATGAGTCAGTAAAAAAAATTGATACGGCCGTGCGCGTTACGGAACCTAAGGGAATCGCCTGAAGCTAAACGTTCGACGTTTAGGAAACGCGAGTACCTCTAACTTTCTGTGTAGCACGCGTTAGTATTTCGCGGGCCCGGACGACGCGCACGTACATTATATCGAAGCCCGCGGGTATCGGATTCGGCGCGTGGCCGGAGGGTCCGTTGGTTTTGCTGTGACGCGCGTTACGAGTAAAGGCGTTTCCTTGTCATTTTTGAATACGCCGTTCGTCGTGCGCGCGCGAATATTACGCGCACTAGTTTACTCTCCCGGGAACCACGGAAACCCGAATTCAAAAACGTAAATAATTCCCGCCGCCAGTCCGCGCGACCGCCGGAACGTGTAGTGCCGGGCTACCGGGTTTCGGGGTTTTCGCCTGCCCGGAATTTGTAGAAAACCGACGGAACCGCGCCATAAAGCATTCAAGCATAATTGCATGAAAACGAGCGTGATTTTGTAGCCGAGATCCCCCCCCCACCCTCCCCCCCATCCCACAGCCCCGGTAGCTCGCCGGTTCAATACGGCCCTGGGTCGCCATCGACCGATCGACAAAATCGTTACGGGACGCATCGGACGGATCACGGGTTTTATACCCAAGAGATGTGTGGGATGGTTACTGCGTCATATTGCTAGTGCCCGCGTAATAACGTGGGGTAGCGGCATAGCGTCTGGACGGGTTATATTCCGGATATCGGATCCGAGAAAACCGGCATTACGGTATTATTATTAGTCCGCGTTATGTAAACGTCGCAACGGAGGAAATATGAAAAAAAAAAAAAATAAAAATAAAAATATATCAACGTTGGCGTACGGAAAAAAAAACAATAATCCCATATTACTACAACAAATATATATTTTTTTTTTTATTTTCAGCGATGTTATTATAATGATAACATCGGCAACCGGCACGGGACACATTGTAGTCTATTAGTAGTGTATAATGTTTATCGAAGTAGTGTTATCGGAAATTTCTATTTTCGTGATTGCGATAATGCGGTAACAATCCGCCGCGGGTTTAATAATAATTATTTTATCGACAACATTTTGCGCAATAAAAAATATTTTGCAAAGTTTCAAGATTATTGTTGTTGTAATTATTGTTGTAAAACATAAGTAACTAAATTTATACTTTGAAAAATATTTAATAATTATTGAGAGGGGGGCTTTCGATCTTTTTTGAGAGGCTAAGCTCCACAAGCGTCCCTCCCTCCAATCTCCACCTACGGCGTGGACAAATACCTTCTTTTTTTTTTTTTTTTTACAAAATATCTCAGGTTATTATAATCAATATTTACCGATAATAGAGCCGCCGTGGACTACAGTTTAAGAACCACTGTTTTAGACCAATAGACTGTGGGAAATTAGACTCCTCCGTGTCCGATTTAAAATACACGTATACATTTTTTAACAAATTTCCTAGATATCTTTGGAAGCCGATTATCTTATAATTACGGTTACATATTATTATCTAGGCTTTCTAGTATAGATTAAAGAGAAACCAATTCAGTAGAGTATTACTCTGTGCATTTAAGTAATATTACTCTACGCCACGGATTGAGATATTTTAGTCCGTGCTCTATGCTGGGCAATGTGCATGTTTGCAAACAAATATTGATATGTTGTTATAGTATTTTAATTTTGTTGAAATGGCGACACTGAAAAAGGAGTCTACAGCCACTAAGATTTGTGCACAGATATAGGTAATAAATACGATTTAAGATATTATACCTGGTGATTTATTTAATTGGTTCCACTCATTATCTCGAAAAATATTAACTTTTTTCGGAATTTGTTTTCTATAACACTTAAGTAACAAGCTGCTCCGCTATTTTATATTTGTGTTATTTTTTTGTATACCCTTATTTTTGGCGGTAAAACAAATACCTACTTTTGAATTTCAAATGGCACCTACTTTAAAAAGTCCATATATAAATCGTGTATTAGTTGAAATAAATTCTGGTGTTGAAATTTTTTATTTCCGTCGATCCATTGACGAGATATTCCACTTTTAAGTCTGTGTTGGAGGACAGTAGTGGAGTATCATTAGTGTGGGGCGGTACGGCGAGCTTCCGACTCTCTTCCAATCTAAAATTGAAAGTGGTATATTTCGTCAACGGCTTAACAGAAATCAAAAGTTTTAATACTCAAATTTATTTTAACTCAATCTATTTATGGACTTTTTAATATAGATTGTATAGTATCTTGAACCATGGTAATAAATATTATTATTTATATCTGTGAGTTTGCGTTTCAATTATTTTTCAGATCATCATCTCTGTATTTATGAGTTATGACCAATATTATGATACATTATTAATTAGTTTGCCAGAACTGCTAATAGACCACGTGCTGTGAAATAAAATGATATTTTATCGTGATATTGACATCGCATCGTAATAATTACGTTTCATCACCATCATGCGTTGTCACGACACAATGTTGCCTAATTTCCTTATAACCTGTAACGTTTGCTTTGACCTCAAAGGTTACACATAAACTATAACAATTCCCATAGTCTAGGAAAAAAACCGGATTTACAAGAGGAGGTAGACAGGTATCTATATAGGTGTTTTGTAATATATACCTACGTGTCATGTTTGCCGAATGCAAATTTTCGTTTGTCCGACGAATAAGTAATCTTCTTTTGCACGCTTCTTTTGTTGGTTCTCGCTTCTGTAATGTCGTTTTCGAATGTGTGAAGTAGACAAAAATATCGTTGAACACGTTCACGTGGCCCCACGTTTATTTGCAAACCATACATTATTCGCTTTGACGGCCTGCTCGTCTTCCCGGCGTCACCTTTTTAAGTTTTAAATCGTATCACAATAATTTGCTGAAATGTATTATTGTACTCGCACAATATACACATTGTGTATACCTATTTATCTCGTGATTTTAGTTTTCGGATAGGTACTTATCCTGTATATGCGGTCGATATTCGACTTGACGAACGTAATTATTACTTTTTCAAACAATTGTTGGATGTTGTACTCAGTGGCGCCGAACCTATATAGTATTAGGAGATTGTCGCACTTGATTTAGGGAGCGGGTATACCCCTTATTAATGGTAGTTTAGTATAAAACATTGTAAATTTTTCAATAATTAATATAAAGAGTCGTACACCAATAATATTACAAATAATGCGGACTAGTCTATTGCATATTAGTAAAAGCAAATAACTTTACTATTAAATTAATAGTTATACGATAAATAACCTACCTAATAAATTATTTCTCAGTCTACAACAGCGGCTACAGCTAGTACAGAATGATAACATATACACGATATTATATTGTTATTGTTTAAATATTTTTGGTTACATCTGAGATTATATATTTTTGTTGTAAAAGAATAATATAATTTTGTATACATTTAGAAGATAAAAAATATTGTGCTAATCAAGAGAAAAGCAATGAACACATATTTATGAAAAAGACGGGCATACTTCGCAAAATGGGTGGGCTACTGTTGTAGATGAAAAGTTGGGAGGGTAGGATAAAAATAGGAATGCGATGTATATCTGTACGTTACCGATAAAAAAAGATACCGAGCAAAGTTCGGTGATACATATTTTGAAAGGCCGTAGGTAATATTTATGATTTTCGTCAAAATTTGATACTCAAATTCTTATAAAAAAAAATCCTATATTAAGCTCAACTTTTTTTAGTTGGCCACTAGTTAAAAATTATAATCAACTTCCTGTTAAATTTTCAAGCATTTTTCATTGAGTGCTTTCCGTAATCAAGATTATTATTGTTAATTTTTTTACTACAAGGTACTTTGATGTTATACTAAGAATATCGCACTTTTGCAAAATTCAGTAACATTAGGCGAGTTTTTGCGCTGCAAAAAGTTTTATGATTAAGTTTAGACACCTAATTCCTAAATCAACTCGCAAAAAAGTCATCAGTAAACAGTTTACTCATGGAGACTACGCCAATAGACACACCTGTTATCAGGCTCATCTCCCCCGTTACACGCCCATCGAGTACTTTCCTGTTTATTTTTAGATGTTTATAGCTTTAATAAATTAACGTACTATACAATACTATCGTAGCTATTAATATTTTTAAAAATATTAGTCTCTCTAGAATATTTATCTACTGACCACGAGCAGTGCTGCATTACTTTAAACTGCTGCCTTTTGGGCTAAATACATTTTGGCTAAACAGTAGTTGATTCATGAAAAATATGTCGCGCTTGGCTGGGCAATTGTTCCCGGTGCTCTATCCGCGAGCTACTACTGAATATAAAATATTGATAATATTATTCCCATCTATGTTTATAGGTAATTTTGAATTAATTTTCATATTTTACAATTTTTTCATTTCCATAGGTGTACTTATTATAGTTTATAAATTACACTACGGTATCGAATACACGAGTTACACTTATTTTTTAAAAATATAAACTGAAATACTATATCAAAATGATTACCTATACATGTATGTATCAACTTTTACATCAAATTTTAAATTTAAAAATCGGTTTTCTGTATTAAATTTAATATCACAAGTTGTATGCACTGCGTTTCTAGTTTTTTTTTTTTACATAATATAGTACGAGTACACTAATTTTCGCGATTCAAACTATCCGTCATACATCATTTTACATTTTAATAAATTCTGTACAACGATTTCTGCAAAGTAAGTATTAAGTTTTGCGTGCGGGTACATTAAATAAGTAATGCGAGTTAGGTTACCAAACCTCCCGAGATGTGAAAATACTTAATATGTTTATACCTACTTATATAGGAAAGTAAACTGTAAGTAGGTTTACAAAGGTGTGGTTGATTAAACATGTTATTATAATGTAGAGGTCCGTCAGGTTGACTTGTACACGCCCAGGGATTGATTAATGGATTTGTCACCAGTAGACTGGGGTTGATTTGGTGACAATCTTTTTTTTAAATTTTGTTCATCAGCATTTATCGATCATCTCCCTATAAATTCTCGCATACCCTCCTACATCCAAAAAAGGTCTGGCTACGTCTATGGTTACTGATACATATAGAGATACAAGTTTGAAACAAATAAATTAAAAAAAAAAAAAAAAAAACAGTTTTGTTGTGACCCCTTCCCAGTATCATTTGTGTGACGGTACATTTGGCGCGCGGCGTGTTAATAATGAACCACTACTCTCCTCCAACTTAAACTTAAAAGTACAATATCTCGTCAACGGTTTGATAGAAATCAAAAATTTCAACATTTAAATTTATTTTAACTAATACTTTTACTATTCAGTGTGTACGTCTCGTTTGCGATCCGAGATCCTAGATTTATAGATATGATTAATAAAATAATTTGAAGAAAATCTTATTATGGAAAAAAAAATACTATAAAAATAAATATTTTTTTAAATCTAAAATTAATTAATCATTGAAGTAAAGACGAAACACACTTAAGTACAAATACGATTATCAATTTTTCCAGTGCGCAAACAAGCTGTTTCCTATACATTTAAATTAATATTTTGTATAATTTATTATACCTATCTATATCATAGTAACGTACGACCAATAACCAATATAGTAAGTACCTATATAACATAAAAAAAATGTTTACATAGGTAGGTTACCTACTTATATGTAATATGTACCTGATTAAATAAAATTAGTGAAAGTGTAATTACGAGTTTATGAAAAACTGAACGAAAATTTAGCCAATAATAGAAGTTTAATATTGTCTAAATAGCGAAAAAGAATTTTTCAACATAAAAACGCCATGATTTAGCATAAAAAAAGGCTCCGGTTAAAGAATACAACTTTATCTAAAGTATGACATTCTTTTAAAATATAATTAATAAAAAAAATTGGGGTTTTAAAAAATCATAAAAAGTGCACTTTTTAGTTTTAAATATTACTACCACATTCGAGTAGGTAAATTAAAAATCAATATGTGGTACCATAAATTATAATGTTACATTTGATTTTCATAATGAGTAAACGTTTTAAAATATAATTAAATATAAATATAAATATAATATAAGTGTATTTCTTCCGTTTTACGTAAACATAGTTTTGAATAAAATGTATAATGAGTAACTTAATAAATACTTGTAAAAAGGAACCGAGACCATTTTCAAATTTATATGAAAGTGAATATGAATATTTTTTTTTAAATTTCATTTTTTTCAAAAATGTCGTTAAAATTGCTTGTACGCAAAACACACACAAAAAAAAAAAAAAAAAAACCGCCTAAATAAATTAGTGTAGTAGATTCACAGAGTAATAATATTACGTTGTAATACGCGTGACCTTTTGTTTCCTTTTAACACGCGAGTGTAAATATAAAGTACCTAGGTAGGTGTAGGTTGGTAGTATAATGATTTATAATGCAAAAGGGAAATCATTTTAGCGATCCATTCATGATTTTATAATATTATTATGTAAAAATAATAATCTATGTCAGCCAGATTTATTTCAATATTGTTTTATCACATTACACCCCTTTGTTATAAATGTATAATATTTTAATTTAACAACGATTACGAACATAAATCGGGTTCAAAATATGCATGTCATCGTGCATGCTGCGTTGAATAATAACATAATACTATACATAATGTACACGTGGATCGAATATTCATTTGTCGTTATTTTTAACAATTTTTAGATGCCCAAAGGTCAATTTTATAATTATTATATTTTATTTTGTAAAATATTTTATATTTTATATTGAAATTTTGAGTTTTTAGAATGTAGATACATTATACATAATAATATACAATACGATTGGTAATAGATGATACCTATTAATAATAATATATACTTAGTATTACTTACCTATCTACATTGTAAAGCTACCTATACTCTTGTTAGGTTTTCAGTCTCAACAGTTACCTACTTTTTATTCATATTTTTTTTTATTTTTTAATTTTCTATGTTTAATGTATTTTTCCGTTAATATACACTTATGTATATCTACTTGTTTTTATACCGGACACCAGTGTTACGGTATAATAAGTAATAACCTGTAAGTTGCAATATTATAACAAATAGAGATTTCCCTTGTCGTCATCATGTAAAATGCTCGGTAAAAACTACATACCTAAGGTACCCAATTGTATTCAATTGTTTATCTCTCTATCTTTCTGTAGGTAGTTACTTTTCATCCGTTGTTTTTATTTGGTTTTATTATATTGTGTTGTTGTTTTCAGTTTGCATCCAATTTTCCCGTGGTGTTTATTCCATGTTGGGAAGTGTCAGCCCAGATTCATTTGATACGTTGCATTCCTACAGCAATACATTCCAGATGCCGTTCGTAACGCCTTGGTTTCCTGAGCAAGTAAGAAAATATGATGATACATTTTTATTTTTCATTTTACTCGTTTCGGATATTGTATTATTTTTAGATTTAAAAAAAAAAATTATTAAAAAACAACTAAATAAATAGATACCTATAGGTATAGACGTATACATCTCTGTTTTTATATAATATATTATTATCGTGCCTATCTAAATATAGTGCCTAATCTAAATATAATACCGACTTAAACAATTTAAAATAAAATAAAACAAATATTTAGTAGGTATATTAGATTACAGTTATTATACCTAAGATATTTATTTTAAGTCTTATTATGCAAAGCCATTAACATTTTATATCACTAAAAAGAGGCAAGGGGATTCCATGTGCGGAACAAACAAATAGATAGGTAATACTTTAATCCTTGCTTTTTTAAAATATAATACATGTTTAACAACACCGAACTTAATCAGTAATTATTATTATTTAAAAAAGGAAAAACATATTTATTTATAATTATGTGCACATTATATATTGTAAAATAATTAAAAATAAAAATGTCAATGAGTTTAAATTTATAATAATATAATAAGCTAAGTTAACATTATGCATTTTTTAAACATATTAATATTATAAACGGAAGAGGAATCTTATAGAATTTTTTCCATTGATATATTTTTAATTAAAAAACAGCTAGAATTTTATTTTATTTTACAAAGTATTTATTTTTACCTTTTTTTTTTTTTTTATTTATAAAATGTAATTTAAAACAAAAAATTAAATCTGAAAGACTAAAACTCAAGAGTTCAGATTTCATTTTTCATGTAACATAATTTTCAATTTTTCTTAATTTAAAATTGCTCTGTTAAGTGTATTTTATGCGTACAAAGAATTTATTGTTCACTGAATTATAACATTATGAATGCTAACTATAGGTAATACAAATCATTATTTTAATTATAGGTATTGTCACCTTCATCGGGGATGTTAGATTATGCAGTTAGTCTTCGACCCGATTACCATCGTGCCATATTGGACACTGTTCGATACTATGGCTGGACTAATATAATTTATATGTACGACTCGCATGATGGTAAGTTTATTTATTTATTTATAGACTTTTAAATATTTTATTTATGAACCATACATTTTTCTGATAGTTATATGATATTGTAATCAATGATATTAGGTAAGTACCTAATTATATCAGAAGGAAGAATTATATTAATACAATTTTTGTTTTGGAAACTACTTTCTTAGGCATTAAATATACACAATCTACCTACTGCAGTTTCCACTTTAATATAGAAACTGTTAAGAAGATCTTCACAATTGATAGCCAAGGGATTTTCCTTTAGTAGATTGTAATATTCCCCAGTGAGTAAAGCACCTCGTAGGATGTTTTTAAAAACCCTAAAAAAGAAATTGGATTGTTTTTCTTTTTGGTAAATAAAATATTTCTCAGCGGGGGTGGAAACCAAATTCAGGACGGGAAATTAAAATTTATCCAGGACACCCGATATAATACATATCTATGTAAAGAAATTGTTCTCACATTTTGAAGGAAGTTTCGACTTACCAAAACATTTAGCAAAGTGATTTTATCAATATGCATTTTAATTTGACGATTTAAATGAAAATGTATAAAAAAAAACTTAATATGCACCAAAATAAAATTATATTATACATGTTAAAAACTTTTTATTAAGTTGTGAAATAATATGAGGAATTAAAATATTATAATATACAAATATCAGGCCATAATTCAATCCAGGCCATCTGGAAAATTCCCATTTATAAACTGGCCAATCCGCTCCTATCTGAGACTCAATTTTCAAATGGTGTACGATTTATTTTTGTATAGATAACTTTATACTGATGCCAACTTAAATTTTTAGTTTGAACCTATTACATTTTTCAATATTTATGATAATCTTTGATATTTTCTTAAATATTTTTAAACTGGTGGATAAATATAATTTATACAAGTTTATACATTTATGTATGATATAATAATACCAAAATGTATAGGTAGATAACGTAATAATTTTGGATGTTTAAAGCTATATACATAATATATATAAATATTAAACAGTTATCTTTAGTTTTTTATGACTAGATTTTGAGGAAGCAAATAATGTACCTATACATTTTACTATGATAGGTTTTCTTTTCTGTCTGATATTTTGCTCCAATCAACTTCAGGGGTAGTTCTGGTACAAAATTGTATTTAGTTGATTGGGGATAGTCTTATAGTTTGAATTAAGAAGACATTTTTAAGAAGTAGGTATAAATAGTATAAGTTATAGATCCTATATATGAAATATATGAATTTAATTATAATTACAAGTAAATAGAATAATTTTTTACTCTTGATGAATACATTTACCCTTTTCGATGTAGGTGTAAAGTGTATTACATACATTCAAAAATCAACATAAATTTGACTATATAATTTTGAAGAAAACCAACTACAGAAATGTATTGAAAATCTTTTTCATTTAATGTCCATTTGTGCTCATCTATTTATTGTAGACTATGAATTTTGAACTGAAACTCAATAACTACGTAATGTAGGTGGGTAGTATTCTGAACATATTTATTATAGATTAAATATTCTATGCTCATATAAAAATGTATGTTTATCAAACATCAACATTTTACGTTTATTGTAAAATTGCCTTATTTAAATATATTTGTTATCTAAAATAACTTCTATAGCCTCATTTAAATTTCTTTAGATGTATTATTAATATTATTCAAAATAAAGATTTAAATAGCAAGTCAGTTGAAATAAAAGTAGGGTATAAGAATTACTGTCCTTTTAGATTCTAATGTATATTACATATATATATATTTTTTTTTAAATATATAATTTTAATTTCTTTTAATTCTTCAATCGATCAATTTTACTACAAAAAGCTCCCCAATAGATTCAAAAGAATTTGTTGGTGATAATTTGAGATAAAATATTTCAAAATGTATTTTTCCGGATAACAATTTTAATTATTAGAAATACGATTCTGAGCGAAGTTCCGTTAAACATGTTTTCAAATTATCTGATTTTTGAGATTTTTGTTGAAATTTAAAATTAAAATGATTATATCCATATTATATATGTATAAAAAAATGAATATTATGCTGAATTTTTAGATTCCAAGCGTAACGAGGGAACTATTGGTTTTACAATGGTGTTTATTTTTTCTTCTTTGTCTATTTTTTTTTTTTTGTTCTAGTCTGGACACGTTTTTTCTTAGTAAACTTGCTCCGATTTTTACGTGTAGCAAATTTTCTGAAAGATCAAGTTGTCTAAAATGTACTTTAAAAAGGCCATTGTTTAAATAAAATCATATAAGTAGGAAAACGTACAATTTCACGATTTCATTATTTTAAAAAAAAATACGGATGACGTTTTCTACCAGAAAAAATGATTCAATCGAAAAATCACAGAATACCATTTTTGTTGCCTTTTTGATTTACTTTCTAACGGTATGATCAACTTTATCTTTATATCTACTTTTGAGCTTTTAAGGAATTTTAATTTTTGGGTGTTTTTTGCTGTAATTTGGTTATAAATTCACGTAGAGACTTAAAACTTTATAATAATACTTAAAATGGACTTACCTAGATGTGGTAAAGTTTCCAAAATTATCGGATGACTTTTTTTTCTTTTTTTAATTTTCTTGCAATGCTTTTATCCTAGAAAACTTGCTCCAGTGTATAAGTGTAGCATCTTTTCTGAAAGTCAATTTCATCTACTTAGTAAATACATAGGTTATTTTTTGATTTTATAAACGATATTTAAAATAAAAACAATTAACCAGAAAAAAAATACGATTTTGTTATTTTAAATAAATACCTACCACGTTTTTTTAGCACAAATGTGGCTTCACTTGAAAAACAACAACTGACCTTTTTTGATGAATTATTAATCATGTTTTTAATGATACAGTTTTTTTTTTAATTTTGGGGATTAGTTTTCATAATAATCAGGAAAAAACGTAGGAAGGTTAGGTTACAAAAAAAATTACGGCACTTCAAATTATATATTACCGAACTGCGCCCGGAATCGTCAGTATTGGTTTACCGTTGCTTACAGATACAAATGAAATAACCTTATTTATTTTACTTTTCATACTTTTCACCTACAACAGTGGCCGCACCCGTCCCTATTATCAGCTCTCTTTTTTTTTTTAATTATTAAGAAAATAACTTGGAAAATCAAAAAATATTCTCCTCAATGTACCAACTAAATCTAAATTTCTACAAAAATGTTTTTCTATCGTTATTTCATTAAAACATGATTCCTGTTAGAGAAAATTTCTGGTTTATAAAAAAAAAAAAAAATCAGCCCACCATCAGCGATCAGAATGTAAAAATATATATTTATCTATATTATGTTTAAAGTACCTAACATATTTCTGCTATGTAGGTAAGGAATTCAATAATAATAATAAAATATTTTTGATAGAAATGCTTTATTATCACAAATTATACTACTTGATTTCAATATTATAATCTCAAAATACAGATCTTGTTAGTAAAGCGAAGTAAAATAATTTACTCCCGTAAACGTTCTAGAGAAAATCGTTTACGTTTTCACGCATATGCATGTTGCATATGCGACAATGCCTGCAATAGTACTGATTTATAAATCGTATAGATATTGTATATATTTCTGAGCATTTTTCATATTTACAATTTTAAATGAAAATCGGGAATTAGTTTATAATATTATATTTATGACATACTTTGGTAATTTTAAATCGATGTATAATTATAATATAATCTTATATGACACTAATAAATAAAACGTGCATATTCAAAAATTTATTAGACTGAATAATCCTCTTAGTTCATATTAATACATTATGTATTTAGTATTTCCAACAACATCGTTTTTAGAAATCAGTGTTTCAATAGCCGTAAAATATGGTTATATTTAGCATACCGTTTTTTTTTTTTTTATGTTCATAAAATGTTTTTTTTCGGTTCATTTGGGCTTGCAATTATGTATTTTAATTGACACTTGTAAAAAATTATATATTTTAAATTTTAAAGCCTCTGTGATATTAATTCTTCAGATGCAGGCAGTGATTTGTACTGTAAAATTGTAACGCCAATCTTAAGCATTTGTACAGAGTGATTTTTTTTTGTCATGAACTATCGATTATCTCTGAGTCTTTAAGTGAATTTGATTTATGTTTTTTCTGATTATTATGGGATCGTTAAAGCTTTATTTTAAAACTATTTTTAATTTTTTTACCGCTACCTATTCCATATACCTTAAATAAGTACATAATTTTGTTTTCCAAATAGGAACCCCTTTTTCGAATACGGATTTGAATAAAGAATATTTGTCTAGACATTTTTATATGCATATCACTAATATCAGATTTACCGTCTATGAGTTTAACGGTTTAAAGTTTATACCTGAGAAGTAAGGACGGATAATAAATTACTTATCTATAACAATCTATAGATGTTTTTAAATAATATTGCAATAAGTAAGTAATTTAGTTTTATTCTAATTTATTGACTAGATAATTCCACCACTACCACCAAAGGCTACATTTTTGTTTTTATCTGATGTACAATTATTTAAAAACATTCATTGGGAGTTGGAAAAAAATGTTGTTAATTTTGATATAATTTCTTGAGTAATAATATAATACTGTATAATACATTTATTTGTGTATCTGTTTAACGATTAATCATTGCTAACGAAAAACGACTCTAAGCGGAGATCAGTTAATAGTGTTGTTTTATCAAAAATATATGTATAATATGTCATATCATGATAAAATAATTACATATCCATGATATAATGTCTTTAATAATATTTGTTTAATATTGTACCTATTTCTCAGTTTTTCCTACGGGTTTACCGGTTTTTTCAATTTTTTATGAAAATAGCTGGGAAAAACAAAACAATATTATTTTAAATTACTACAATACGGGATGACATTAAAATAAAGCTTAATATTTGTTTTGCAAAATAATAAAAAAACAAATTAACCGGAATGTGAATGAAGAGAATTATTTCGTTGAGCATAAACATAATTTGTATAATATGGTCAATGTAATGTAACAGTTTTAAAGTGTGGTAAAACAATATTGTGTTCTAGTCGAAGAGCAAAGAGATAGTGTCTGTACAATTTTAGGAAAAAAAATATTGAAAAATATTCTTGTAATGATTTTTATTTCATTATTTGTTTCAAATTCACTACAAAAATGTTTACGAACAAGTGTTTTATTAAAACGAAAAAACTAAAATAATTAACTCATTAAAACAATTTCAATTGTTACCTATAGTAAAATATAGGAATTTTTAAAAAAGGATATGAAGGTTTTATTTTTTGGCGTAGATAAACGTTATTCCTTTTTTTTTCTTATAAATACGGTCGTTCTACTGTATATGGCAGTAAGGTTGATAAGAAATCAACCAAATTAAAATTATCGAGAGTCCTAATTTGGGATTCCCAATCGGGCGGTATATTAAACGAAACGATAAGTAACAGAATATTCAATTAAATGATAACGAGTAAACTGAAAATATAACATTTTAATTGGTTCTGTAATAATAAAAGCTTTAAAATATTACGAGTATATTAAACCTAATTATTTAGTATATAAAATATATACCTGTTCTATATTTTCTTTATATAATGTATTGGAATTGGGAGGGGGAGTAGGGGACCATGACTCCTTATAGCGGCCACTGCTCAATATTCCAATAAAATATTTCTACACAAACTTCTTGAGTCTGATAAACAAACGAAAAAACGTACTTATCTAGTTAAATAGTTCTAAGAAAAATATAAAAAAATCCGGACGTACTTCAGTAAGTTAGGTTAACCCTAAACCCAGAATTTAATTGACAAAAATAAAACGGTGGTATCGACATTTGTTATCAGGTTTTTAAAATTTGAATAAAAAAAAAAATAAAAACTGTAGAAACAATTTGTTTTTAAATAAATTACTATCTGCCAAAAATCTGCATCTATTAAGATACGAAAAAATTGGATATTTTTATATTTTCATTTTTACACTGTGGATAAAATTGTTAGATCAAACAGAAGTGCTTGACAATTTAACAGGAATTTCATTATAAGTTGTATATGGTGGTCAACAAGAAATATTTGAGTTTAATGTAATTTTTTTTTGTATACAAATTTTAACGAAAATCGTAAATATCACGGACTTTTAAACACGTATAACCGAACTCTGTTCAGAATCGTTTTTCGTTAGTAAAATTTAATTGTTGCGTACAGTATATTAAATTCCCTTTTATATCCTACTTTCCCAACTTCTCACCGACAGCATTGGTCTGTCTTTTTTTTTATTTTTTTTATTAAATATATGTTATGTGTATATAATATAAATGATGTGTGAGGAGTTAGGGTATTAAAAAACATTTTGTGTATGCAGGATGGAGTTGAGGAGATAAATTATAAAATATCCACGATTCATGCGTAGTTACGATGCACCGAAAAACACACATCTTAGTAAAACTAATTGCTTTTTCCCTATATTCAGTATTAAAAATATATGTGTATATGTGTATATTATATATAGATACTATTATAAAATAAGCTGACCTAGGATAATGAGGACGGGTACACCCATTGGTGTATAGGTAATAGGCATATAGGTAATTTAATGTATACCTGTGCAATGATAAATCATTGTTAACGAAAAAACGATCCTGAGCGGAGTTCAGTTGATAGTGATGCTTTGTCAACAATATATATTATATGTCATATCATGGTAAAATAATCAAGTAGTAATTTTATATTTTCTTTAATAAAATTTGTTTGGTGTATAGATTTTTTCGGTTTTCCCATGTTTTTTCTCCGTTTTTCACATTTGCTGGGAAAACTCTTAGGAAAATCAGAGTACCTACCGAATAAAAATTACATAATAAACTCCCAAAATAATTAAAATATCCTGATAGCTCAAAAATACTTTTGAACATTTTAACACGTCTAGAAAAGACAAATATAATTTTTCTATACAAACTTCAAGGCTACGAATACTTTTTTTTATGTGAACATTTATTCTACTAGAAAGCTATTTCCGATGTACGCAGTAGAGCCCCTTTTCTTGGGTATTACTTAAGGGAGGTCATTTTTCGATTTTCTCAGTTGTTTTCTCAATAAATTTAAAAACCGGACAAAATCACGGGAAAAACGTAGGAAAAACGGGAAAATTTTTTTAATATTGAACAAGTATTATTAAAGAAAATATATAATGCCTATTTAATTATTTAACTATAATATCACATAGGTATTGTTGACAAAGCATCATTATCAACCGATGTCTGCTTAGAATTATTTTTTCGTTAGCATTGTTTTAACGTTACTTACACATGTATAATAAATTCCCTTCTGATCCTGTCTTACCAAATTCTCACCTACAACAGTGACTGCACCCACATGTGAAGTATGACCGTCTTTTTATTCACAACGTTAGCATTATTTACCGTCACGTAATAAACATTAAATTTTATTATTATTAATCGTATTTTAAATGTAATATAAAGTATAAAATAACCTATTCATATTACATTGATCTATAATGCTTATTATTTTTATTTTTTCAATGAGAAAATTCACGAAAAAGGTTAGCCTTCATCTTTTTGTTTAAATGACGCAAATTAAAAATCGATTATGTACTGAATAACCAAAAGAAAATGACATCAAAAAAATGTTGAGACAAAGACAAATTTATTTGAAAAAGTATTCATAGGAAACAAAAGACTTCTTTATGTGTAAAGTAAAAAATATTACTCGCTAATGGAGAAGGTTCTTTTTTAATAACCATTTATTTTCGAAGGCACTTGTTCAGAACTAAGTAAAGAAACAATAAAGATTCGGCATTGTCTTTTTTTAGTGATTTTTCACTAAGAAAATATAGCGAGGTGTACCTAATTCATTTAAAATACATTTCATGTGGGAATAGTTAACATAAAAAAGTGAACTGCCAGTGACAACCTATTATTCCTTTTCAATAGACTTTTCCAATTTTAGAAAAGTGGATTAAATCGTTGTGGAAAATGCTATCAAAAATATATTTAGTTCAATAGACACAACAAATAGTTTGAAAACGTATTTTGTTTGGGTTTTTTATTTATTAAATTTACACATTTTCATGGATACTTTATATATGTATAGTAAAATATAGTCGGATTTGTAATAAGCTTATAAAATAAAGGATTTTGTTGTTTTCTTTTCAAACTATAAGGATTTCATATGTGTTGCTTATTTTATATTAGAAATGTTTTTCCTAATAGAATTATAGTGCAAGTATTTCCAAAATAAATTTGAAATAAATTTCTCATTCGTTCTGTACAATATAATATAGGCATATCTAATTGTTAATATAAATATTAACGTTACTTTTATTTTAATTTAGTGTATACTGTTCAATATTTTTGAATAATTTTGGGCGTAGATCTACGTAAAATAACGTCAAACAAATAGTAAATGTTATATAGGAAATATAATATGCTCGAGGTGATAAATTTCGTTTGACATGCAAATATCGTTGCGTTTTCTCCTCTGTAAGTTAAAAACCACTAACCCTCTTTATTCATCTCTATAGTTTCTCTATTATGGCAATGACGTGACTCTTTTGTGTTTGTGAAACTCGGGTAACCCTGGGCGAGAAATCTGAAATATAGATGGTTGACAAAATAAGTGAAACACAAAGACACTCATTAATAGTTTTTGTAAAAAAAGAGGTAGAAAGAATGGTACTTTTCACAACCTATACAGTGTACATAGATATGTTGTTCATTAATTCAAATAATTAATTCTACGTTATATATTTATTTTTTTTAGGGCTTTTACGTTTGCAGCAGTTGTACGAAGCTTTGGATTTTGGACCAAATAGTCTTAAAGTGGACATGGTAAAACGTTTCCTAAATGTATCAGACGCTTTAAATTTCATACATCAAATAGAGCGAGTAAACAGGTAATTAACTAATTTTAATTTAGAATAACATTTTTTTACCTATGGACAACAATAAAAATGTTACAAGGCAATAAAACTAAACAAATGCAATATTATTTTTTCCAATGTAATTTAAATAGATCTAAATATTTTTCAAAATAATTAAATTATATAACCCGATTCATCATCTACCTCAATAAAATTGATGAAATTTCACCCGGCTGCTTAACATGTAATAAATAAAGTACACATTTTCTTCCATCACATGTTTCTTGTCCTTTATTATTATAGCGTTTAAATATATTTTAATTTACTATGGAAGTTAAACAATTACTTTACAGCCTAATACCAATACTCGCGTGTTATTATTCAGTATACATCCCTGCAGAGGTGTACCGAAAATCTCCAAAAGTTCCAATTCAAGGTTCTACGCGCTATGCCTAATGAAAACACCCTTTTATGTATCTACAGCCATTCATTCTATATTTACCTAAACGTTACTACCATAAACTAGTGGAGAGGCTGTATTATAAGGGCTTTAACAGTCATTAAAACCTTTGCGCAAATATATTAATATCAAAATTGTATGCAAAACCTTCCCCGGTAAACTATTCCATACGTGATTGAAAAGTAAAAGAAATCTGAATATTAATATGCTGTAATAACTATTATTAACTTTAAATTATTCACTTTTCTGGAGTTCACACCAAAATATTATTATAGTATAAATTATCATCTTTATTTTTTAAATTTTATTATTATATTTATAATTACGATTAAAATTAAATTATAAGTATACAAGTCTTCAAAAGTATAATATGTTACGTTTTACAAATAGACAAAACAATATATACTTTTTGAAATAAATAAATAATGCATATTAAACAAGTTAATTGAATCCTTATAGGTTATATATTTTCTTGGTATTTATTTTTCTATTTTGCAAATTAAAATAGCAAATACTTTACTAATACTGATAACATGTTTAGGTTATTCTCAATTATTCATTATTTTATATTAATACTAAATAGTAACAATAAACCGAGCAATAAATGTAATTCACATAGATTAAAATCCTATTATATACTGGTGGCTACGGATTAAGATGTAATGGATGTTTAACGAGCCATATTATAAACCCATTTTGCAGAAGTGACCGCAGATTTGAGAGATTCGACAATGAAATAAATGATGATGATATGCGCGGAAAATCGTGTAAAATTTAAATGTTAACTAATAAGTTAAGTAGTATAACACAATTTTTGATTTTTTTTTTTTTTTGAATAATAATTCCGTTTGACTACCTATTACATAAAACTATCTTTGACATCAAATTCACAATGACAAAACATAAAGTTAGTATCAGTAGGTATGTCTCCTACTTTATTATTGTTTAGCGAATAGTTTAATGTGAATTGACACTTTAAGTAATAGGATTTCATTGGGTAGTCCTGCCATGATACATAAAACACATTTTCGAACATAGATACCTAAGCATTTGTCTAATTTGGGGCGGAGGAAAGAGAGGACAATTGTTCCTGGATATTTGACTTAGGACGCAATAGTATTTTTTTGTTTCCCTTTCCTGTTATAAGACATACTTGTTTAAGTTATAACGTAATTTATTTTAATATAAAAACTAAAAAAGCACAAAAAGCACTGTTAATAATAATATAATTTTTTTATCAATGAAAATAATAAATAATCATAGGACAAATAACGTTTAATAATTTTATCTTATATCGTTATCTAAAATCACGATTAAATTAATAAATATAATACTGATATATTCTATATTAGGTGGAATACATTTAGGGTGGGGGAAGTAAAGCCTCCTCTTTTTCATGATTTGTAGATGTTTAGTTTTACCTCAGATTACGTCTATGTACCAAGTGCACAAGTATATTGATAATAATGTAGCAATCAAATATGCATCCTTGGTATATTTTAGATTTTGAATGTAGCGAAAAGTGTAATTTCAAAATAATTGGGGAATACCGGAAAGAAAATTATAGTTAAAATTGCAAATATTTATGAGGCACCGATCTCAGTATTTTAATTTTGTGTACACATGTATAGACTCAAAAATCTCGCTCCAATAGAAAAATGATAAAAGAAAAATTTGGTCTTTTTAATTAGTGTTGAGTATCGGCATAAACTGAATATCGGCTGATATTGAGTAATATCGTTTTTTTTTTTCATAATCGATAGTGGACCCGATATTATATCTAGAAACAATTTTTTTTTTTTGAAAAAGCATATATTTTCAATAACCATCAATTTCGATAACAATATTACAATATGAAAAAAACGTTTACTTTAATAATGTAAGTGAAGAGTATAAATAAAAAACAAGAAAAGTCACCTTTTGTTCAATCTGACAAAAACATGTTTTTAATTTCAAAACATAAAAAGAAGTAAAAATTTCAAGTTAAATTAAATGTTAAACTTTGAAATCTAGTAACCATAATATAATAATGTTATATTATAATATTAACTATGTCTATGTAATACACAGTGAATACTAACCCAACACTTGTATAGTGTTCGCCTTAGCAGTTAACTTACATGTTTTACCCTGTAGGCCTAAACATTTAAAATTCACGGCACTAGTATACCTATATTTTAAATTTGTACGGCTTATGTTTTCTACAAACCATATTATTCCAATAGAAAAACGACAAGATACTTTTTTTGTTGCATTTCTAATCTAGTTAGTGAATAGGAAATTCCTTTTTTGAGTTTCTAGGTAGTTTTTTAAATAAATAAAGAATAACCAGAAAAAACTGACAATTTTACGGTGTCACAAATTCATTATTTTATATTTTTACGTCTTTCGTTTTCTACCAGAAATATTGCTTTAATAGAATATAACTTTGGATCTTTTTGGTTTAATTTTTAATCTAGTAGATGACTAAGTAAGTTGTGTTTTTGATTTTCTTTGTAGTTTTTTCAACAATAGAGCAAATCCGAAAAATTTGTAGAAAGTTTGGGAAAATTTGCAAAAATAATTCGTTTATTATTTTAAATTTTGTTTTATTAATGTAATTCAGTTAAAAATATTCGTAGAAACTTGATATTTTGACGGAAAACTTCTATTTGATTTTTTTGACGTAGTAAAATTTTCAAAATATTTGTTCTATTTTTGAGTTTTATTTTTTAATTTTGTGAATTTTTTATTTAATTTTTATTTAGTAACAGCAGGTTTATTATAAATCCTACTTAGTGGTATAAAAAAAAATTGAGTGTAATGTAAATTTTTTTTTTATAAGAGTTAATATAAAATTTTTACGAGAATCGTAAATATTACGGCTTCTCAAAATATGTATAACCGAACTACGCTTTAAATGGTTTTTTGAAAACAATGGTTACATGATTTATTGTTGCTTACAGATATAAATTAGATCATTTTATGTATCTTATCTTCTCAACTTCCTATTTGAAACAGTGACAAACACGTTGCTAGATAAGCTCTTTTTAATATTGCATACTTAAATAATAATTATTATAGTAATAATAGATTAGATTTTAAATTTAAATTGATAAAAGTGATAATTATTTTTATTACTAGTTTTTATATTAACTTACAAAGAAATGCGAAGAAAACGTTTAAACATTGTGATCCACCTTTTACCCATTTTGCATTGATTTTTTTATCAATTATTGTAGGAACTTATTTGTTCCTTATTACATTTTGATTTACACTCATACCATTTTTTCAACAATAATTTAAACCGTAAAAAAAATAAGTGCAAATTATTTTATTCATCTAAAATTGTTGATCACAAATTCGAGAATTTTACACATTTACAAATAAACTAATGATTTAAAAACAACACATTTTGGACCGTCCTAAAATAAATAGTATATATTTAGAAGCCCGTAGAATTGTAGCTGTTGTTTTGAACAATCATGAAATTGCTTATAAATAATGTATATAAATCCAGAACTAAATGATGGAATGTTGAGATGCGTATGTACCTATATAGCTTTCAGTAAATTATCGATTTAGGTATAACCTATGCAATTCTTTAATAATAAAAATTTTTATATTTACGGTTGCCGTAATGCTTACCTATATAGGTATCAGAGTAATACGGATTTCTAACTCCTTTGTTTACACATTTTAGACGATTTAATACTACTTGCTAAATTAGCTTCTTAGGGATTTGTTTTTATCCAATTTCAGCCCTATTGACTATTTGACCCAATTCTTTAGCCAACTGTGTAACGTTGTACTGTAAATATTTATATAAAATATGTAAACTATATACGAAAATCCTCTTTCCTTTTTTTTTTTTTAATTGATTCGATTCTATAGACAAAACCATTTACTATGGTATTTTCATAGAACAAACGAATAACAATTATATTTCCCAATAAAATCTAAACTTTTAAATTTAAACTCAAACGTGTAATATAAATTAAATATATAACCGAGCAATTTTTAAATTTTTGTAATTCTTCATATGGGTGCCTATAATTCAACCGCTGTTCTATAGTTTGTAAGTTTGTTATTATTTTATTCTTAATTATTTACAGATGGGGAAGTAAAAGAATCGTGCTGGATTGCCCAACACTTATAGCTAAGCACATAGTGGTGTCGCATGTCAAGGATATTCAATTGGGCAAGAGGACCTATCACTATTTGCTTAGTGGTTTGGTAAATATTAATTTAATATTTTAGTAGTTAAAAAAAATGTAGGTTTATGTATATGCATATTTCATTATAATATATTAAGTGCAGAAAAAAAATAAACTTTCCATTTTACAATACTATTTTTATGTGCTACAATTATTATATTATACATTTTTTAACACTATTTTTTTATATTGTGTTGAAATATTAAAATTATAAATATTTATTAATTGAATTATATTTAAAAAGAAATGAAACAATTAAAAATATGTCACTTAAGCTAAGAGATTATTCCAAACTAATATCTGCTATCTAAGGCTAGGACAACAATTAAAGTTTTACTGTCTTTAATAAATTGTGGTTAGGATGTTTACAAGGTATATTATTAATGGCTAATAAAATAATACTATTTATGAGATTATTGCCAAAGCTAGATAAGATAGTAATTTTTTCAATTAGTTAAAGCTAAGTTAATTTAATATAAAAAGTAATGAAGTTAGAATAGAAGTTAGTTTCCTAAAATTGTAACTTATTGAAAAAAGTTACAAGTTAGTTTTTTTTCACGATTTCATAATTAAATGAAATTATTACATCGTGTAATAACTGTGCAAATAACTAATGATTTATTTAACAGTAAAATTAAAAATTATTGAATTAATTGCATTTGTTGTGGACGATAGACTATGAGTTACACCCTTATATGATTCTTACAAATAAACAAGGCTCAGACGCACAGTTTAAAATCAAAATTGTAGTATAGCATTAATTAATCTATTATAGATTAATACCATAATAGGTTTATAGAATAAACCATGTATTATAAGACATTTTTGTATTATGAGACATATAAATTATATTATCACAATAATGTTTAACGGAATAACTGAAAATTGGAAGAACAAAATATATGCTATTTTTTCTTCTATTTTAGATTCTGAGCGTTGCGTGGGAGCTATTGGTTTTTCAATGCTGTTTATTTTTTATTATTTTTTTCTAGTCTGTGGACACGTATTTTCCTAGTAAATTTAATTTTTGGGAGTTTTTTGCTGTGATTCGGTTATAAATACACGTCGAGACTTGAAACTTGATAACAATACTTATATTGAAATTGCCTAGCCGTGGCAAAATTTCCAGAATCATCGGACGAATTTAATTTTTTTAATATGAGTTTTAAAATTCAAATTTAAACGAAAATCGCAAAAAAAATTACGACACTTCAAACTATGTATTACTGGACTGCGCTCGGAATCGTCAAGCAATGGTTTATTGTTGCTTACAGGTATAAATGAAATAACTCTATGTATCCTACCTTCCTAAATTCTCATCTACAACAGTGGCCACTCCCATCTACAGTATCAGTACCTTTTTTTTTTATATGATTTCAAAATAACGAGTTATTCAATGTTTTTTACACGTCAGATTTGATTTTATACTTATATTAAATCAAACTAGTTAAGTTAGAACATTACTATGAACTAAAACCAATTAGTTAAATTAGAAAGTTACTTTAAAAATAACTTTCTAACTTTATTGTAACTTTCTAACTAGTTAGTGCCCAGCTTTGAAAATTACGTGATATTTGAATATTTCATATTAATTTAAACTATGTGCAATTGTAATCTACAGGAATAAAGACAATTGCAGTGAATTTGGGTGTCTGTATTTCAAAATGTTTCCCTTTTGATTACGTTTATGTAGAATAATATTTTTATCTAAAATAATTTGGCCGCCTGCATCCAATTGGACTTTTTACTTTTTTTTTTAAACTTAATTGTGTATATATACTACTCGACACTACAGTAAAATGTTTTGTTGGAATTTGTACGCGTTAATTATTGTTTAATGTTTTTAATCCACATATAATGTACATTAAGACACATTTGATTTAAGGTCCATGAATACCTACATTTATTAAGGAATAAAACAATGACCCCCTCCAAAAAAAAAAAAAAAAAAAAAATAGTATTTACTAAACATCCTACCCATTTTAACGAATCATCTTGAACTACACAACGCAATAATTTTATTACTTTTGTGCATTCACATCAAATATGCTTTTATTTATTCAAAATATTTTAATTTTTGTTTGCCTAGAAAACAAATTATTTATTAGATTCTTATAATGGTTATGAATTATTCATTTCTAAAAATAGTATACAGTATACATTAATTATATTTTACAATTTGCTCATACAAAAATATATTTGTATTACTATGACCTGTGATTTTGTATGTTAGATTCTTAACGGAGTGAGGAATTTATTGGTTTTATTATAATGTGTGATGTTTTATTTAATTTTTTTTTATGTCGATAAATAACTTTTCTTTCAGACACCATGCTACAATAATAAAATTATAAGATATCCTTTTTAGTGTATTTTGAATTTGATTGGAGTGTTCAATAGGAAAAACCGAAAAAAATTAAATAAGAAAAATGGTCAAATTTATAGCAATAAAAGTTTCATTTTTTTTCCACTAAAAATCTTATTCTGACTTTAAAATTATTTGGTACTTGAAATATGTTAATATTCTGAAATAAATTGTTCATAATATAAAAAAAAAAAATATATTTAAATTGTATACAATAATAGAATTGATATTGTACCACGTAGTACAAACCTATATAAATATTGTACTTGTACATGTAGAAAATAGGTACGTTCAATTTTAATTTTAAATGATTTTATATCTGAACACTGTTATTACATAATATAGGCAGTTGAAGAGCGTATTATTGAACATACAAGAGTTAAAGGCTTAGAATATTATAATAAACACCCAAATACCCATATACTTTAGTAAATGACAGTAACTTACTGAATGATAGTAATATGTTTAATCCTGTACCGATAAAATTATAAAATTACAATAATGATGAATTTGTATCACTCATTATGAGTATTTTTTTATGATACATTTTAATGTAGCTTATTATGATATAAAATAAATACAATTGAATGGAATGTTAACATATCTAATATTAAATTTAATTTAAAAAAATAGTTTATACTAGGGACGAGAACAGCCACTGTTGTAGGTGAGAAGTTGAGAAAGTAGGATACCTACATAGCATATTTTAATTGTAATATGTACACAAAGATGTACCATTGCTAATAAAACGTATTGGACATATTTTAAAATGCCTTAATTTTTTCAATTTTCTGCTAAATTTGACCTTCAAACACTTATGAAAAAAAAAAAAAAAAAAAACAAACGAACTAATATATTAAACTAAAATTTTTTTTTAAACTACTTAGTACAATTTATAACATTCATTGTGTTAATTTTTAGGTGTAGGGGTAAACAATTAAAAATGGTTTTAAAATAAAGCTTATGCGATTCCAAAGCGATTAAAAAAAAAAAAAAATCAAATTTATTAAAATCCTCCGAGATTATTGCTGGTGTATAATAGAAAAATTACTCTGTATATAAAAGGAACAAAATTTATCTCATGTCCTTTTTATATTGAAGCAATACTTTTGGTAAAAAACATAATTTGTAAAAATTAAAAACGACAAAATCAGGAACGCCACATTGTGCCGTAAATATTTGCTGATAATTTTCTTTTCGGTTTTTTCCGAATTATTTTGAAAACCCCCTGGAATATGACCTTTTTAATGCACTTTCTAGAGAAAAATTTTTTTCAGAAAAAGTACTTAACTCTACCAGGTGATCTATTTAAGTGAATAAATTCATTATCCCGGAAAGTATTAATTTTTTCCATAATTTGTTTTCTATTTACGAACTTTTTAATATAGGTTGCCATTTGAAAATCAAAAGTAGGTAGTGGTTTACCCCCAAAAATAAGAGTGACAAAAAATAACATAAATATAAAATTGTAGAGCTGCTTGTTTCTTAAATGATCTAGAAAACGAATTACGAAAAAAATTTGTTTATGTGAAGAAAATAAAACACACATTAAAGCAAAATTAATAGATCTCTATCGCTAGACTCCGAATCTAAAACAAATAACTGTTTTATTAAAAAAAGTAGATAGGTTTCTACATAAAATTGATAGTGCACACTAATTTAAATGTATTAATATTTGTATACAATTAGATTTGAATGTCATAAAATAAAAAAAATAATGTCTATTTTGCAGCTAGAAATCAGCTATAAACAGAAAAATATGCTTTAAAACTCTTTACATACACTAAATAACTATTCTACAACATGATTTTATCAGTATAATATAAAATTAATTGAAAATCTCAACAAAATATTATTATATTATTAGTTATAGTATAACTGAATAAGTGACCGATGACTAAGAATTTGACTGGTCGACAAATGTTTAACTTGTGTATTTTGTTAGTGGCGTACAACGCACACCGTAGAATAAAGAATGTACGATCCGAACGGTTAGAGTTATCGATCTCCTGATCAAGACTCAAGATCAAATGTGTACCTAATCTTATAATATATTTTGAATGCAACTTTAATTCTAAATTATGGAATATCGCTCCAAATAAAATATCGGATACACCAATAATATAGGTTACCTATCATATGATACAACATTAAAATTTGAATACTTACATTCCTTTTTAGTGTTACATGGTATCTACTTATTATATTATTCCCGGTAGGCAATATGTATTATATTAATATATTTATAAAGTTTCGGTTTAATTTAATTTTAGAGTTTCTCTAAAATTCTACCATGTTCTATCATTTGAGCGTATCTTTGATACACAGAATCACCACTGATTAATTATAAGGTACCTACAAAGTTAGTGATTCCATATTAATGGAATAGGGTGGGGGTGTTAAATTAATTAATTTTGCAAACGTGTGCTTTTAAGTTTTCGTCAAAAGACAAACAGCTTCGTTGACAAACTTACCCATTAGATGTATTGTGTACCTAAATGAGGAATTTTAATGCATAATTACCTGCGTATTAATCATTTGTGTTTAAAAATATTATTACAAATATTCAAATATGTTTATGAAATCGTTCAAGAATCAGGAAATAAAAACACAGATAATTATTTAGATTATTTACCTATATTATGTGATATTGTAGGGATAAATAAAAATAATTAAATAAATTAGGTATTATGAAATATAATAGTTAGGTATCTTGAATTTACTTGATGTTATTTGTAATGTGGAACTTAAATATATTCAATTATTTATACATTAGTATAGGTAAGACAAAATATTAAATAATACTGTTTATAAAAAAGATGATATACTTGTTACAGTTTTGATATTTTAAAAAGGTTTTTTGAAATGCTGACTGATTATATTATTGCAAAATTCATTACTGGAGTAATAAATTATGGTTTATTTCATAATAATATTATAATTAAGTACAATTTTTATGCAGTTCTTAAAAATATCAATAACTTCCAAATGGGAAATACATGTAGTAATTCAATGAAATAAATATTCTAACATGATTAGAGTAATATGTTTATTTTGAATTGTATGTTAATTGATGTATGTTTTTGTTTAATTTATATGTGTATGCAATTATCTCGTCAAGTGTTAATAACTTATTGTTTTTCATCAGATAATGGACGATCATTGGGAATCTGAAATCATAGAATATGGTGCTGTCAATATAACTGGATTTAGATTATTGGATATGAATCAATGGGTAGTTAAAGACTTTCTTACTCAGTGGAATAATATAAATCCCAATCCTTCACCTGGGGTAACAAAAGACACAATTTCGGTAAGTAAAAAAACAATTAATATCCACTATTTTTATTTCGAATGTATGAAATTAATGTATGTTATAAAATACGATATTTAGAATATACGTCAACGATGATTTTAGTAGTTTTTTTTTTAATTTCTAACTTTTACGATATTTGTATGTACGTGGAAAATTACTTAGTTATAATACAATAAGGTACTTGGAACACAATTAGGATACACAATATATCAATGTTTTAAAAAAAAAATACTTTTTATTAGTCTTATTACCTTGATATTCATTGGTTTTTATTAATTTTGTCAGCAAAACATAGGAAATGTTTCTTGTTGTGTTTATTTTAATTATAATATATTATTTTATTATAAAAATGCTTATAATAATTTAGGTATGATAGCTTATATTTGTTTTTGTCGTTTTTATCTTATGATTGAGTAAACAAAAGTTGTTTTTTGTAAACTGATCTTGTCTAATGAGTTACCCTGAAAATTTGGGTGTGATTGTGTTTCCGTGGCTTTTATATTATTATTCATCCTCTGGACTATTTGCTGGTACAAACATTGTGATATTTTTTTGGCTACTGCAGAATTAGTGAAGACTAGTTAGTGAGTTAGATTGTCTTTAGTCTTCAATAGGGCATCGCGCGAAAATGTTTTGCTATCAATCATGAACCAAAGCCCTACTGACAAATATGGCTGCTCCATCATTTCATTTCCTAACAACAACAAATCAATCACACTCAAAAATGTTCACTATATACCCTCCGCCTTTTCAATTCTCTATCTTGAAAATACCACTATATTTGTGTATGTATTTATTTTTTTGTTCATGTTTTATTTTTATGCTACAACGACGACCTATAAATGGAAAGGATTCGGATTAATTTTTTACTCATTTGTCACGATCCGCGCATTGGATTTTCGTCAACTGACGTATTGCTCTCATCTCCCTATGTAATAAAAATAAAATAACATTCTCCTTCACATAACAATCTAGTCTTTTTTTTTTAACCTTATTTTCGGTCTAATATTAGATTTTAATGGATCAGTATACTTTTTTTTTACAGGCCCAAGCTGCATTAATGTATGACGCTGTTCAGGTTCTCGTAGAAACCTTCAACAAGGTTCTTTGGAAAAAACCAGATACGTTCAAATCCAAGAGAGTGACAGCAAATAGTAATTCATCCATGTCCAGCGTTTCGACTTCGCAGAGTCCCGTTCTGGACTGTAACGGTGGTCGAACATCAGGGAATCAATGGGAACATGGTGATAAAATATCACGATATTTAAGAAAAGTAAGATTATTATAGAATATAAACTCTGCAAAATATTAAAATTTTGTTAGGAAATATTTTTTTGAAAAGCAACTTTGCAAGTTATAGTTAATAAAATAATATCATATCGCTGTGTGAATCACCAAATAAAGAGATGAAAATGTAATACATTATGTCAAGTATGGTAAAGAGAAAGTAAAAAATTTAATATAATTGTAATATAATGAATGTATACATGTTTATATGTATGTGTGTATGTATATATGCATGTATGTATGTATTTTTGTTGAATTTAACTAAAAATAAAATAGGTTGGAGTTTTATTTCAATTGGGTACCTTGTATACATTTCCAAAAAATTAACTATTTTAAAGTACTAATTAGGAAAATACGATTAAAAAAATAGTAAAATAGTAGATAGTTTGAACTTGCAATATTTATTAAGTAACACTGAAATTTGCATTATAAATAATATTTTAATAATACATATTTGTTCCTAACTAAACACAAAGTCAAATTTTTAAATATGATATTCTTGTAAATTTTAATGAAAATTTCTGAGTAGGTTAGGAAGGAAGCTTATGTTTTTATGATTTTTTATAGAGTTTTTCCAGCAAATGTGAAAAACCAAAAAAAACATAGGAAAACTGGGGAAAATCGGTACAATATTAAACAAATATTATTAAAGAAAATATTTAATGTCCATTATTATTTTACTATAATATGCCATATATATTGTTGACAACGTATTACTATCAACTAAACTGTACTCAGAATCGTTTTTTCGTTAGCAATGGTTTATCGTTGCTTACAGATTCACATTAAATTCCCGTTTCTATCCTACTTTCTCAACTTTCCACAGTCCGTCTTTTTCTAATTTCTTTCTAAAACTAATGAAAAAAAAAAAAAAATAAATAAATAAATAGATATTCAGTGAAATAAATTTAAAACCTTATGTTAAATGTTTATAAATATATTGTTAAAAAGTGCTAATACGGGGTAATGATTTTGGAAATTAATAATGAAATCGTGAAATTGTACGTTTTCCTACGTTTTTCCAGTGCTTTTATTTAAAAAATGGTGTCGAAAATTAAAAAATTACCTCTTTAAAGTACAATCAAGACAATTTACTTGAGCTCTCATAAAAGTTGCTACACATAAAAATTAGAGCAAGTTTATTAGCAAAAAAGGTTTCCACAGACTAGAAGAAAAAAAAAATAAACATCTTAGTAAAACCAACACATTCTTTGCTACACTCAGAATCTAAAGAGTAGTAAAGAACGGTTTTCATTGTTATTTTTTCTAGCCTGGAGGTTTGTAACGTATAATATGATTTGTTGGTCTGTGAATCAAAAGTAAATTGTATTCATATTAATAATCCTGAAATTATTTTAGTTTATAGCTTTATATTATATTTTACAGTATAATAAATAGTATGATAGGAGATTATAGGTATTTTATTTGTGAGGAAATGCTGATGATTTAAAGGCTTTGGTTCCACCTATATTTGGGTTCAAAGACATCTTGACGAAAGAAATTTTGCCGAGTTTTTTTTGACGACGGATTAATCGGTGAACGGATATATCGGTGAAACTATTTATTTGATTAAAAAAAAATAACATTTTATATTTATTAAATCAAAAATCAAAAACCAATGTTCTATGATAATATTTATAGATAATTTATTAGATCCCGATTTGAATAATTTTCTATCATCTTTTTTATTTTCTGCGGTTGTTTTAAATTTCAGTTTTTGCTTTTCTTTTTTACCTGCCTCAACACGTGTTACTTTTAATCTAGCTAATCCGACCTCCTTTTGTAGACCTTCGAATTTCTACCAAATTGACACATGTCTTTATTATTTACCAACTTAAAAGTTAAAACTACGAGTATATAGTGTTTATAAGTACATCAATTCTATATATTAATTTTATAATATAGTGATGAAGGTTTTTAGTAACTTAAATAAAATAACAATGGTTACACCTATCTTATAAGTAATAAATAATAATACATTAATGCTCAAAAGTTAAATGTACATAAGTTGTTTTATTTATTAAAACCTTGTATAACCTTGTGTATAAAAGACGATAGTCAATCGGCTATAACTGTATTAGTGTATAATAAAATTAACCGAAATATTTTTCGACATAAAACGAAAATCGATGGATAGAAGAAAAAACAGTTAGACCAATACATTTCTTACTTCGCTCCTAAATCTAAAAATTAACTTTAGTTTTTAAAATGAAAATTTATTTTGTTGATTTCACGTCAATTAAAAAAAGAATTAACTTAGTAGTTAACGGAAAACTAAAAGTCACTAATTAAGTTAAAAAGTCTAAATTAAATTAACTTTTTAACTAGTTAATATCCAGCCTTGCTCACCGATAATGTAGCTTCTAATAGGTGAAAAAAGTTTTAAAATCGGTTAAGTAGTTTTTGAGCTTATCCATTGCAAAAAAATAAAACACTCTTTTCTCTTTATAATATTAATAAAGATAAGGTTTTGTAATTTTTTTTTTTTGTATTATTTTTACTAAATAAATTGTCTCGCCGAAATATCCGTTTGCTGATTTATCCGTTCGCCGATTTATCCATTTGTCGATTTATCTGTTTGTCGAACACGATTCGTCAAAATGTCTTTTGTCGAATTGCCTTTCACCAAAATCACCGGATACCCTGCATTTGTTGTCCTTGTCTTGCATGAGCGTATCATTACAAAATTGGTTTTCGTACTTCCATTAGTGTAATAATTTAATAGTCTAATATTACACTACATATATTATATTGATCTATAACAACATTTTGTTAATGATACCATTATCCTAATGGTAGTGTTGGCAGAGACGTCAGAACAACAGGGTCAGTGGGGTCGCTCCCGCATTGGCAATAATTTCATGAAATAAAACTGCACACAAACATACAAATATTTTACAACGGCTATAAGTACTCTGTATTATAATTATCATGGTCGTTTCTAATGGGTGGTGTGAGGTGCAAAAGGTGTCCACACACCGGGGCCCTATGGCTACAGTGGCATCATTTAAAATGTTTAATTTCTGTTACTGAATATTTTTATAATATACGTATGAGTGAACGCACACGCAGGTTGGACCTTTTTTTTGCTCATGGGTACATTTATCCGGCATCGAGTGCTGATTTTGCTAGGCACTGATAATAGTTATTATAATAAATAATATGTACTCAGATACCTATAATACCTATGGGTATATTATTTTTTCTTCTTCTCGCCTTCATCTCAAACTACGAGTATATTATATAAAATCAAAAAATAATAACATTTGTTTTTCTATCATTTGAATTGAATTTTCACCAACAATAAAGACTAATGCGCTGTATTGTGTCTCTTATAGGTATATATACCTGTATAACTTATTTCCTGATATATTTGAACACTTTTATCAGTTTTATTAGCTCTCTTTTGACTAAATGAGCTCAAACTTTAGAATTATAATTGTTTTTTTAGGTGCATTGAAGTCATAAAAGTTAAGTTAAATTTCAACACGAATTTTACTGCGTTGTTGCGAGTGAAGTGTTTGTTTAGGTTTAAATACTCTTACAAACCACTCAAATATAGCCCGGGGGATAAAATTGTATACATGCATGACGTTAGTATAAATATGGATGTGCCTTTTGAGAGTTTTCACTTTAAATACCCATCCCATTATTTTTATAATCAAATTTTACTATTTTTTTTTTTTTGGGAGTAGTATAGTTTAAGTATAGTACCTATTGTATGTATTACATTATTATACTCTTCGGTTATCTATTTATTGTTTTAAAAATAATATTTATATAATTTAAAATGGCAGGGGGGAAATTTGACTTTAATAACGGAGCACATGCTGCTCACACGTGTTTTTTTTTTTAAATTTTCGATATTAAATTTATTGACAGTAAAATATAATGTTATTGTGATTGTATTTCGGCCCTTTAACTCCATACATTACTTTTTCCTTTCAAATTCTAAAAATTGTTCTGACATCTACGGGTTTGTAATTTTTTTTTTGAAATAGCTAAATTATAAATAGACTAAGTTTAGATAATTTATACAAAAATATTAATATTGAAAAACACCCTCGATATTATTTAGATTTGATTTATATAAGGTTTATATAAATCTACCAGACACTGGAAATTTACAATAGATAAGTAGTTGGAAACCAATTTTATTTCACTACGATTATACGCGTTTGTAAAGCGAGAGCAACGAATACGGTTTTGACATCTTATTACGATTTTTTTTTTTTTTTTTAATGTAAATGTCAAAAATGCACTTATAATATCAAAATCCTTGTAATAAAAATGAATTTATAATATTAACATAATAAATTAATAAGTAAATATTACCTATAGAAAAGTTTTATAAAGCAATGAAAATTGAAATACAAACTTTTGGTTTGTCCACAAACATAGAGTGTATTAAACAAAATTTCGGTAGGATTTTAATTTGACGTCAGCGAGGTTAAAATTAATTAAATTTTACTTACCTACATTGTTAATAAATGTTAAACGAAAATTGACGATTTTAATATTACTATTGATATAGGTAATGGAATTATATTATTTTTAAAGTATTTGTTTCTTGTTTATGACATTAACAATTTATAACAGAATCAATATTTGTTGACTTACTAAAAAAAATGTATGCATGTTTATTATATGCCTATCGTAGCAATACAATTTATTGGACAGAGTAAATTAATTATATTTCCATTTGACGTTTGTGTATATACTATATTCATTTAAATTTGAATGGGGTATATTAGGTTGTTTAATTTCTAATATATCTGTATAATAGGTATTTAATATTTTATGTTAAAATACAAAGTATTTGTTTTTTAATAAAAAATACCAATATCATAGAACGGGTATATCTTTTTAATAATTTTACAATATTTATATAGTTACAATGCCTAACACATTTTAAGTATTGGAATTAATTTTAAATTATAATGTTTGTGTAAATATAATATCATAAATGCTGTGATATAGTCATTTGTAATATAAAAATATAAAATTCATATGCAAAAGTGTATAAATATAATTTGCATATATTACCTAAACAGGATATAGTCCAACCCAAGGCCTTATGAAAACTTTTTTTGAGCCCTCGAGCATATGAAAGTGTAATTTAATAATTTAAATATTTTGTGTAAAATTGCTTTTAAACTTCTTTTTTTTTTAACAATTTTATTACGCGTAGAACGTAAGTTTTAGTAAATAATAATTTATGTTCATAAAATATAATATGAATAAAATGGTTTTTCGATGGTATATAAATTACATTTAAATTAAACATCTGAGTACTTTATACGTATAACATAAATTGATTCAAAACTGAATAATATAAGTATATTATATTTTAATGGGCAGTCTTTATTTTCGCATCTGTAGTATTTATTTATTTAATTTTTAATAAATTCATTTACGCGTAAACTCGGGTTTCACCGTATACACGCTTTATTACTTTATTTTAAACGTAGTAAAACGAGCGTTTATTAAAATACATTTTTGCATTGTGTTTAATACCCACAGAAAATCAGAAGATATAATAAAGTATAAGTGAATTTAACTATTTTCATAATATCCAATAAAAGGATACTACGCGCGTCTATTACTTTTGAAGATTTTAGTATGCTATATGGGCTACGAGTATACGGCTCTATACAGTTGAGTTTTCTTTTCGACAATAATTTCCTATTGTGTAGTATTGCGTTAAATTAAATTTATCGTATAATACACTGCGGAAATATCGTGCGTTTTTTTTTCGTTCGTATTATATAAATAAAATAAGCGAATATATAATAATTTTGTAAATCAGTTATTGCAGTTGCGGCGGCGAGTATATACTCGGGAAAGCACTCTGCGACTCGGGATCCAAACAAAACTTAATTACGAAATTGTTCTTTCTTCTTTTCCGTTTGCTCTCTTCCGCCATTTCACGCCGTTACCCTGTTTTTATATATATATATTGTCTGCAGGCCTATCCGGATGTGTAGTTTATAGTGTAAGTACAGTATATATATATATGTAGTTACGCTGTCGTATTATACTCCTTCCAACGGTGGCTATCGGAGAGGAAGTGAAAATGTCGAGGGGATGGGGTAGGGGCAAGTTGTGTGTCGGGGCGCGCGGGTTATCCAAAGTGGTATAAATGGGCTCGGACGTCCCGTCGCGTTAATAACGTCCGCGCGACATAATCCCTCTTCTTTTTTCTCCTTCTCCGCCCCTCTCCACCGTTTCTCCTATATTATTATTATTATTATTATTATTATTATTATTATATATACTCGCGCACACCCTTCCTCTTCAGTTCGTCGCTCCCGGTGAAATTTTTATTCCGCCGGCGGCGGCGTAGTTTTTAATTTCACTCCCCTAAGTGAAATTAGTGAGTTCCGCGGCCGACACTCACCTATATATATATTTAATATTTATATACACACACCTATCCGTTATATATGTATTTACTGCGCCGATCCTCTAAGCCGTACCGGCAAACCGACTCGCTATATTTTATTATTATTATTATTATTATTATTGCGTGTGTATATACTCTGTACACGCACGTTCAATCTTCATTTCTGCCACTTTTCTGTACGAGAAAGCCGGTGACTTCGCGCGCCGTCCGTCCGGGGCATCCGGTGACGACGAAGGTACCACCGGGCGACCAAAACCCGCGAACTCTCATGCCGCCGTCGCTCCACCGCGTTTTGACGTCACCGCCGCTGCCGCCGCCGCATCTGTCTCTGTCGCCTTTTATTATCTCTCCTTTTCACCCCCGCGCCAAAATCGCCGGGCGGTCTGGTAAAAAAAAAAAAAAAAAAAAAAAATTTAAAACATCGCTTCTCCATATTATTATTATTATTATTAAGAGTCAACGTGTACATAAAATAATAATACAATATGATGTAATGCGTTCGCGACACGGGTAATAAACGACGGGTCGTTATATGTTATAATAATAATAATAATAATAATAATAATAATAATAATAATATTATTATTATTATTATAAATACAGACTCTCCGCTACAGCGTGTATGCAAAATTACTCTTTTCGCGTTGACGGCGTGCGCGCGCGCGCTTGCATAATATATTAACTACAATACTACCTACTTTCGTCTGTTTTGTCTCTGTGGTGTTTGTATATAATATACTATAGGCAGAAGTGGCGTATTTCGGGCTTTTTTTTTTCTTTTTTTTTGGCGGGGTGTGCTGACTCCTGGCAATACTTATTCTCCATAAATATTAACATAGCTTCATCACGAATTCATACCTGATTATAATACACCTTAAAACCTTGTAAGTGGTAATTTGATTGTAAACAAATTTTAGGATTGCCACTTAAATTTTTGATTGTAATAAAATTATGACAGGAATGAAGTATAATAACCTGATATTATTGTCGTTCGATAGTCTCCAAATATTATTAATCCATGATAGAAATGTTCGGAGCAGTTTTAAAATATTTCGTCATTCATCAACAATATTTTGCGATACTTCAGTCATGAATTGAACCAGAAAAAATATTAGAAGGTGTTTTAACTCCCAGGACACCCCTCCCTAAATACGCCACTGGTAGACAGAGGTGAGTCTAGGAATTAAATTAGAAGGGAGCTAAAACAAAATTCACTTTTCATACGTGTTCATAGTGTATTTTTTTTAATAATTTTAATAATTTTAATGATTTTGATTTTCAATATATTGTATAGATTATATTGTTATTATATATAGACAGGGGCAGACTGTAGTGGAGTATTCAGCCCAGTGGCCCATATAATATGGGAAGGGTTTAGGAATCTCCCCTATGACCCCTGTTTTAGTAGGTATCTTTTACTTTTATGACTACTTTTTTTTGAATTTAAATTGCACTACTCTTGTTTGGAAAAATCGAAAATATACTAGTACCTATAGTTGATAAATACTGAAAAATTTTAACTTATTTTGGAATTCGGTGTATGTATACAGAAAATGATCAATCCTAAGACACTAGTAATAATATTTTATTTTGGAAAATATTAACTTTTTTCGGAATCCGTTTTTTTTTTTTTTTGATAATTTAAAAAACAAGTAGTTTTAAAATGTTAAATTACCGTTATTTTGTGTCACTCTTATTTTAAAGGGTGCTAAACACTTTTAATTTTTAAATAGCAACCCATACTAGAAATTACATTATTAGGTGAAGTTTTATTTTAAATAAAAATATTAGAGTCAATATTTTTAATTTTCGTCAACCTATTGACGATATATGCCACTTTTATGTTTGGGTAGAGAGAGCAATGGACTATTCAAATGCTGTGCGCCATCCCACCACCCAAAATATTATATGTTAACACTAATGTGTATGTTTGGAATAAAATCTATTCATGGACATACTTTAATATAGGTTGCTCTTTGAAAATCTAAAGAGGGTCATGGTTTCACCTCCAAAAGTAAGAGAAACGAAAAATAACACTGAAGTACATTTTAGAGTTACTTGTTTTTTTAAATTATTAAAAAAATAAATTTCCGAAAAAAGTAAATACTTTCTGAGATAATGAGTGCGAAGATAGATCACGCTGTACATAGTATATACTTACTTGTGGGGTGTGTGACATGAACGAGTTTTGGGTGGCCTCCATATACGTTCTTTCTTGTCAATGAGTACAATTATTTAATTTCAATAGTAATTTTATGACTAATTTAATTATAAATTACTTTACTAAAAAAAATATGTAAATTAAAAATATAATTTTTTTTTGTGTCTAGCTAAATAATTTCATCTACTTTCTTTATCCAAACCTCCCTCTTTGGCAAAATTCTTAACACGCCTCTCATTCAATTTACCGTTCTGGAAAATTATTGGCTCAAAAAGCACATAGCTAGAATCAATCAAGGCTGTAGCGTGAAAAATTACGGGGAGAGGAGAGAAAGTCCAACAATTTTTCTCATTTCATAATATTTTCTATTTAGGAAACAATTTACCTCATCTTCCCATCACATATGACTTTGGGTTCAGTAACTTATCTCAAAAGTTAATATAGTTCTTAATTTAAAAAAAAAAAAAAAATAATAATACTTGAAATAAGTGTATTAAACTTAAAATTCTTGTTAGGTGATGGCTGGAATTCTGACTTCCTACCTCGATTATATTTATTGTTTGTTAATGTTCTACAATTATTTTGATTCTGAGAAAAATAATAATTTTTTTCCGTTGTACATTTTGCAAATGCATAAGAATACCGTCGAGAATTTAAAACTTGAATGTTAAATTTTTAAACATTATGTTCCTTTGCCATATTATATTGTAAATTTTATGATAAAATGGTTTTGTACTTAAAACATTTTATTTGTGTGTAGATATACTATAAGTATTTTTCGTAAATTGTTGTGCTTTTGAAATAATTTTATCAGGGACAAAGAAAAAAGAATTTTCATATCATGTGTCATACCATATGATAATTTTATACACACACACATTTATATATATAAATACATATAAAAGCTGTTTTAGGCATTTTTTGAACAAAGTTTCTATAATTTAATAAAATAAAATTGGTCCTGTTTAAATATGACAAGAAAAATATTTATTTTTTTTTTTGTGAAACTGACTGACGTATTTTTTTTAATAGTTTAAAATGTTTTAAAAATATATTTGTATATTTTAAAAATAATAACCCGACTATCGAAATGAGTTTGTCGATGCCACATAAATATAAGCGATACAATTTTAATTCAATTTATTTATAATTATTGAATACGTATTTTAAAAGATTCGGTGTGATAAATTGAATTAAAAAAAAAAATAAAAAATACCACCTCGCCATCAGATTGAATATGAAAAAAAAAATAGGATTTATGTATTTAGTTGCATTAATCCTTTATAACAACAGTGTTGACAGGTCCAAAAAAAAAAAAAAAAAAAAAAAAACATTAATCATTTTATGATTCTTTAAATAAATATTATTTATTAGTGTTGACCAAATAACTACACAACAATACATTTCGAGAGTGATTAAAACCGTGTTTACATTGTATTTTTACAAATTTAATAAATACCTATATACGTATACGTATTGATACTTTAATCTAGATTCAAGAATAATTTTTAAAATCAATCTCATACGATTCAATTCATTATTATTATTTTTTTTTAATTTGGAAGACTAATATTTTATCCCAATACTATACTGATACTATATCAATAAAGTCAAATATAAAATTATTTATCGTAAACAATATATTTATTATTATAGTCTATGCATTTTATTTTTACTATGGAGATTGGCGTTTTATCAAACATATTTTTAAACAGTTTGAGTATAATGATTGTTAAAAATAAACTAATCGAACTACCTTTTGGACAAAAAAATATAATCAAACGATTATTAGCCTATTTGTTATGATATGTTTGTTAAGGGGACTGTACGTGACTAGTTTTTTCCCTAAAATAGGCTTTACAATGTTAACTCTTCTGCTTCGTGCCGTAGTTCGATTTCGATAATTTGTTTTGTTTTTTGAAAGACGAAGATTTTTTACATGGTGCATTAGATATGATTTTTGAAAACTATATTTCCAAACGCTATAACAAAAGTTTATAGATAATAGTTTAGTTACGGTTTTTGGTTACATAATAAAAAATTAAAGTCCAATGTGTCCTGTAGAAAGTGATACTCTGATTGATTATTTTTGTTATGATTCGTTAAGAATTTTCAATTATAAATGTTAATAATTTGTTATTATCAGTGGTCAAACATATGTAAAAAACCACGACCAGGTCAAACAATTCTTAACATAGTATTATGATAAGTTCTATTCCAAAGTTTAAATCAGACATTTCTATCTTATTTGTTATTAATTAATATTAAATTTGTATAAAAAAAATAAAACTGATTTCACCAACTATTCGGTTCACCTATACATTATTATTAATTATTATCGTGAAGTAACCACACAAAACCGTATCATTTTTTTTTTTTTTAATTATATTACTTAACAATCCGAAGTGTACAAGCAGAGGTGAATACGATACGGATACTTAAATTTAAAAAAAAAAACCTATACTTAATTATCAGATATACTAAAAACACATTTTTAACGCATATGAAAAGTGAATTTACCTCTAGCCCGTATCTAATTCCTAGATCCGCTCTTGCATATAGAAATGTGTTGGATCTAATATTTCCGTTCCTATATACTCGGGCCATTTATTTGCATTACAGATATAAACGGAATACATTGTTAATTCCCAAGAATCTCGTGCGTAAAATCGTTATATAAATCAAACCCTTCCCCTGCGATACATTCCCGCGTTCTCAAATTTATTCATCCTAGGCTGGTCACGTTTTATTTCAACGCACCGTAGACATTTGTTAAATGAATCGAAAAGCTCGAACCTTTTTTCCACACTGAAGCGGGGTTTGTTTTTCGAACGATTATTAATTGAACGGGGAAAAAAATACTATTTTTTAATACCCACTCCTACAAGGCTATAATTAAATAGAAACGATATACTTTGCCGATTAAACTTATTTGTGATCATTTTGTATTATTCAATTAGTATTATTTCTTAAGGGGCCCGGTGCTGGTTTTTCAAATTGTCTTCAATTGTGTAACATTTGAAAAATGATTTTTAATATTTTATTGACAACCTTAAATTTAAGACTTCCCCACAAATCAACAACACGATAACCATTTATAGCTTGAGTAGGAGTAGGGTAATTTTTATGGACAAAAATGATTTCACTGGAATAGGTATAACTCATTATAAAGTTTTTCCTGCTCTGGCAACGAACCCCTTAACAAATACTTTTATAATAGTTAAAAATTATTAATTTTTTTTTTTTTTTTTAATGTTTTAGGTTGTTATAGAAGGATTGACTGGGCATATAATGTTCAATGACGATGGGAAACGATACAATTATACATTGCACGTTGTACAAATGACCATAGACAGCACAATAACAAAAGTAAGAGAGGGTTTTTCGGGTTCATGCAGAGAACCTTTTTTTTAGTTTCGGAGCGTAAGCGAGGAATGTATTGGTTTTACAATATGTTTGGGGATAATAATAATAATTGGGGAAAACCGGGAAAATTTACGAAATGTATTATTTTTAATTTTGTTTTTCGTTGTAATTCAGTTAAAATTATTTCTAGAAACTTGAAATTAAAAAAAAACATTTATATTTGTATTTTCTAGATGTAGTTAAATTTTTAAAATTGTAGAGTCATTTTTGAGCTTTTTATAGACATTTTAATTTTGTTAGTCTTTTACGTAATTTGTATTTAGTAGGTCTCTGTAGATAAAATTGTTAGACTAAATAGTAATGCTTGGAAATTTGACAGGAGGTTCATTATGAGTTGTACTTAGTGGTCAAAATAAATTAAATAACTTGATGTATCTAACTTTCTCAACTAACCACCTACAGCAGTAGTAGTACCCGTCTTCAGTAACATCTCTTTTTTAAATTACCTTATTAATATTCTTGATTAATTCGAATATTATTTCAAAGTAATTTTAAGCAATTTTTATTTAAAAAAAAACTACAATATTGTAAAATAATATAACCTATTTTAAAACATTATATTTTTATTAAAAATACAAAATAATAAACAAATAAATAATATTGATTTGAAAACTACGCATATAATGCTAATATAATATTTTAATAAAACTACAATTAATTAAGGAAGGTATAACTATTTATTTTTAATAAAGTACATATTTTATTGATTTATCGATTTGAATGTTACAATATGTAAATTCAAAGATTTTAATCCAAATTTTTAGATACAATAAAATGTATCCATGTTGTGAATCTTTTAGAAAAATTGTGTTGTATTATAGTTTTATAATATAAATATATACATTTTTTTCATTTCATATAATATTGTTTTTGTAAAACAAAAATATTTCATATCTTTATTCTTGGAATGAAATATCACCTCGCTCGCGCGTCATATGCATATTTTTCTACATATAAGGTGTTGTTCATATTTTATTATGTTATTAACAATTTAGATTGCGGAATGGTCAGACACAGACGGCTTCAAAACTGTCATTAGCAAACCAGAAAGGGTTCACACCTTGGGACATTCGCACAAAGGGAACGCTACATTAATCGTGGCCACATTAATGGTGAGCGCATACAACGGGCTATAGTAATTTTAAGCTAATTAAATCTTAATCTAGTAAACACATTACTCGCACCGTCGAGGACAATGTCATCTTCAATATAATACCTACTCCGGTTTACAAACGAGATGCTTGAAATTTTATAGGTATCCTCGAAAATACCTACGGCTTTATAACAAGTTAAAAAAAAAAAAAAAGAAATAAAAAATGTAAATACTTTTCCAACTTGGTATTTTAATATACGCGATGAAAAACCAACTGTATGCGAAAAAGAGAGCTATATTATAATGCGAAAAACGTGAAAAAAGAACACACTATAGATATTTAAAAAGATAAAATGCCGTAAATCTTTTGAGATATAGTATACATTGTTCCGGAGGTCTTCAAAGCTCGGATGAAATACGAGTATCGCTGCTAGTGTACTAAAAACTTTGTACATTATCAATTTATGAACATCACGAGCGATGAGTGAGAGCAAGTGCGAGGACGAGAGAGTAGATAGGGCTTATATGTGTATAAGAGATAGACTGATGTTGCTAAGCTAGGAGTTGAGAGTTAAATTGGTTTCAGACGAACCCTCTAGAATTGGGTGATGTATTTTGTACATTCACCACCGTCGTTTCCCTTTCGTGTCATACCAAAGTACGGTTTAACTAATGAATCATATTTATTTCGAAAAGTTTATCGTTTTGCATATGCTCGCTGAATAGTATACATATTTTTAACCGAGTTCACGATGTTTCACATTATAATAATGTTGAATACGTACATTGTTATAGTTGAAATAAATAATTCTTCATTTTGTTTTTACTTTCACATATAGATTCAGTTCACTATTATTATAATTGAATTATTCTACATTTTGAAATTTAAACAAATCGAATGTAGATAAATATTGTAGGTATTTTTAAATAAGCCATTGTAAGTTTTAATGTTTAAAAATATATTCTTACTATTAATAATTATATTTATTTTAAATTTTATACTTATACAACATGTGTCACTTAAATGTTGATTATGTTATAATATGCAGGAAGAACCATTCCTTATGTTCAAAAAACCAAAGTATGGCGAATCTTTGGCAGGGAACGATCGATTTGAAGGATATTGTAAAGACTTGGCAACATTATTGGCTGAAAAAACTGGAATTAAATGTAAGTAACTAATATGCATTAATATTTTATCAATTAAATTGAGAAAAAAGCCTTGTGAAAAGTAAGATGTATATTTATACGTTGTAGGGAGGCATAGCTCTCATGCGCTTGTAAACTAAAACTTTAATCATCCGTCCCCCAGAAAATTTCTGAAATACGCCACTGGAAAATATTGTTAATTAATAGAAATTATGAATATTATTATTGTTATATAGGTATTATATATTATTTCACTAACTTTTAAATAATTACCTTTAAAATCCAACCTAATCCAACTAAAGTTGTTCTGCTACAATAGTCGAGCACTGATTAGTAGTTTTTTTAATAACCACTTAACGTTCAAATATTGTCGAAAACTAAAAAAAAATACGACATTTTAAAACACGTATAACTGAACTTCGTTCAGAATCGAATTTCGCTAACAATGGTTTATTATTGCGTACATACCTATATACGAGATTAAATAACTTTATGTATTCTACGTTCTAATTTCAGCGAGTCGTTATATTTTTACAGAACTTATATTATTAGTTACAAATATTTAGTATATATTTACAGACCCGATTTTTATGCTATCGGTTTAAAAGTTCATAAAATGTTTGATAATGCGATAGATAGGGAAATTTTCATTTTCTTTGATATTTTTTAAACGTGGTTTCAACGATTTAGGAAAAATTTTGTGCGAAATTTATATTATATGCAATTACAGTACTGCTTCTATGTTACGATTCTCGTCTTTGCCGGTTTTCCCGATGTTCTTTTTACTAAGTTTTAATATCAATACTAAATACATAACATAAAACAATTTTTTTGTGCAAATTGGTTATTCAAATTAATTGACTGTATAAAATTACCGTTAACTCTGTTAAATTGTTTTAAGCATAACTCAACTTAAACAAGTCATTAAAAATTAGTTAATTTGCGCAATTTTGAATTCAACTTTATAGTAAGTGACACAGTATTAGTATATATCTATATAATCGTTCTACCTATACACATATATACTGTAAATTCTATTATCCAGATTGGATTTGGGATGATATATACCAAAACGCAAAAACATACTATTGTAACAATTCGAATTAGGATAATGGAAGAGCTATCGTAGTGCTTCATCTCGTATTCTCAAACTATTTAGATTGTTGTTTTAGTTACCTATATATAGTTCCATCATACAATTAGTCCCAAAAGTGTTTTTCAATTGAAACTCTCGTATCTGTAATAGAATATAAACAATTTTAAACACGGTCGCAGAAAAAAAGTCTGCATTTCTATTAATTGCTATGTCGCATTGAAACTTCTTACGGAATAATGATATTTATAATGGTAGTATAAAATTAACCACTTGCAATGATTTCAAAACTGGAAACGATAAATAATATTTTACATTATCAATAAAAAGCTTGCATTTATTAAATCCAATCGTGAAATGTATATTACCCAAATAGGTATATGAAATCGAAAAATTATTCATCTCCTTGACTGGTATTTTAATTTAAATTTATTTGTACAAAATACGAGAAACTATTTTAAATTGTGTTGGTGTACAAAATATATATTATATTGAAAATAGAAGAGCAGGTTTTTTTTTAAAAAAAAAAATTGTTTTTATTTTTAATTAGACAATGATTTAAAGTTTTTATGCTAAAGATTTGTCTTTTGGGATTTCTAAAAAAAAAAAAATTATAGAAGTGAATTTTCAAAAACTAAAAATAATCGTATTACTCGATTCTTATGAAATTGTATATTATTATATTTTATTGACTTTAATTTCAATATTTTTGTAATAATAAATATAAATTATAAGAAAACTTATTTATTTATTCAAACTAATTCTATTTGAATGTTAAATAAGATTTAGTTATAATAAATAATAATTTAATATCTATTAAAAAAAAAAAGAACTAATACGGGAAACGAGAACAGCCTCTGTTGTAGGTGGGAAGTTGGGAAGATAGAATACATAAAGTTATATAATTAATATATATTAATATATATATATATATGAAAAGATAAACCATTCCTAAAGAAAAACGATTTGAATCGAACTTTGGTAAGACTTACATAATTTGAAATACCGTAATTTTTACGATTTTCGTCAAAATTTGTTCTAAAAACATTTATGGAAAAAAATGATGCTTTAAACTCAAATTTGTTTTTTAGATCACTAAGTATAACTTATGATGTATTTTGCGTTGAATGCTCAAGAATTTCTCTTAAGTCAGGTTAATGACAGATACTAAATAAAAATACATATAATAACATGAAAATATCAGATACTAAAAATAGTTGAAAAATAGAATGTTTTGAAAATTTAATCAAGTCTACGAAAAGCCAATATAAGTATTTTATGAAAATTACAGATTTCTATAGTAATTTTTAACTGAAAAACATTTCCTATGTTTTTACCTGGTTTTTCGTAATTATTAGGAAAATTAACAACAACTTTCTTACTCTCAAACTAGATAAAATTGTATTTCAAAAAGTATGGCAATTTTGAAATGTGGACAAACGTTTCTGGTAAAAAAATATAATCTTAAACTTTTTAAATAACTGAAATCGTTGCGTCGTAGTTTGAAAAAAATCGTTTTTTTTTTTTTTAATTTTTTTGTTATAGTTATTTTAAAAATTACATTAGGTTTCAAAAATGACTTTTTCTATTAACAATGGTTTATGGTTGCAAACAGTTATTATTTAAATCACACTACATATTCTATTTTTCCATTATAACTTTCTCACCTATATAACAGTGGACCAATCGTGTAAAGTATGTCCGTCTTTATATTATGAGTTTTTTGTGGTAAAGAATAATAAATAATTATAATTTATTACTTATGTAATATTTGTATTTGTATCAGCTATATTTTTGTCTATACATAACAGTGGATTTCAATTATTTTTCGTGCAAAGGAAAAGTATTAAAATACATCATAGTTCTAATAATACAATTTGTGAGTACATAAAACAATCTACTTTTTTTGTCATATTTACATTTTTTATACTGTATTATTTGTATTATGTAAATTGGTTATGCGGAATAGGTTTAAAATATTATTTAAATTCAACGAACTATAGAATTATTTAACTAAAAATAAAAATACAAACTATACGAAAGTATTGATTTTACGTCAAGGAAAAAATTGAATGTGTGGTTTCGGACTTTCTTTTGGACACGCTATAAATATGTTATATTGTTTGACAATGTAGCTGAATCATAATAGTCAAAATGAGTCCACTTTATATCGATCTGGGAGAAAAATGTATTATTTTTTCTTTTTTCGTTTTTATTTTATCAATCCGGCCGGTATGGCCGTATTACTATAATATGGTACCTGTGCACAATACGGGCTTCGACGTTGGTCATAACGGCATTGATAATAATAATGTAATAACGCATTAAAAACTGCGGTATTTACGTAATAATTTGCTCGAAAAAAAAAAAAAAAAACGTACAACAAGCCCCGGTAGATAATATTATATCGCTGTTGAGACATCGCCTGTGCGCCGCAAGCATATATGTTGTGCACACCTAATATGTTTAATAAAATTGTCAAACCGCGGTGCAGCGTATAGAAAATAAATTATCGGTTCAATTAACCGACCGAAATACTGCGGCCGCGCGCGCGTATATCGCTGGAAAGCCGATAAAAGGACGTTTTGAGGGGCATTGACATCGGCCGGGGAAAAGTTAGTTGAAATTTCCAAAGAAATACACGAAAGCGCTGCGGGAAATCTGTGGAATACGCGACGGTTCGTACGAGATATGGTTACCGAGGGTGCCGACGGATCCGCGCTACAGCCGATCCCCGGAGTTTCGGGGTCATCGCGGATGATTACCCAGCAGAGTATATTAGGTATTTATATATATATATACACATATAATATATACACGGACCTGAATGGAACGTCGCTAATGCTATCCATTAACAAGAAACGAGAGTTTATACCAAAACGGGTGTAAAAGTTCTCTTTTCTTCCTCGTTAGTACTATCCAACTATATACAATATATGTACGCGCGCACGCACACACACACACACGCACGCACACACACACACGCACGCACACACACACACACGCACACGCACACACACACGCACGTGCGCGCGCGCGCGAGCGCCCTATGTACGACTCGCACGTTTCGCCCCCCCCCTCCACACTCGAATTGTATATATTTACAGTTTTAGATGCTCGGACGGAATCGAGATTTCGAATCCGCGTTATGAAATGATCGCGATAACGAATGAACATTTTTTTTTTATTATTCGCCGGCGAGTAGCCCAGACCGAATTGAGCCCGGCTATATAGCCGTGGTTGCGCGGTTTTTTAATAGCCCGTTGTAGGGACGCGTCTGCGTGCGGTATGTAATACCGTAGCCGACACGTGAAACTTGTCTTGTGCAAGCGATTTGAATTTTACGATTGTATGTGATACACGATTGTGTTATTTAAAATATTAGAATATATTGAATTTCGGGATGCTACATATTATTACGAGTCAACAGAAACAAAATAGTCCCCGTCATTGCCGTGACTTATAATACCTTGCTACACGTTAATCCACGCCCGTGTAGTTTACGCCTACGTTACAGATATGCAGGATATCATACGCTGTAAAATGAATTGAGAAGGAAGGATACATAAAGTTATTTAATTAATATGTGTAAACAACCATAAACTATTACTTACGAAATACGATTCGTGCGTAAATTTTGTTTTACAGTTTTCGAAATGCTATTTACGATTTTCGTCAAAATTTGATATTAAAATGTTTATAAATAAAAACTACTAAATTACGCTCAGCTTTATTTTTCTCATATTTTTTTTTAACACCAAGTACGATTTATTATGGATTTTAAACTTAATTTGCAAGGATTTCAGTTGAGTCAAAAAATTTAATCCATATAGTACTTAGCGAATAAAAACCAAAAAATATGTTTTTTCTTGGTTTCGCACAATTATTAAGAAAAATCCAAAATTAATTTTCTTATAACCATACTAAATTCAAAATGAAACATAAATCATCGTTTTTCGATTGGAACAATAAAATTCTTCATAAAAACATAAACCGTAAAAATGTTAAAATATTGAAATAGTTAACGCCGCTACGTGTCATAAATATTTGTTTGTTTTTCATATATATTTTTCCAGTTTTTCCCAATTATTATGAAAACCCATTGGAAAATCCAAAAATTACCTATTTTTAATGAACAGACTAGATCTAGAATTCAACAAAAAAGTGAATAGTTATGATTTGATTGAAGCAAGATGTATGGTAGACAAATTGTTTACAGACAGAAAAAAAAAACACATATTTGTAGTAAAACAAATGTGAAACAAGCATCGTAGTAAAATGAAAACCGTAGTTATAATTATTATACTCGGAGCACCAACAACCGGATGGGCTTTGGATGCAATTGCGATTGTCGAACAGTAAACAGTATTTTTTAAGAGTTTTTTGCTAACTTATTAATCGCATACAAATTGGCGTGTACTCCAGCCAAAAAAATCTATTAGGATATAAATTCAACTATATACGGAAAAAAACTAAATAATTAGTTTTACAGTTGTTATGATAAGTTTAATCATAATTTATAGTTGTATACACGAACTAAATCATGTTTTGTTTTAAAATGGGCTTTACTTATAGCGTTATGATAATAACTATTGATGGTTGGTTATTCTCGCTATATAAGTAGATGTTTTGGTAAATAAAAGTTGCTGCATTAGTGTTATGAGAACATGGTAAGTACCTATGCAAATTGTCGGAGATGTTTGTATTATTGAGTAAAATACACGAGTTTGTGACAAAGCGTTGTTAAAACTGTTCCGTGCAATATTTACAATTATTTCCATACGCTTTACAGTCATGACGGTGATCATTAGTGAGAGGTAAAAATATACAAAAAAAAAAAAAATCTTTGTTTGGCTTTTAAATGTACATTTCTACATCTTTATAGACAAGCAGCTTTACCCACACAGCATAGAGATAAACGCGATATACATTTAATAGTAATGTTTAAATCGTATATAATATATGCGTGAGATACACTTATAAATTATGGTGTTAAAAATAAAACAATAATATATGTTTTTAAGCTCAACCGAAAAGCCACTAAGAAAAAAACAAATATAAAAATAATAATAAAAATATTTTACAACAGCAAGTTCGAATTATTATATTTTGTTTAAAATTATGTTTTGTAGTTTTGACTATATAATATTATATTATAACCGCTGTTAAAATTATTTGCTCTTTTATTTTATTTAAAAACCCACGAAAAAAGTTAAATGATTTTTCATTTTAAGTTGTTCGTTCTAAAAAAGAAAAAGAAATTATAATGGTATATATATATGTATAATTAATATGATAATAAAAAAAATATGTATATTGATTTAGACAACATAATAATTGAGTGAATTATGTTAAGTTTAAGTACCTAACTGTACTTGTAAATCGATTTTGAATAACTGTCAACGGTAATGTAATTAGCCGGCAGTAATGTATTTTTAATTTTAATGATTTTATCGATTGTTAAATTAAATAAAAAAAAAAAAAATGTATAACGCTTTTAGTATCAAGTTTATAGTGAATACTTTTTTTTGAGTACCGTTATTATAATTCTCGGTATTAAGCGCTTTTAATATTCGGGTTAAATATAATTAAGTGTAAAATATGGAATAGAAAACCGGCGTTGAGTTAGTCTTCCAAATAAACCTGTTTTTAAATATTATAACCATATGGAAATTTAAAAACGTATACCAACGACAAATGTTGATTATAAAGAATATTAGATATCTCTTATTATATTGTTATCAGAGTTAACAAATGTTTATTTATTTTTTTTTTGTATGTGTGTGTGTGATATTCAAAATGTAAGATATATAACTATATGGTTATAAACTGATAACTAATATAAATAATAATAATAAGTATAGTTACTGGTTATTTTTGAACATTACGTATTATCATTAATTTGTACACATTATATTATTATTTTTACCTATTCAATTGTATATTGTGACATTTGTTTAGACGTTTTACGTACGGTCAAAGACAGCAAATATGGGATGGAAAATCACGGAGTCAACGGCGGTTGGGACGGAATGGTCGGTGAAATAATTAGAAAGGTATAGTTTTAATATTAATTATTATTGAACATCTGTATTGGGTTATTTATTTTAGATTTGAATGTAGTGAAAAAGCCATTTTAGCTGTTTTACTAAAACGCATTTTTTTTTTTTTTCGAAAAATACTCTTTTTGTTAGTAAAAGTGCTCTAATTTTTTTCACGTCTACCTTAAAAGACGCGAAACTTTGGTATTTTACCCTAGATTATGAATTATTATAGTAATTTTTTTTTTAGGAAACATTTTTTCCGGACAAAATCCTACTAAAAGCCTAAAATGATGAAATAAACTACAAAATAAACATATTTGTCTTAACAATTTTCTCTACGTACTTTACCAAACTTAGGACTTGCCGATAGTTAATTTCAAGGATACACATTTGAAAATTATCAAATAATTAAGAGCCATCATACATATACACCTCCAATAATAAAAATTAACTTATACGATTTACATGTGTACATAGATATTAATCTGCGGTTTGTTGTTAGACGGAAAAAAAAATGTATTGAAATAATAATGGACTTTTGGATTTTTGAAATTTTTGAAAACAAATACATTTTGTACAACTTTTAATTTCGATTTTCAATTTATTTTTTAAATAAATAACAATGCATAAGTAACATTTTATTGATTTCGATAAAATCAAGTTTAAAGCTATTTGTATTTAATATAATTATTGTAGCATATTATCATATTATCATATCTTATATTCGAATGAAACAAAAATTGTTTAGTCACTTAAAAGTAAGGAGACACATATGTACATCTATTGTGGACCCTTGTACCTATTTACCTCTAATATGTTATGACATTGTCATTTAAAGATTATTTTATTGAGATCTAGTATTTTATACAGCACATGACAAATCATTTTCTTATATTTCTTTACCTATCACAAAATAAAATGGAATATTTTTAGTTCAACTGTGCTCTTAACTCAGAGTTTTCAAAAATTTCATTTATAACCTTGTATTCTAGACGTTTTATGTTCAATTGTAATGCAATATACAATTTAAACACAATATAAATATTAATGTGCTAATAACCATTGTAGTTGATGCTATATACTACTCTTTTTAGTATCGTATTTCTAGATTTAAATTTTATTTAAAATTTTAAAACCTGATAAGAAATGACGATACAAGTTTGTTGATTCATGTTTATTGTTATTACCTTAATAGCTATATTGGAACAAAAACTATTGTACCGTTACTGGTTTACCAGCTCTTAATCGTTTTTGATTGCAATGATTTGACGTTTTTTTTTTTGCATAAACCGAAATTGCTTATATTCTATATAGTCGTACCATCCCAGTTTCACACCTGAACCAGTATATTATGTGATCTATTCATGGCGTGAAATATATGTACAGTTTTTCTATTTTTTTTTTTTTAAATTGTTAAAATTTTTCTATGATACTGAATCATAAGTAATGATCAATCAATATAATGCTTCGATTGAGTATATCTTATTGATTCGTTGTCAATAATGCATACAAAAATCACATTTTTATATTTCCGTTGTAAATATTTGACGTAAGTATAGGCATACGATATTAATGTCATTAATAATTAATTTAATATACAGTACTACCTATATAAATGTATACCTATCTATTCAGTATATTATAAATTATTTGTTAAAAACGCTAATTTGAATGTAGGAAGGATAGATATTATTTATTTTAGCTCATATTCGTTTTCACCCATAAATCGTCGAAGGTAAATATTATACTGACATATTAAAACCTTTGTTGCAGGATTTTAAAACTTTTTATGCCTAAATACAATACGCATTGTTATAATTAATTAATTTTTTTTTAATAAAACAATTATCATTTTTTAAAAAAAAATGAAATAAAATTTACTGTTGCACGACGAAAGTCGTGGAATATTTTACTCTCCAGATTTTTTTTCCACGCTCTGATTGTGATAATTTAATTTTCTGAATTCCATCTGGCTATATTTTTCTATTATATAGCTGGTCAATTTGCATGAACTGAAAAAACAGCGATATGCATGGCAAATTAGCCGTCTGTCTTTAGTGGTTATTTTACCTGTAGTGGTTATTTTCGTTCATCATTATTTATTAAAATATTTTAATATTAAATTTCAACCATTTAAGTCAATAGTATAATGTTTTAGTTCACTCACATGTCCGTTTCATATTTTTATTGCGGCGCGGGAAAAAAAAGGCTGATACCAGGGGTTTTTTTTTGTGATTTATTTTTTATTTCGATTCTAGTAGAGATCAGAAAAAAATAAACTTCGAACGGGAATTATTTTTTCAAGCTTTCAGTATATTTTAACATTTTCGGTTTTCAATTTATCGGTTCATTGAGTTATTCATTTATATTGATATTTTTTTACCCTGAGAATTGACGGAATCGAGAATTAAAGAATAATTATTAATATGTTCCATCCATAGGAAAGAAAACAAATCGTTAAGTTTATAGTATATTATTATTCATAAATATAGGTACACAATATCACGTTAATATACTTTAATATTAGAATCGGATAGTATAAATGAAATCAAAAAAAAAAAAAAATATATATATTTTTACTTGTTTCTTTATTTTTTCAAATTTCGATTAACAATATTTATATTCGTATGAAAAATTAAATCCGTATATTTGGAGTTTTTCATAAAAGCGATACGGTTGACGTTTGAACCTCAAAAGTTTACGTTTATATAATATAATATTTTAAAACTACGAGCAATATGAACGATTGAAAACTTTATTTAAATAAATTCTACATACATTACGTATTGAGATTAAAACGCGAAATCTAAATAAACTTAATCTTTGAAAATAATATAAGTAGGCAGGTACCTTATTCATAATGCATGCAAATTATCCTTATAATAATATATATTATATTGTATATTGTATATTTATAATAATTTTAATTATATCATATCGAACTGTATGTAGGTGGGTAGGTAGGTAGCGAATAGTTATTTTAAATTGAAAACAAAAATGTCGAGTTGATTAAAAGTACCAACCTAAATGTCCATACATGTATTATGAATATCAAGCGTTTAAATTATATTTATATACTTGAGTATACTCGTAGGTAGGTGTATGGAGGATGTCTAATAAAAACATATTAATTCAAAATGCCGGGGGCCATGAAAAATATAGTAACCCCGTGTATACCCGCATTAGCTACTGCTATACAGCCACTGTTTCAAATTAGTAAGTCTTTATGAGACACCGTGTGTAGTATATATTATATTATGTATATTCAAATTATAATTAATTTTAATGAGTCAACTAGATCGCCCGATCCGTGTACATAAAATAGGTACGTATATATATATATGTACACGTATTTCCAAAACACGTGTCACTATATTATTATGTTCATACAATTGCATATACCTGCATGTTAATTTATTGTGCGCTCGGCTAACTATTATATTTTACCTCGCGAAAATAAATCCTATTAAAAACACCAGCATAGCCTCAAAAGTTGATTTTACAAACTATGGTAAATTAACTGTAATAGCTGAGAAAACTACACGGATAATCAAGAAATGGTGTCTTTGATGCACCAACTATGGATGAAAAACGCCACAGGAAAATTCCTATACATTTTTTGATCGGGGCGAGATTTCTGATAGAAAAGTTGTTTACAAACGCAAAGACATAATAATAATAAAACGATGATTTACGTGGATCGCATAAGCAATCTATAAAAACAGTTTGATAACGTGATAATTTATGTGTACATGCGATATCATATCGATAAATCATTATTGGTTAAATAATTTTATTGCACCCATCGTCAATGCACTGAACATACTCATTTACCGTTATTGTGGTTTGTGATCAATAATAAATTATTACAATTTGTTATGACAATTCAGTGGTTTCGACGTTTATTAGGAAACAATTGTTTTATCACGCATTTATGTCTCATGCCGTTTATTCGAGTCAATTTATTTTTGTGTTATAAAACTGATCAAACATAATTGTTTAATGCCAGGTAGTTAGCGTAACCCAAATTTGAAAGATAATAAAAAAATTTGAAAAACTAAAAAATACCTTGTGTTATCAGCGTGCAACAAAGTTATAATTGAACTGTTTTTATTATCTATCGAAACCATAGTCGGGCCTTCAAATTATCGATCCTATAAGAGATTATTAGTCAAATCGACAAAAGTTAAAAAAAAGTTGTCTGCAATTGTCAACGGTTCGTCAATTGGTCGTTTATGCAACTCGGCATTAATATCTCGATTCGACGGCATTAAAACTAAATTTAAAACAGAAAACTTATTTACGTATAGATTTTCATATTGTATTATTTACGTACGTATCTATTCGTACGTACAATAACTAATTTTTTTGATTTAATATATTTTACAGGTTTCGCATGCAACTATAGCTGCTATTATATTAAGTAGATAGTAAATCCATCATATTCTAAAGCCACGCAGAATAATAGGAAAAAAAATGTGATAATTTTACGATTTTTTTCCATTTTTTTTTACCAATCCGAACAATAATTTAACGTTTAAATGTTTCGAATTCTCTATATAATAAGGATATTGTAAGAACGTATACTTTCAATTCGCTTTTATTTCCAGGATGTTTAGTCTTGGAATTGTACGATAACGTTTATCTGTACAGTATATAGCGTATTTAAGGCAGTCTTATATGTGTATGTAAATAACTCAATTTTTCCCCCGCGCTCTTGGTTATATTATCTTCGGTTTGCCTTACGAGGGAAAACTTCACTCTAAAACCGTTACTGTAATCCCTGTTCTTAAACTCGCGTATTTGTTATCATCGCAATATATTTAGGTAGGTAGGCACTTCACAAACCTCCGCATTTACTTAATAACCACCTTACACGTCATCATCTTTGGTTTACATCTTGTCTTTCTGCAGCTTTTCACTATTTAGAGCCCCTCTTTAACGTTTTCGTTATCCCATTTCTCTCCTTTCTTCCAAAATATCCAAATTGTATGTGAAATTCCGTTCTCTTTCTCCATATTATAAATAATATTTCAGAATAAATGGCATACAGGTACTATAAATATATATTGAAATTAATCCGGAAAAAATGTCTTTTAAAAAGTTTAAATTTATTGAAAAATTGGAATGATGTTAAATATTTTTATTGTAGACATCTACGATTTCTTTAAAAATTATATTTTCATCTAAAATATTAACAAGATAATTAACACAATAATTAAACGCATAAAGTAAAAACTGAAAAATTTGCAACAATAATGTTTTCTGCTATACATAGTAGTAACTTAAGATTCTAAACCGTAAAGGGGAGCTATTCATTTCACAATGAAAGTATTTATTTTTTTAGCTAATACTTTATATTGGGTAATTAAATATGCACTAAATGCTTTTCGTAGATAGGCCGTCACTGTATAGGTAACGGTTTGAACACAGATTGTTGAATTTTTTGAATTATTCAATAGTTTAAAAAGCACTTCAAAAAACGACGGAAAGAAACCGTATTAACCATGAAAATTGCAAAAAGGTAAAACAAAAAAAAAAAAAAAAAAAAAAAATGTACTTAGGCAAGCGTGTAATCATTTTCTAAAATATATAAATATATATATAATAACTATGTGTAGTTTTCATATAAACCCAAAAATTAAAATATCGTCGTCGACGTGGGAATGGTTTGGCATAGATTTTTGGCTTTGTATTTTGGTGTTTAAATATTGATATTTTATGCTATGCGGCATTTATTTAATCAATGTTATGACGAATTCGTTTCGTCTTATATAATATTATCATACTACACTGTGCGATTTGACGAAATTTTACACTCATTCTTCACAATCATTCTTGTAACATCAGTGTGTGTGTGTGTGTGTTACTCGTACTTAATGTATTTATTTTTAAAGCTATAATAATATTTCAGCGGTTATAGAATATTTTTGTTTGTTGACATTGGTCAAAAGTAAATTGAAATGCCAACGTTATTTAATAAGATAAAAAAAAAAAAAAAAAAAAACAACAAAATAAACGTCAATATCGTGTTTATTTAATGATTGCGTCGAATAGGTTTTAAACGAGAATTTCATAATTGATTATATCGGTATAATATTATTTTTAAAACATTTTAGACGCAAGTTGACGGTCGGCGCACACGATCCGAGTGTAAAACATGTTATTATATCGTACGTATTTTATTTCGTCCCATTCGTTTGTTTTACAGGAGGTCGACATGGCTATCGCTCCGCTAACGATCACGGCGGAACGGGAAAAAGTGGTCGAGTTCAGCAAGCCGTTCATGTCGATGGCCATCAACATAATGATAAAGAAACCGTCCAAACACAAGCCCGGCGCCTTCAGTTTCCTGTCGCCGCTGTCCCGGGAGGTGTGGATCAGCGTCGGGTTCGCCTACGTGGCCGTCGTCATCGTCATGTACGTCGTGTCGCGGTTCTCGGCGCACGCCACTGCCGCGGCCCACGTGCGGCCTGTGCACAGCAGCTACGGCGGCGGCGGCGGCGGCGGCGGCGGCGGCGGCAGCGGCGGCGGCGTCAGCAGCGGCATCGGCCACGAGCTCCAGCAAACCATACCGCCGCCCCCGAGGTTCGTTCACAACCCGTTTACGTTGGCCAACAGCATGTGGTTCGCGGTGGCGGCCGTCACCCAACAGGCGTGCGACATCGCTCCGAGGTAAGAACCGCGGCGAATCCGCAATGCGCAATTCGTGTGTTGTTATTATTTTGATTTTGTGACCTAACCGAACCTCGAACTGAGAACTGCGCAGGCAGTTTTATTCGAAAATAATACATTTCATACATTTTCCCGGTTTTCTGACATTTTTTTCCGGTTTTTCCTATATATTATGAAAACTCCCGGGAATATAAAAGAATGACCTCCCTAAAGTCCATCCAGAAAGGGCGCTTTGTTTGACAATCGAAGGAAAATGTCTGATAGAAAAGTTATTTATAGAAAAAATAAACATAATTGTAGAACCAATATTCGCTACCCCCAAAATCTAACAGATTAAGTCAATTTTTGTCTTGAAATAGAGATAAAACTTATTTTACGGATGATTAGCCCAGGATTAGCGACCCCTTAATGTGCAACCATAATCCATTTCGATATCGCGTAAAATATCACTAGGTATTGATATTATTATTTTTAAATGTTGACGGATTTCGGACGCCTTTTATAACATTTATAACCGTTTGAGTTTTAAAACGTTTGGATCGATTTGACGAAAACAACCGACCGTCTTATTTTGCACATGTGAATTCTATAAATTCGGTACTTACCTATTTAAAACCATAAAATCCCGTTCGACTTGAGTTCATAACAAATTATATATTTTGTGTTTTTTCTTTTCAAGTAGAAAATAAAATCAAAGGAACTATTTATAGAAACAACATATTTTTATAATATTTGAATATTGTCGCGAGTCGTGTAAAATAAATATTTCCGGAAACAAATATTTAACTTACTAGCGACCTGGGGATTATTATTATATCGAGTGAATTATTATTTATTTTATGCGCATAATATATTATATAATACAAAATCTGAATATTATTTTGTGATTTGTAGTTTTACTAGTTTTAGGCTTTGGATATTCGAGTATAAATTTATTATCATAATGTTTCGGTGTACGTATTACAGGTGCGTGTATTTCGTGATTATTTTTCGCTTTTCCCGTGACCCTATTTTCGAAACAAAATAAAACATAACATAATTATTGTCACTCGAAATTGGCTCTCTCGAGTGTTCAGAGTTTTGGATTTTAGATTCCGAGCGTAGTTTGTTTTTGTTTTTTTCTTAAATTATTAATTTAAATTTTATATAATAAAATGAAAAAGTAAAAACAAAATTATTAAAATAGTTAATACTCGTAAATAAATATAGTATAACGACGCATTCATTCATTTATTTATTTTTTATTTTTATTTATATATTTATTAATTATATTTTATGTATAGAGGTGTAAACGGCGTTTTATCGGTTTTATTTCCATTATCAGATTATCCGCTTAACCTTATCTAACCTAACCTATGGTAACCTATCCTATATAATATAGGGAGTGTATTCATTGTCTTGTTAATTTTATATAATATGTTAGTCAGTGTCGGGAGGGTTCCTTTTAAAAAGAACTCGTTCCCATAAGCGTTCCCTTTTTTATTTATTATATTAACACTTGAGGCAGTTTTTTCATATTCTTGACGTAAAACTTTCACTTAATTAATTTGCTATGGGAATACATTTTTGATATTAAAGGTTTTCAGTAGTTGAGTAGTGTGAGTTAATCGAGTCAACTAAAATTTGAAACTATTTTCACTTCTTAGAATTATATCCGTTTATATCACGGTTATACGAGTATCCAATCGTATATTATATTAATATTATCATATTGTGTACGTTGTATGTTAATGTAACGTTCCTCATAAATAGGAACTCTTACCCGTTTTTCGTTCCTTTATTTGAAACGGAACTCGTTCTAAGCTTCGTTCCTATCAAAGGAACGTTTCCCTTCCCAACACTATAGCACGCGCATATGGAATAGCAACCGTGAATTCGATTTATACGAAATAATTTGTAAAATTATATACTGCAGTTTATGTGTAGAATCGTATACTATATGAACAAGTCTATCGAATGAAATTAAAGTTATCGATTTTTCTGCAATATTCTAAAGGCAATTATAAATAAGGGGAACTTTGGGTATTTACCGAAATTTAGTTTACAGTAGGTAGGTAAACTTTAACGAGGTTTCAAACCGTTTATATACAGTTGCAATATATTATTATTTGTTTGAAGTATAACTGTATACAGGGTGTCTAACGTAAATCTGATTTAAGCTTTGCGCTACGATTTCTCTATTTTATGTTTTATTTTTTTAAAAACTAGAAATAAAATATTGCAATTGAAATTTGAAAAAAAATATGTTTTTATAAAATCCTACATAGCCATTTTATAAATATATTTCGATAAAAAACTTTTTTGTGTTACAAATATTATCGTTAATGATGAATTGTGATGAATTCAAATTTTTGAAGTTAACAAAAAAAAAAAAAAAAACACTACCAAAATAATTTCCATGGAAATGCCGGAGAATCGATTGATATTATTTAGAAAAAAATTGTGGTATTATTTATCGGAGTTTATGATAGTTATATATAAAAAAAAAAAAAAACTTTAAAATATCGAACGTCATAACAAACGTTACATTGTAACGTATGTACAATGTTACAATTGTCAGTTCTCCGTTAAACATCCTGCTGCGTATTATATTACGAATATTGATGTTAAATACATATTGCCCTTATACGGGGGGGGGNGGGGGGGGGGGGGGGTGTACGGAGTATCGATAATGGGCGAACATTCGCATTCGTCATTGTCGTTAATTGTACGCGCGGGCGTATATGTCAATAATTATCGGCTCGACTCCCGCCGTTTTGCACCACGGCACCAGCAACAGCGTCGTGCACCTCGGTCTTTACGGACCGATCGAAAACCGCGTTCTAAAACGACTCTGTGTTTCGATATTTGTCGCGCGTCGTCGCGGCCGGAACACGCCATGACCACGCGAGGTTACGAACGCCGCCGCGGGCGTCATCGTTTCCGTCGCGCACAGTGCGACCGGACGGGGAAAACGAAATCGCGCCGAACGAAACGTTTTCCCGGTAACGCCTTGTCCTGCGTATCGATATCCGACAACGGTGCATTTTTATCGGATTTCGGTGTCACGGCCTTTCGCGGCCCAAGCGACCGTATTGTCGTTCCGTGTTATTGTACGCAATTGGTAAAGCGAAACGTCCCCGCCGTCCGTTTTACAAGTTGGTTCCCGGGGACCATTAACATAATTACACCAGCGCGTATTCAACCGGAACGGAGTAATATTATTGCCGGCGATTATTTACCGCCGTGCGGTCGGACGTGCGCGCACAGGTATATTTGTATAAAATATTATTTAATCTCGTTGCACGCGCGGCGGCGGCGGCGCGGTTGTTACCCACTTGCGCGCGTATTCATTAAGACCGTTCGCGGTCCACCGAAAATATACCATTATGGGCACTAAACTTTGGCCGTCCGGCTGAACTTTCGAGTGTACAACAATAACGTTTGTTTATTCCCGCGCTCTCTACCCCCGTCGGAATAAAACGGCAACGATCCACACGGGGCGATCGCCGGTTATTATCGCGAACCGGCCGTTTTCACGGGGCACCTTAAGTGTGAATTTGACCGGTGTTTTTTTTTTTTTTTTTTTCCCCGCATCGTTTTCGAATCCCTATACTTTTTATGTTTTAAACGGGTCGCACACTCGATTTCCAAACGGGAATCCGGCCCCCCCCCACCTCATCTCTGTTTGTAATATCGGATTAATAAACTCATTTCAGGTATGAGGAGTTGGGGTAAACGATGGAAAATAGTGTTAAAATAAAGATAACACGGTTTCATAAAGATTTTTAAAAAAAAAAAAAGAATTTTTATGTTCTCGTAAAATTCCCCGGGAAAATCGCTAGTTCACGATTAACAGCCGATCTGAACGTTTTATGATTTGTAATGGCATATTTTTGGTCTTATCCACCATAGTGATAATATTACCACAAACGTTTTTTTACCTGCTAATAAAAAATGAAATCAAAAAACGAAAACCGTTTGAAAAATATTTTTGAAATACCTCATAGTCAGGATTTTCTTTTTATTCTGTTTTTTTTTTCTTTTTTTGAATACTAATCTAATGTAATAGTGTTAAAATTGTACACAACACATTTTATTTTTATCTCAGATAGTAGTAATGTTTAAAATATTATATATTATTGGTATATTAAATTGATTTTAATGTCTTTTTAATTATCGATTACGAGAGTAAAATAATAATTTATAAATGAGAATCAAATTATACATGCGGAAATAATCCCTTATCAAATAAAAAGGTATAATTTTAAAAAATAAAAAAAATAACGATGACATATTAATAACATAATTCGTTGATATAAAGACAGAAAAAAAAATAAAAAAAAAATTGAAATAGCAGAGTTCAGTTTTGTGACGAAATTTTGTTATTTATACATTTTAGATTCTAAGTGTAGCAAAGAATGTGTTGGTTTTACTAAGATCTTTATCTTTTTTTTCTTCTAGTCTGTGGACACGTTTTTTTCCTAGTAATCTTGCTTCAGTTTTTTTTGTGTAACAACTTTTCTGAAAGCTCAATTAAGTTGTTTCGATTGTACTTTAGAGAGATCATTTTTTGATTTTCGACGCTCTTTTTTAAATAAAAGCACTTAAGTGGGAAGAAACGTAGGAAAACGTACAATTTTACGATTTCATTATTTCATAAAAACACAGATGACGTTTTTTACCAGAAAATATGATTTAATCGAAAAATCACAAGATACCTTTTTTGTTGATTTTTTGATTAACTTTCTTAAGACATCATTGTCAAAACTTTTGAGCTTTTAAGGAATTTTAATTTTTAGAAGATTTTTTGCTGTTTTTCAATTATAAATACATGTAGAAACCTGAAACTTGGTAATAATACTTAAATTTAAATTATCTAGACGTCGTAAAATTTTCAAAATCATCGGACGACTTTTTTTTTTCAATAGGTGTTTTGAAATCAAATTTTTACGAACATCGCAAAAAAAAATTACAGCACTTCAATTTCTGTATTACTGAACTGCGCTAGGAATCTTCTTTCGCCAAGCAATGGTTTATCGTTCCTTACAGATATAAATAAAATAATCTTATGTATCCTACCTTCCCAACTTTTCACCTTCAACAGTGGCCTCTCCTATCCCCAATATCACCTTTTTTTTTACATTATTTTACCAAGAATTTAATATATCAAAAATTATTATTTTATTGTGCGTAATCGTAATATTAATAATTAAATGATTTTACCAAATCGTATTGTATAAGTATTATTACATTGTTTTTATTATTTTACGCTCGATTCAAATGATTTTCTGTTTGAATTTTTAACTCTATTTTTTAATTATTTTAAGAGATGACTTTTTAAATTATTTGTACTAGAGTGTAAAATAAAGGTTTAAAAAAAAAAAAGCTACAATATACATAATAATTTGTATGAACTCGCATATAGTAATCATTTTTTAGGGTACAGGCAGTTCAATTGAAGTATATAAAACTCATCCCGGACGAAATATTGCTTCGATCAAGTTATATTGCAATACATATAGTTTTGTTTTTTTTTTTTTTTGGAGAGCTGGTATGTTTTATTATAGGAGAGTGGAATAGTTATAATAATATACTTTAGAGAAAGTAACATAAACATTTTTCTAAAGGGTTTTGCACACGTTTCAAAAATTACGATATTGAACATACTACTAATTGTTACTAAAATCTTGATCATTTTTAAGTAAACGATTTTGATGTTTTTGTATAATACCCATATAATAGTAAAAGCTGGTATTGCTTTCGAAAGGAAAAAAGTCGAGTTGCTTACTGTTGCAATCATTTTTGTATTCTGTCCGTTTTATTACTTCCTACTTTTATTTTTTTCCTATTTTTTTTTATTTTTTAAAACCTTTAAAAATATATATACATTAATAATAAAGTTTTATTATCATATACTAGTTTGCAACTATGTGATTTTATTATCGTCTTCATACTAATCGCCTAGATGAAATGTTTTAAGTTTTCTCTATTATAATAATAGTGTTCAGGTCACACGAACGTTAGTATCCAAATTAAAATCAGTTTTTTTTTTCTTATTAAAATTAAAATTAAATTTCAATTAAATAAAGAGCAATTGCCGCTACGCATAATCGGACGAACTTTCATAATAATAATTCTTTGTAAGAAAAATGCACCGAATTCATAATATAAAATATACATCACTACAGAAGCTCTTGAAAATTAAAAAAGTTTTTAGTTCCACGCAATTTGATAACTTACATAATATTGTTTTCTAAACGATAGTATAAACTTGTTAATTAAAAAAAAAACAAAACAAAAAAAAAAAATTAAATTTGAATTACAAATACAATATTTATAATATATTATGTACACATGTATATTACTGTAAAATATATTATTTCTTCTTAAATGATCTTATATATGAATAAAAAAGTGTAATTTGTTTTTCAATTCGATAGTGCGTTTATTTAGTACCATTCGTTTTTACATAAATACATTTTTTTTTTGCTTAAAAATTAAACCTTCATATCCATTCCCTGTAATAAACCGATTTAGCAAATTTAATTAGGTATTATAAAAATGCACCCAATTACTTTGAAACCACTATTAGTTATTACAGGGATATTTTGATGATTACCAAACAGGTATTAATACTTTATAAATTTAAATAATTCGTACCCAAATACGAGGGATTTTATACCTTTAGTCACAAACCACCAATGACTGTGAATCACAAAACTTTGAGACATGTCCATCTGTAACATTTATTTAATGTTTTTAAATTAATTATATTCTATAAAGGTACATTTATTATTATATCGTTAATTATACTAAAACGTATACCGAAAGTCTATTTTTAGAAACTTTAGTGACTCCGAATTCGGAGGATTATAATATGTGTTTGATGTGTGGTAATGTACTGATTTTGCTTAAAAATTAAACTTAAATATATACAAAATGTATAATTTGTACTATCTCAGGTAGTAAAAAATATGAATTATAATTTCACTAATTCACACATACAAGTTTCGATAGTAATGTGTAAAATGTTGATCTATGAGAAGCTATTATAACATAATATTCCATTTTATAATCTGAGCGGCTAATTTACTAACATATTTACACCGGCCTACAGTTCGTCAGTATTGATCTTAAAACTATCCTATATAAATAATACTTGAAAAATCGAATATATATATAACTTATATTATAATTATTAAACACTTGATAATTGAAGACAACACGTCGTCAACAAGCAAAAATCTTTTAAAACAAATAGCAACATTGAATGCCGGAACAATATTACAAACAGGAAAATTAGAAAATGTAAAATTAAAATGGACAGACAAAAAATAGAAATATTAGGTATAAGGGAAACAAGATGGGATGGAAACGGTGATTTTACATCAGATCAGTAAAACATAATACACTAGGAAAACAAACAGAAAAAGTCGGAGTGGCAGTGGTATTAACAGTAAACGGGCACAATCAGTTATCGGACTAGCCACAATTTCTGATAGATAAGTAATGGTGAAATTAAGATCATACCCAAATGAAACGATAATAATATAAGCATATATGCCCACATCAAATGACGACATCGGAGAAGTCAAAAAAGTTTACGAAGATATAGAAAAACTTTTAAAACTAACCAAACAAAAGGATAATCTTATTATTATGAGTTAATTTAAAGCAGTCATTGATGAAGGAACAGATGAAAAAGAAGCTGAAAATTATGGATTAGAAAAAAGGTTTGGTAGAAGTGATCGACTACTGGAGTTTTGTAGACAACATGAGTTGGTTATCTTTAACACTTTATTCAACAATCATAAAAGAAGGTGATACCCTGAAAGATGCCTGGATGTCTGAAAAATACTAAATAGATTTTATACTGGTTAGGAATAGATTTATAAATCAAGTCAAATCATGAAAAACTTACCCTGATGCAGAAATTAACAGTGACCCTAATCTTGTTATGATAAAATGTGACCTAAATTTTAATAAAATAAAGAAACCAAGTAAGAAATGTCAAAAATGGAACTTAGAAAAACTTAAAACACCAGAAATAGCAGAAAACTATCAAAATAAATGCGAAGAATAAATCAACAGCCAAATGAACCTCAACCTTGAAAATAATAAAATATCTATAAAAAATCGACGGACAAATATAAAAGGATCCCATTACCTAAGCAGCGGAACAATTTTTAGAAAGAAAAAAACCAGGGCCCCAAACATAAGTGGATAACTCAAGAAATAATTAATGACCTACAAAAAAGAAGAACGCCTAAAAATAAAAATGACCCGGATAGTATAAGAAAATATAAAGCACTAAGAGATAAGATAAATAGAGAAGCGAGACGTGTAAAAGAACAATGGATTCTATCACGATGTTTAGAAGTAAAGACCACGATGAAAAATAATATGCAGGATAAACCTTAAAAAGTAATATAGACACATTTTGGAGTGAAAAAACCAAAATGTACATACATCAAAGACAAATATGGAAATATACTAATTGAAGAAGAAACAATATCTGACCGATGGAAAGAATATATAGAATCTCTATATGAAGATAATGATACCGAGTTATTGATCCAAATGCAATAAAATGGAAACTCACAGGGAAACATGACGACTACAACTATTTTAATATTGGAATTCGAATATGCATTAAGAATCATGAAAGCATATAAAGCATCGGGACTAGATAATATAAATACAGAGCTACTACAATACGCTGGTACAAAAACTTAGGAGAATTATTTAAATTATTATATAATATTTTATATTATTATACGATCTCGATATTATACAATACACGAACTGTTCCAAAAGACTTACAAAAGTACACTTGTACTATTACCGAAAAGAGTAGGGGTAGATCAATGCAGTAACTTCAGAACTTTAAGTCTAATAGCACATGCTTCCACATTCCTAATAATAATTATACGTAAAATAGTTAGAAATAGAATTGAAGAACAGCTGGATAACGATCAATACGGTTTTCAAAAAAGTAAATGTACCAGGGAAGCAATACTAAGCTGAAGAATAACACTAGAAAAATAAATAGATTTACAAAAGGAAACCTTAATGACGTTTATAGATTTAGAAAAAAGCTTTTGATAATGTCAATTGGAAAATACTATTTAACATAATGGATAGTATGGGAATTAAAATAAAGATAGAAATATTCTATATGCAATATACAAAAATCAAGAAGCTGAAATTAAAATTAACTCTACAAAAAAAGACAGCTAATATATGATAAGGATAAAGACAAGGATGCCCACTGTCACCCTCTTTATGTAATGTCTATCCACATAGCAATCGATAAGAGATATACAGCAAAAGCTAAAAGAGCAAAGAATAGGAGTAGTAATAGGAGGTATCCTAATATCAATGTTACAATTTGCTGATGTTATAGTTTTTCTTGGCACATCTGAAAACGATCTACAAACAGCACTTATTAAAATAAATAACATATATTTAACATTAAAATTAAATATACATATGGAAAAAAACAAAAGTAATGGTATTTAGTAAACAAAATGAACCAAACATTAATATATCCTTAAAGGACACAAACTATAACAAGTAAATCAATTTAAATATTTAGGAAGCATAATAAATAATGATGAAACATCAGAAAAGGAAATAGAAACTAGTAATTATCTATGAAATATTTATCTGAGGTTTTTTTTTTTTTGAAAATATATCTATAAAAACAATGATATTTTTATTCACCCATACTTGACGAGTATACGAGATTTGTTTCGGTAAAATAGTAATATTTTTTAAATTCTTGTTTTTAGAACTACGCCTGGTCGCATTGTCGGGGCCGTCTGGTGGTTCTTCACTGTAATATTGATATCGTCGTATGTATCCAACTTCACCGCATATTTGATTGTACAAAAGATGTCCACACCGATCAGCACACCCGAAGATTTGGCCGCACAAACTGAAATCGAATATGGGGTTCTTTCACACGGGTCTACATGGGATTTTTTCAAAGTGAGTACTTTTAAATATTTAATTTTATTTGAGATGTTTGCTCTCTTTTCGTTTTCATATAGCAGGTACATTGACAAGTATATTTTTTTTTTATTCTGGTTGGTATACATAATTATTATAACTTTACTTTAAACTACATTTTTTTAAACATTTTATGGTAAATTAATTTCTTAAAAGTACAGCTATATAGCTATAAATCTATGCATATATATTTTTTTTACAGAACGATTGACATTTATATATTAAATATTATATTCCTTTTAATAATTCAAAACCATTTAAATATACTGATTTTTAAATAAATTTTCTTATATTTATGTAGTTAATTTTAAATTTTATATTTAATAGCTCTTCAATTGTTTATACACATAACATTTACGTTGAATTTACCACATTATGTATTCTATATATTTATGGTTTTTTTTTTTTTTTTTTTCACTGTATAGCTGATCAAATAATGAATTTTTTTATTCAAAAACTTTATAATTTACGTTGGTCTGACTTTGTCGTCGACATTCAGAATTATATTTCTCAATACTTGATTGTCCTCTTAATAAGTTATTTATACAACGGTGTCTGCAAATATCAACGCCATTAAATCCAAGTCATCGCGGAACTGTGAAAATAAATTATTTACCGAATTCACTCTGAACTGTGTTTTTTACTGGGTGTGATTTTCATACATTTTTATCCATAACTTCAAATAATATATACATATTTATCATGAAGTACGAGAAAAAGGAATAAAAAAAAAAAAATAAAATCGCATGTACCTACCTTAGGTACGTATAAGACGTTTCACACTAATATAGACTTTTCTCATAACGATTACTGTTTTTGAGTTCTATCGACTGTAAACCTGGGTCTCTATAGGCCTTTTTTAAGGGGGAGGGGAAGAACTTTTCGTTTCGGGCCATTCACCACGGTCGTATTTTAAACACTTTTAGTTCAACATAAAAAAAACCAATCTTAGATAGGTATAAGTACGGATGAAAGAGACCGTCGTATCGTGGCCGCTAGGGAAAAGCAATCGATATTTTTTGTAATGAACCGTTTATACGAATAACGGTAATATTTTAAATAAAAACTTGAAATATCATGAAATAACGAAAAGACAATCGCCTTGTATTTTGTATTGTGTTGTCTATTACGTAATATTATATTATGAAAACGAGTCATCAATAATAATGCATACATTTAAAAGTAGTATCCGACTAACACAACGGATATTTTATTATGTTGTATTAATCAATCCATCTGATCTACCTTATGCATTATAGATATTAACTGATGAATCATATGTATTATATATTCGTATTTATCTATTGATATAAATAAAACAAACAAAAATGGATATCCTTCGCACGTGGGTGGGCCACTGTTATAGATGAGCACTGAGCAGTTTGGGAAAGTAGAGGGGAAATCCAATGTATATCTTCACGCAAAGATTTACCATTGCCGAATAAAAACGATACTGAGTTGAGTTTTGTTAATAGTGTTGCTTTGTCGTATATTATGGTAAAATAATTACTTATGCATTATATATTTAAATATATGCTTTAATAATATTTGTTTAATATTGTACCTATTTTCCCGGTTTTTCCCATTTATTGTAAAACTCCTTGCAAGATCAAAAAAATGACCTCCCTAAAGTATTACCCCAGTCAGATTTCTTTTGAGAAAAAATATTATCATTGTAAATCGGAGAATAAATGCTGGTAGAAAAGTTGTTTACGAGATAAGAAAAAGGCCGTAATATTTTTTTACTTACACCTATATTTCGTACATTTTTCCGGTTTCCTTCCTTTGTCTTTTTCGAGTTTTTAGTTTTGTTTAGGACATTTAAAATGTAATCTGTTATCGTATATTATAACGTTATATTTTTATGTATTATTTATACAGAGATCACACAGTTCGTTGTACAGTAAAATGTGGCAGTTCATGAACTCGCGTACTCACGTATTCGTGGATACTTACGACGAAGGAATCCAAAGAGTACGGAATTCCAACGGCAAGTTTGCTTTGCTAATCGAGTCGCCCAAAAACGACTTTGTGAATATGCGAAAACCTTGCGATACAATGAAAGTCGGACGTAACCTAGACGTAAAAAATTACGGAATAGCGATGCCACTCGGGTCACCACTAAGGTAAGAACTGCAGATCTTTCGTTTTTTTTTTTTATTGTTATTTTTTTTTTATAATATTGACAAATCTCGTTCGGGACTTTTGGGAAATATGATCACCGGCGGAATACGAGGCGTGATGGGCGAAAGGGACGATGAGGCAAAGAGGCATATTACGCGCGTCTTTCGGTTGAATGACTCTCTGGGATTACATTCCGCAAAATCACATTTTCCACAACAAGAGAGTCTGATATGGAAAAAACCCAATTTTCTGCGACACATTTTTGATCATAAAAAAAAAAAAAAAAAAAAAAATACATTTATATATGTATATTATGTAGTACATTTATATGTACATGTCGATGCAATAAGATCTGTGGAAAACTAAACTGTTTAACCGACGTCGCTCTCGAAATGTTTCTTGGCTACTTCGTATCTATTATTTTTATTAATATTTTTATAAGAATAATAATCTACTGAAACTATCGTATTTATCGATGGTCGTATATTTATTTTCGTTAATATTACCGATTAAAATATAACTAAAACCATACACTTTTTCACGTTTATAATGTGTTCGTACCACGTTTATTTGTTATAAATACTAATTTATTCGCAACTAATTATTAAATATATATACTTAATATAAATAATATATTTATTCGAGAATTGAACGACTAAACTCGTAATCTACGGCGATTAAAGGTGTAGGACAAAATATATATATATATATATATATATATAACGGTGTATATTTTAAAATTTACTTTTAACGGGGATTTTATTATAATACACAAACGGCCAATAGAAATTAATATACTTTTGCCTGCGATAATAATATTAATCCATTCTATTTACTTAATAAATCGTGAGTTGAATGGAACGGAAAGAAATAAACTCTGGATTAAAATAATTTATAAGCCAAATAGTAATTTTAAGTAACACTTAACTGCGTATATTAGTGAAGTTATAGCAGTAAACTGATAAATCTTTACTGACACAACTGAACGTAGTATTTTTTTGTATTCAGTACCTATTGGTAGTTTTCTAGAATGCATATTTATATTGTATGCGTATATTTTTTAAATAAACAAATTAATTTTCAAGCTTCGAGAGTGTTGTTAGCTTTCGCTAAAAATCGAATTCAATATGCCTGGTTAAAACATTAATGCATAATATTTATATTATGATGATAATAATGTTTCGCATAATAAAAGCACGGGGCAAATGATTAAACGTCAAACTTTCCTATTATTTTGTCGTTTTCTTTAAACCTTACGAGTTTATTTAAATAATGTCTACTTATTAAAACAACATTAGAAAATATATTTGAATTTTTTTTGTTTTGAACAGCAAATGCCAATAAAAAATGTTCATTTAAAACTTTATGTATTTTATAATATTGCATTATTTTGGAAATCGACAATTATTTTTAAAACAACGAAATTCATGGAAGATTCCTTAATTGATATTAATACAAAATAGATATATTCGTATTTATATGGGTGAAATTAATCTGCATAACTTATTTTTTAACATCGTGTTGTTTTTTTTTTAATTTTTCGGTTTTTTTGCTACCCTCCTAAAATATTGATTAATTCGTTTAAAGTTATTAATTTTCAGCTGTATAAGAAAATTTCGTCAGTAAAAGTAGTATCAATGGAACTCATTAAAATCCCTATATATTATAAAGTGCGGGCCAATGGTTTTGACCTCACTGAGTTGTCCGGACCTTTTAAGAATACCCCTCACCCTCCTCGCCCGAGCCCCCCGCGTCATTGGTAAGATTTATGTTCACAAAATACACACATTAATCTTATATCCAGTATACAGATAAATCGGACACTTTTTTGGCTTTACGAGAAAATACCTCGCATTAGGATTATTAATGCATCGGTATTGGATGGTTGTGTAAACCAGTAATAATAATATATAAACCTGTAAATTATTGAGCGTGAATTAAATATATATTGTAGAATTTATTGTTATTACAAAATAAAATATGTAATATGTGTATTATAATTTTCTTTTCCGCCATTTGAAATGATAATAATGCGACTCCATTTCCGCAGTCTTTCCATATTGAAAATTTGACATTCTATCCAGGACCAATACAATATTTCGTAATAAATTACGATTTTGATAAAATTTCACATTAATTTACGTTATTTCACTGTTTCAAAATAATTTTAGAAAAACTATTATGCTATATTTTCGAACGGTTATTAATAATAAAATTATTTATATTGTGTCAGTTATATATGGGTCCTGCTCGTGGTTATCGTTTCTTTTTCCTTTTGAAAATTTACTAACAATTATTAATTCAAATTAATAACAATCATCAACTCTTAACAATTCGTAAAAAACAATTCAATCAACTGTTATTTTAATATTAATGTTCCTGCGCACGACCTGATGTCATGCTTGTTTTCGGTAGAAAGAGGACAACTTCTTATAGGGTGCATCAAACTACGAGTAAATTGATTATTTAACAAAAAAATTACTAATTAATTTTTTTTTTTTTTTAATAAAACTATAATAATTGGCATATTTTCAAACTCAAATCATATCATTTTAAAGTATAATTTTCTGAATCAAAGTCCAATCATAGTAAGTCTTCATATTTTTAACAGAAAAAGGAAGATCTGTTTTAATTCAATTAGACTTTGTACCCAAACATATATTATAATATAGCCATATTTGATTTAAAAATATTCACCTATCGTTTCAACGAAAACAAGAAATATGAGAATTAATGAACATGTACGTCTTGCGAATATCCGACCTATGCAAAGGACAAATATTAAAATATATGTTGTATATTCATTGTATATTATACTATTTACACGATATCTCTTCGTCAAAGTGTATTACAATGTTATATTATTAGGTGTGTTTGATTGTTGTGCATATATAGACAAAGTCGATGAAAGATTTATTAATTGTATTTCTCTATCGTATTTATATAGCATTTATCTATATATGAATGGAACATTCTTTTTCATAATACTCGGTTTTATACACGATGGTTAAAACGTAGGTAATGGATTTGTATCCATTGGTTTTACTATATTTTTTACATTGTGAATCACTGAGCGTGCTCAGTGCTCGCGTCATTGTTTTGGTTAAATTTTGATTCCATTCAAATTCTGATTTTTGGAATTTTTAAGTGTAGTTAAAGACGATATTTTCGAATACTTAAATTTTTCATAACATTTATGAAGTATCCTGTGGTAATACCAACTTTGGTTTTTCAAAGAAGATCATTAAAAATTACATAAATATTTGGATCATTACTTTAAAGAAATTTTTTTATTTCCGTTAACCCGTTGACAAAGTATTTCACTTTTAAGCTTAGGTAGCGCGAGAGTAGTGGATCACTAATAAAACGCCGTGCCGCCACACAATGATACTCCACTAATGTTAACTAAAACCAAATTGTTGACACCAAAATGTATTTAAAGAAAAATTTAAGTATTCAAAAACTGCACTTACAAATTCCAAAAATTATAATTTGTATATATGCGAAATATAATTTAAAAAATTAAATAAAAATGGGATAAGCACGCTTAGTTAATCATCCTGTTTATAAACGTTTAATGTTGAAATTATAATTCAGACCATAAAAATCCCGTCACTAATCTACTTTTTGATTTATTTGAATATAATATTTTTGGTCGAAACGTTAGAAAATCAATCACGAGGTTCATCATAAGCTGTACCACTTGATGGCAGAATAAAAATAGTAAATCGTAAATTTATTTGTTTTTCAGAGTTTCGATAACAATCGTAAAAATCACGATATTTCAAAACACGTTTAATCGGCTTTCGCTTAGAATCGTATTTAGTTTGTCAGAATTTATCTTTGCGTACAAATATACATAAAATAATTTATATATATACATAATATATAATGTATATATACTTATTTTCCTAACTTCTCACCTACGACCATATCATTAACTTTTTTTTTCCATTATCAACATCCTATACGTTCTATGATCATAATGCTCCCATAAAAGTGCCTGGTCGTGTTAGTGTCCCGTAGTTATCGTGGTTGCAATAATATTATAGTTTATCGTCGTCGGTTCCATATTGTTGTTTGGACACCATACAAATTCTCAAATTCAGCATACTAGGTCTGTGCCATTCGAGCCGGTTTATCGCACGTGTATGGGACTTCCGGTCGGAAGTGCGGTGTTCACGCATCCCGTGTATATAATACTCTCGCGCGGTACCTTCCTCCCACAGCACACGACAATATACTCGCTTCACGTTTAGCCCCGGACTTATTGTGTATGACCAACACCCTGTATATGTACGTCATTGGTGCGAAAATCGTTGCACGCGGAATCGAAATATGTTCTCCTCCCCTCCAACTCGCGACAACGATACTAGCTTGAGTGCAGTGTAAACAAAACGGTTCTTTTATCACTAACCAACGATTATTTGTACGAAAATTACGAGCAACTTTCATTTTGAGTACTTTCACATAGTTATTTTATTTTTCCAGATCCGTTTCGCAACACTTTGTTCCGCAGTTTATAGGTTAATGTGTTCGACAAATTCACGCCAATAATCAATTTTTCGCTGCATATAGTTCTGGGTTTATGTTATGACTGTTTTTTCACTCAAGCACTCCATCTAACAACAAATAGAGACACCATCGATAAATAATATTTGAAAAAAAATTTTAACGAAAGGTTACAAAACTAGTAGATTTCAGACACTAATATTTAGGTTTATAAAAAAATGAACTCTTAATTCAATATTATTATGAAAAAAATTAAAACCAAAATATTCGTAAACGTTTGAAGATTAAAACAATTCACAAAACGGTGGCAGTTAGGCCATAAAACTTGTAAATCCTTATACATTAAATAATTATTAAAAGTATTTTTAAAAAAAAAAGACTAACAATTCCTCTTAGTATTATTATTATTATTTTGTAATAATAGTTCTTTTTAAATTTTATAATACAATAAACCTGTATATATTATTATAATATTGAAGAATGTTGATTTTTTATTTCTTTTAACGGCTAATTTAATAACCATTATTACGACCGTAATTAATTTAAGTTTATTATTACTTTTTAATGTCAATTTTTTTTTTTTCTAAGACCTACTTACATTTTAAGGTTTATTCAAACATTATATTGGCTTTGTTTGACCAGTATTATTATCTATATATATATAAAATTAAAATGAATAAATAAATAAAAAAAAAAAGGTACTAAATTATTTAAAACATGATAATTGTAGATAATTTTTACATTTTTATTGTTGGTCAACATTATGTGATTAATTAATTATTTTTTTAAGATTTTATTTAATCATTTACTATATTAGTTATAAATTATTAATACATTTTGAGTAAAATTACTGACGACGATGAGAACTGTAAAAGACCTAAATTTCAAGATATGCTAGTTTTATTTTAATTTTAACCATTAAAAACTTTAACTTTTAAAAAAGTGAAAGTAGTAAACAAATTATTCAATCAAAAGAGAGTATATCTCAATTTTTTTTTATATTTTCAATCGTTTACGTGTTGAGTTGTTTAGTTGCCATATGACGTGTCAGACGAACAGCCAGAAAATAAACGTTAGTGTAAAGACACTTGAAAAAAAAGTTTTATTTAGTAATCTACAGGTTTTGACACGGTGATCTGATACCTAATAACATTTTATTAAATATGTTTACTACTATTTTTACCAGAGCATTGTAATATGGTTCCTGAGTTTTAAACTTTTTAAACTAAACAAATGAAATATTGTAATTAAAAATAAAAAATAATAGTTTTTATAAATCTGGGGATTTTCGTTTTATGCATACATATTGAAACACAATTTTGGTGTTACAAATATGTACTAATGATACATTTTTAATGTTAAACTTATTGTAAAATTTATGATATTTTAACTGTGCAATATCACTGCTTATTAATTAATGATAAATACTATCGATAAACCATTTGTCCATGAAAATAATTTGCTAAACTTCAATAAATTTTAGAAAATCATTCGTCGTTAGTAAATAATAACAAAATTTTGTTTCAAAATAAAACAGCCATTTTAGTTTTTGTAAAAAAAAATTTTCAAAACAAATTTGATTTATCATTTTTAGTTTTAAAAAAAATGTATATTATATATGTTAAGCAGAGGAATCACTAGTGCAAGGCTATAGACATTATTACAAGAAAAAAAAAAAAATTAGAAATACTAACCTGAACAAGTTATTCCATTTGTCAGGTTTTCGTATTACATTTCGTATATTTTAAAATTACGATACAATGTTATTTAAAATCGTATTTGGCTTTCTTGCGATTTATGTAAATTAATTCAATACGAATACACAATATATTATAAAATAATACAATCTATATGATGATAATATTCATTAAATAACCGAAAATGCAAATGAAATTTGAAAATCTAATTCGATAAGCTATATCGCTGCGAAAACTAATATTATTTTATGGGCGGTCAAAATGTAAAAAGCGCCGCAAAAGCACATTTATTCGCTCATTGTAGTTGTGTGCAGTGGTTATATTATGCGAAAAAGAGAATCTCATTCTAAACCAAAATAATAGAATCGAGTCGGAATATAATAAAATTAAAATTACAACTTTTGGTGTACATCATACATATTTTTTAAATTAATATTTGAGAACTGTATCACACTATTACGTATAGTAGATTTCCCAGTGCACAAATATAATGATACGTATATAACGTGTAGACGACGCCCGGCGTAATGTTTAGGCAAAAGTGATACATGTACGAATTGGGGAAAATTTTTTTTTTCACTTGAGCAACAATAATAATAAATTAATGAATTATTGTTACAAGAACGATATTTTATTAATTTGAAGTTGAATTAAATATAATATTTTATTAAAACCAATGTAAGTACTGTGCAAAAAGATGATGCCTTATAAATATTTTTTTAAATTAAATTTAAATTTGTTTAACCTTGACAACAATTTAAATTGTTTTCATTCCCATTAATTAAATAATGTCTATCGATTCATTACTTTTTACACGAGAAACAATTATTGACAACTTCAAAACGTTATAGAAATTTAACGATACACCATTAACAAACATTTATAACACCAAAATTCTGTTTCAAAATACATCTATAAAATTGCTATTTCGAATTTTTTAAAAAAACTATTTTCAAAATTAAAAAACAAAAGACGAGTGTATAAATATATGCCATATTTCTAAAATATATGATTCGTAGCGCAAAAATATAATCATTATAAAATAAACAAAAAAAAAAAACTTAAAATACCAAATAAAAAAAAAAAACCGAGAAAGATTTAGCATTTTTTTGATCTCTCGCATGCAATTATAAAACAATAATAATATTATATATTATCAGTGTTTTTTTATTGATCACCCAATGCGTTGTAATAGCCAAATAATGAAATACCAGTTTTACATTAAATGTGTTTCGTTTTATTATTCCTAAAATAAAATAACAAAGAAACGTCGAAAATTTCGGTATTATATGCATAAATATAATGTTCGAAAAATTCGGTCCATTGTGTACTTGTGTACGGATTTTGATTTTACATTTTCGGTGTTTTATTCGATTATTGTAGTTTAGCATATGTATACCGAATATAATATATGAACTATTATTTTATAAATAATAATAATTACACTACAATTTATAAAAAAACCGATTACCCTATCCGTTCATTTATGATTCACCGTGTATTATACGTATATGTACGATTTAAATATATTTTATGAATATTTCAAGTTTAAATAACGGTGAAATTACCGTAATTCGCAATACTAACGTGCCTATGTGTAGGTATTTAGTTTTTCGCCGAGGTTCCATCGATGAATCAATCTATACCCCCCAATATAAATATAATATTTATTCAGCAAAAGGAACTGATACTGCTGTGGGATGTGCTACTGTTATTGGCGAAAAGTTGAGAAGGTTGGATGCATAAAGTTATTTAGTTTACATCTTCATTCTTCATACGCAACCATAAACTGTTGCGGATTTAATATATTTTAAGTGCTGTGGTTTTTACCATTTTTGATACAATTTGAACTTAAAATGCATATAAAAAAATTAATCAAATTCATCTACGCACTAAAACTAAATTAAAACCAAAAAATGTTAAATACCTTTTAAAAGCTTAAAAATCGTCATAATGTTTTAAAAATGTGATCACGTTCAATAATGGCTGACATAAGTATTCTGTAAAAATATATCTATGATTATTTTAAACCGAATTGTTATTGAAAAAAAAATCGAAAAAAATGATTTGTTGACTAAGCATTTTTTTAAAAAAATATTTTTGGATGTTGTTATAATAATTTGAACATAATTTTAGGCATTGTTGTTGCTATAGACATTTTTATGACATTATTAATTGTCTGGACATTTTAACCAGGACCCGATTTTTTATATTTTCTTTTTGTACTTCGAAAATAGTTGTTATTTTTACTTGTTATTTTTATTAAGTATAATAAAATATCCCTTGTGCGTTTTCGTTTTAATGATTTTATATCTAAACAATATTCTCGTTCGACATCATATATTGTACTCGTTGTGCTATATACCGCCGACCGATCGAATCCTATAAGCGATTTATAAGGGTATCAAGAGGGGTCCCCGAGGGCCATCGAAAAATGCTCTAGAGCCAAAAAAAAAAAAGGGTACCAGTAGAGATGGGAACGGCGGAGCTTTGCAGTTTGATCTATATATTCGATTGTCGTTTCGTTAATTTTATCTCCGCCCAAACGGTATTCTCGTGGGTCTATTCCAGCTACACAACAAGTACACCTACATCGCGCGCTCACTCCAGTTTTATGCGTTTTACGCCAGGGGAAAACCCGTAGGCGGCGTTTTATTTTCTTGGTGAAACAATAGAACTACGTTTGTCAGCGCAATACCGTTGCCCGGTTTCTGCGACGAGATACACGCGTTTATTCCATCATAAACACGATTATAAAAAAAAATCCACGAGATACGCGCATTACCTATCTAATCATTAGTATTATTGGGTAGATTATTACGCGTGTAACGTTAATGCACATTTTCAATGTTTGTTCGTATAGTATATAATATATTATTGTATAATCTATTTTAATTTTTTTTTTTTTTTTTTTTAATTGTAGAAATCGAATTAATGATGCAATTTTGCAACTGACCGACAGCGGTGAACTCGCAAGGCTAGAAAGCAAATGGTGGTTCGACGAATGCGGTTACGAGGCAAAGGTAAGAGAACAACAACAACAACAAATTAACACTCGTGTGCGTGTATATATATATATATGTATACACGTAGTAATACATTTCTTTCGATAAAACCGACATTAGGCTCAAAGGTTTATCCGCAAACTATTACATGTACCTATTATCGTACTATATATTATTATACGTTCAAAACGTATTTTTCAATTTACTAAATTACCGTTTCCATTCGGAAGCCCAGCATTTCCGCTGGGATTTTCCTTTGTCTACGCGCACATCTGATTCGTTCGTTGTTTTTTATGATATAATAGAGGTACCTTATTACTCCCTGTATTATATGGTTACGAACTATTATGTCATCGGTCGTACATTTTTCAACTTTAAAAAATAAAAAAAATACGCGTTACCGAAAAAATTGGCAACACAACACGCTCGTATTATAATATTTATAGAAAAAATTGCTCAAACCGACCACTGGGTTTCGTGCAAACTAGCTAAACGCGTTTTGGAATTTATTAAATAGCGTAAGGAGAATGTCTATGTAGTAATAAAAAAATTAAAGGAATCTCGAAAAAAGGAAAAATTCACGTATATATGTGAACAAAACAAACCGAAAGTAATTTATTTTCGTAAAAGAAATATACATCTAGGAGAGTCTGCGGTCTGCACTTAAAGACCGTTTTGAACATAAAAACAAAAAAAAAAAAAAAAAAAAAAATGAAATGCAGTTGAATACATTTTAAAAAACTTTACTTTCGGTACATTTGCTTGTTCGTCGTTTATACTCGACCGGAAACCGCCAACGGAAAAAAAAATAAAGACAAAACAAAAATAGATTATAATATATAGTTTTGCAATTTATGTTGTTTTTATTTTACACTATTGCTAATACGAAAATATACGCGACAATATATAATAAAGTTATCTTCACTTCCCACGCGTCCTCGCTACGACATACACGCTATAAAACACAACGAAATATTACTATAGATTTTTATTAAAAAGTCAAAATTTTTTTTTTTTTTTTTTTTAACGTTCACCGACCTGACGTTACGTATATTCCCGCAGGAGTCTTTCCGCAACGCCGAGTTGACGTTAAACAACATTGCTGGTATATTTTACATACTGGTCCTGGGACTCATCGTGGCCATCGCCGTAGCGCTTTTTCAGTTCTGCTATCGAACACATTCGGATCAAGCCAACTCAAAGGTAACGTGCATTTATTGTAGTTTGATTAAAAATATATATTTAATACGAATTATCAATAATTCACTATATAACATGCGCGCGCGTTTATATATGAATATATGTACAGAATGGTCCACGATGCCATTTAAAATAACTTTAGTTGTATTCAATATTTTTTTAAATAATAAATATTCCTTTGTTTCTCTATGAGTTAATATCATACAGTAATTATTTTGACTACTGATTAAATATTAAAATAGATTTTAAATCATAACAATATTCACATTTCAAAACATTTTCAAAAATAAAAGACCACACAAATGCCTAAATAAAAAATTCTAACACAAAAAATAGTTTCAAATATATTTAACGAAATTACTATTTTGATTTTTTTAAAAAAAATTACAGTAAAATTTAAATGGTTTTATTACAATGGGCATATCTTCGTGGGACAGCATGTATACTTAATATTATAGAGTAATATACTTGATAGTATAATGTATACTTGTATACTACCTGTAAATACTACAGAAATAAGTTATGACCTGTGAAGAAAAATAGTGCATAAAATGGTATACGAGAATTCGTTATAGTTTTATTTTTGCGGCAAGATTTATTCCTAATAGTATGAAAACATTTGAATGAAAAACTCTTCTACTACTGATAGCAATCATAGTGTAAATTACCATGCATACGGTATTCGTCACACTTAATATTATAGGGACTGGTTTTATGATATTTTCTTGAAAATAATGATTATGTTTAAGTATGATAAACTAACGAAACTAACGACTAAATCGGACAAAATTATCTTTGTTTTAAATAAAATAGTATAATACCCATCGTTATAATATAGACATATAGTATTCTAAAGGTCTTGATTATATGTATTTTATTTTGCATATTTCTCATTTTTCATTATTATTATATTTTAAATCATTACATTTGATTAGCATTACAGAGACAAATTTATAGTATCTAAAAACAACTTTGTGTATCGGGATCGTTACAGTTCGACTTTGCCCAAAAAATCTGTGGAAATAAATTATTTCTAAAAAAAATTTTTTTATTTTGTTCTTATTTTATTTTATTTCATAGAGAAGGTTAAAAAAACTAATGTCTAACGAACTAATGTATGGATTATAAAACAAATCAACCATATTAGGTAAGTTTTATGTTACGTGGAGGTTTTGTTAAAAAGAGTTTTCATTGTAATTCGTATATTATAATGTTTTTTTTTTTATTATGACGAATATTTAACATTATATTTGGATTACCTAGTTTTTTTTGGTCATTTTTAATTTGATTTTTCGTCCAGTAATAAGATTATTATTATGTCGAATACAAATCCAGTGATAGACGGATTTCGACACTCCACCTCTCCCTCAAAAACTTGAAAATTTAAACTACCGAATCAGAAATTCAATAGTAATGTAATTATTATAAAGTTTTTTTAGGGGTTTTTGTTACGTTTTATCGTAAGGTATATAATTATTGTAAAATGTATTATTTATTATAATTGATGATTGGATAAAATCGAATGGATAAAAACATGTTTAGGAGTTGGTAAATTTGCTATTTGAATTTTGAAAATCACAACCCTCCGAAGATTTAGTTTCACGCTTAATGTCGAATGGAATGTTAATACTTTACCAAATATTATTTAACCGATGTTTTATTGTTTCTAAATAATTAAAGATTAAATATATAAGAGGTGTAGAAAATCTGAGAGATTATTTTATATCTCTTGAAATTTTATTGTACTTACTATATTCCATTCCTCTTCATAATATTATATTATATACTTTGTTTTATTTTGTTTGTTTGTTTTTTTTTTTTTACCAAGATATTCTTATGTATCTTATATACACTATACGTTTTTATAGAAGTATACTTATATAATATTATACATAATATATATATATATCTATTTTAAAATCCTCTCATAATTGTTACGTGTTGATATAACTGATTTAAAAAAAAAAAAAAGTAATAGTTTTTGTTTAACATTAGGCAGCGTATAAATTTGTTTTTAATATATAATCGTTGAGAAAAAATGATGCGTTTTACTTAATTTTAATCCGGATTTACGTTAAATATAAATCTGCTTTATTATTATTATATGTATATATATTAATTTTTTTTATCTTTTATAGTCATGGTTTTATTATAAGTTTTTATTTTACTTTAAAGACGGTTCAAATAAAAAAAACAAAGTATATTTCCTTATAAATATTATTTGGAGGAAAATTCACGAGAAATATATTTCAATGAGTTATATTGCAGACATATTATACCGTTTATTTCTTTGCATAATAATAATATTGTTGAAATAAAAATAAGAAAACCTGATTGCCAGTTACTAAAACAAGTGATTTGTGATCAGTTTGTATAATAATTTGGATTTCATTAAAATATAATTTCGGCATTTTAAAGTGTATACATATTCATATAGCGTACTGTTTAATATATAATCTTTTTATAATCAATATATGTTGGAAACGGTGAAATTCCTGTATTTTTGGGTATAAAATTATAATATTATAGTGATACCTATTGTTTTTTTTTACACATTATTAAATATATATATATATATATATATATATATATATATGTATATATGTATATATGTATAATATGTATAATATGTATAATATATATGGTGTATAGGAAGTTTTTTCTTACGTTTGTCTTTATAGGATCAATAATGCGATTAGGTACAATGTGTTACTATATATTATTAAGGTTGAAAACCGATAATCTCAGAGGTCATTTACTACGCAAAGTACATTTTATCTCCATTTCATCTAACTAGATGTACCTTGCAGTACGAATGTATTTTAAACTATTGGAAAAAAATTATTATTATTCAGTATAAAATTTTATGAAAAAAACGTTTGAATATAACACCAACCAATATAGAATATAGTATTAATATTTATAATTTTAAGCGGGATAACAAGCTAAATGTTTTAAATGATAAGTGTAGCTTTTAAATTCTTTTTCTCGCAGTACATTTAACTGAGATACTACAATTCCCCTGCTTTCGATTGGTTGTATTGTAACTTCTCAGCTTACTTGCCAACTCAGCCAACCGAACAATAATTAACCAAATCCAAAAAAAAAACTAAAAGTATATTGACAACAAATTCAAACAAACGTCAAAGTTTTAAGAAATCTGTAGAATTCTATTTAAAATTTTGTTTTGAATGATATTGGTTTGATTTAGTGTTTAATGCTAATTAAGTTGATGCTAAAATTACATGACTATTTTACCGATAATACACCGTCTTAATATCGGATATGAAGTGACATATAAATGAAAAATGATAATTATTTAAATTCTCTTACATATTTGTAAAATACACAAATTTAAATATGCTTCATAATTTATTATATGCAATGTAGTTTTATACGTATTATATAGTGAGGAATTCAATTAGTTCAATATAAAATCATTATCCTGTTTTATGATTTTCTGACTAAGTAGTTTATTCTTGTGAAAATGTCGATGTACAAATTATTTATCAACACTCAAAGTTTATATTAATACAAGAAAGTTTGTTAAAAGGTAGTGGACAAACTGTGAGAGGAGGGTTTAATAATTGTTTACGTCTCAACATTTTACTGCTACGCTCCTGTATAAACTTAACTGACAATAAATAATAAAATACAGGTCTAAAATAATACACTATGAATATAATATTTTTAAAAAAAATATAGCTCGACAAAATGTTATTATGAAATTAAACATAAAGTCGTCATTTGATAAAACTGTGAAAAAAAAAAAACTACAAAAACAACATGAACGAACAAGGATTATCAAAACCTGTTAAGTTTGTAGTTTTTGAGATTTTCGCAAACATACAACCACAATAAAACCTACCTTTTTGTTTTTTTATAATAAGATTTGTAATATTTAACTTACTGCGTACATGTTAACACAATAATCGGTATTGATCACGCATAATCTGAATATTTTTATTTTATAGACAAATAAAAATAGTAGGTGCCTTAAAATATATAAATATGCTCCTGTGGGCGCCTAAACAACGGAAACCACGTACTGCTATTGCATGTAAATGACACTAGAATGAAAATATTATGTACATTATTAGGTCGATAGATATTAGGTAATATTGTCATTTACTCATTAATTCACATTTATTGTTTAGAATCACAAAAGTGAAAGGGGGCGGGGGGCGTGAAGCAAATTCTAAATATTCGCATATTGTGTCACCAATCGATTTACTGTGTTAATGGCAATAATCATATTTGCGCGCGCTCGTAATAATTAATGATAATATTTTAAACGGGTCGGTGAAATGCCGAAATATAAGTCATATTATTGTAGGAACCTATAATAGTGCCAGGTACGACATCGCTCGCTTACCGGTAATGTGTTTCTCGAGTTTCGCAATTAATTCCCAACCGTAAATTGTCGTATTATGCCGTTAATTATAACAATCCTAAATAGGTACGAGCAAATAACTATTATTATTGTTATTTTTAGTGTGTTTTGCTATTTTTATCAAATTTTTTCCCCTTCCCCCTCCTATCTATTTCACGCGATAATTAAACCGGGTTAGGTCAGGTTAGGTTAGGTTAGATTAGGTTACCTAACCGAGTTATCTAACAGTTAGTATAGTTTTTCCAAGTTCTAATTTAAATGGAAAAAACACTGTTGTCAAAATGTAACATTTCTTAAAACGAACATTTACATTCATAGTAGACGTGTTTATTGTGTCTTTCAAATTGCTTTTTTGTTTTTCCCCCGAGACCTACTCTCCAATAGTCTTTTCAATTGAAGTTCCAACATTAGCAGGCGAAGCTATCGAATAGACGCGATGGCTGAACGCTCTCGCAGACGAAATAATTGATAATGTCAGGTGGGCGTTATATATATTTTGAAGTTTATTTCTAAACTCTCTTATCAGTTTTTGGAAGAACCACTATGTCCGGTTCACAGACAATATACTAGATTACTAGTAATAACCGAGTTGGAAGTACAAATAATGAATGAATACTAACATGATTGATAAGTCTTTTGTTTCTCTCTCTATCTGTCTCACCGTCATACTATATCTTTTATCAATATCTGATATCATAATAATATACACCTGATATTACATACGGGTAGTAGAGGTATCGTATGATAGTATTGATAGTTAGTAATTTAGTTAATTGTACATTATATAATAAATAATCATTATATTTGTAACCTGGTCGATCATTGTCAAACTTATTCTCACATATTGTCTTATCTCATGTACACTGATAAAGATAATAATATTATAGTTAATTATTATCCCCGAGAATTAGAGAAACATTTACCTAATGGTGTTGTACTATAATATTATTCTCTGCCAAGCGTTTTATGTTTCGTTTTCGTTAGTTCACGTACAGCATAATTATGATAGTTATTATTATAATACACGCGAGAATAATACTAATAAGATGTTATAGTACCGTCACACGTACCTATATCTTAATTGTTTTATATTCGAATATATTGTAATGCCGACAAATTTTCGACAGTTATTAATAAGGTTTGGGACTCATAGCATTTAAAATCAATAAAATTGCGCTTAAAATGATTCATTATAATTCTTTTATGCGCTGAAATACTGAAACAGTTGTCGAAAAAATCATAAAAATAAAAAATGTATGATTTTATATTTGGACTCGTAACACGATATAAACGGACACTCTGCTTGATATAATATCGAGCCAAAAAAATAAGCTAACGATATAAGTCCCGAACCCTAGTTATTACCGTTAAATATAATAGTGAAAGATCATTTTTAAAACTCACTTAAAAAAGTACTACTACTTTCAGCACTCTTGTAAAGAATACATTCGTTTTATATTTTCTAAAAAAAAAAAAAAAATAACCAAAATATGTTCTGAATACTTAATCGAATACGTTTAGTATTAATAATATTGATTAATAGGTTAATTCTTAAACTTTGATTAGAAACAAAAAAAAAACAAATACTATGTTCATAATCTATTATGTGACCGTAAAAATATACGGTTTAAGATTAAAACTTCAAAACTATTGTTGGTTTCGGCAGAAAAATATTATTAATCCCGAAGAGTATTTAAAACGGCTTTTGGGTACATTAATACATTGCTGCACATAACTTACACACGTGTCGAGACATTATTGTTTACATTTATAATTGTTATTATCAGCTACTTAAAATGTTAATCGAAACAAATTATATAAAAGTTCATGGGGTATTGATAATAACAATTCCATTAATATAATAATTATAGATGGCATAGTGTAATACCATATTCGCCTGCCGCAACGTACAATTTTTTATCTCGATTAAAATCGTATTTTTTTCAGCATGGCCCACGATTAGGTCGTATTTCTATTCGTTCAAAGAGATTTGATTAGACGTCAGAAACAACGAGACCGCTTATTCGTTGCGGCGGGTGAATTATTATTATTAACACTATAATGTTGGTGGTGATGTTTACTAAACCATATCAAACTGTTTGTTTGATGTCAGGTATTTCAAACTGTTGAGTTTTATTTGAACACGTGCATATAATATACAGTGTGATCACGATTTAATGTAACACAAAATATCTTTGGTGGATGACCTTGTATTGAAATGGGGTTTGCGGGAGGTGATAGGGAGTACCTAAATAAATATTTTCAGATAAATTTCAAATTTGTAACACTTTTGGTATGCGCATATGCAATACAACTTACATTTTTTTAAATGGAAACACTATTTTTTTTCTGCATATACGGATAGGTTATTATTTTATTTTTTATTTTTTGTATTCAAAGTATTTTTCTTTTTATAAAACTGACCAAGTTAGATTAAGTCAAAATTTGGATTTCTGTATAATTCATGTTTAATGATACTTTCATTTATAACCACTGGAAATACTAAAATAATTGTGAAATAATTAAACATTATTTTCAGTGTATGATATTTCGTCAACTGTATTGATTAAATGTAATACAAAATAGTTATAATGGTAATGGTAATATTAATATTATAATAAAAAATAAAATGCATTAAATAAATTTATCGTATGAATTGTTCAAAATTTTCACCATTGTGTTCTAAACATGTTTCAAGTAGTCTCAAAAATTCAGTCGAAGTTGCCGCCTTGATTCGCTCCTCACTTAAAATATCACATGCTGCCTGTATTTTGTTTTTTAAGTTCTGAAGATTGACAGGTTGATTTGCATAAACCACAGTCTTCAAATATCCCCATAAAAAAAAAATCTAGTGGCGTCAAATCTGGGGATCATGCAGGTCAAATAACGACGCCATAAGTACAAATCCAGCGGTTTGGACATATTTAATTTAAATATCGTCTAACAATAATTGCACTGTGGGCTGGTCTTCCATCTTGCTGGAAAAACATACGGTTCCGTGTGTCTAATGAAACATCGTCCAACAGTCGTGGTAGTTCATTTGTTAACGAATTAAGATATCGTCTGCCATTAAGCGTACCATCGTAAAAGAACGGTCCTATTAGCTTTCCACCAACTAACCCACATCATACATTAATTCCTCAAACCGTTTGAAAATTAGTTTCACGTGACCAGTGTGGGTTTGTGTCATCCCAGCATCGATGATTTTGTTTATTNGATTCATCACTCCAAAGAATATGATTGACAATTAAAGGGTTATCATACAATTTAATATTGAACCAAGCTATTAATTCCAACCTACGAATAGAATCTCCTGCAGGCAAATGTTGGACAAAATCGATTTTATATGGGTGCAGTTTGTGTTTTTTTAGAATTTTTTGAACATAACCATATGAAACTCCAATTTCACGAGCAACATGCCTAATTGACGAACGTCGATTAGCTCTTATGTATGCTAGTACCTGTAATTCTGTATCGTCATCAAACATATTTGCTCTACGTCTTTGTTGAATTATTCGTCTGCCAGGAAATCTTCCTTCCTCTTTTAACCCTTGTAAAAGTCGTAAAACATAATTATAAGGTGGATGGCACCTTTCTGGGTGTATCGTTCGGCATACGTCATAGCAGCTAGGCGTACATTACGTTGACATTCGCCATAAATTAAAACCAATTCAACTTTTTCAGCGTTATTAATATTTAAAAAATTATAATTTATAGAAGCACTTAATAACCAGACATCCACGGATAACGCACATACTTTAGAACGGGTCTAATTACAGAATAAAACTAAATTATATTTATCGGTGAGCCAACACCACCTTTTTTTCGACAGCCGACTGTCCGCCGGATATTTGCCGCCGATATAAAATCAACACCCGATCCGATATTTTGAAATCGAAAACCATAAATGTATATTGAAACGAATCGATGTAAAAATCCGATTTTCTAATATTCTATGAGATATTTAAAGAAGTTTATTTCCGAAAATATCGGTTTTGAATATTTATACCTTAACCGATATTCTCATTGCAGGCCGATATATGTTATGCCGACACTCTCCACTAATCGTTTTCATGAACATTAAAAATGTCTTTAAAATGGTAATCATTGATGAAACGTTCTTATTTTTTTTTTTTTTATCAGTGCATTCATTTCATCCGCCTTTTATTTCAGCGTAATAATAACATTAAAACATATTCTAATTAGGTAAAAGTAAAAAAATTAAAATATATCAAAATAATATTTACATACGGAATTGTACGCACGAAACTAATTTTCAACAAAGTCTCAAACAATTAAATATATATTATTTTACCCGTTTAATGAATTTTGATTTTGATTTTTTTTTTATACTGAAAATACTAATTTAAAAAAATGATACACTGTCAACCTTTTAGTGACTATAATCAAACAAAGTGACACGGATGGCACGGAGAAATTTATTTTATAGTAAAGAAAGATATATTAACGTCACCTGTGGGTTATTGCACTTACTTTAATAGAAAAAAAGTTAGTAGGTACGTATACATATATATATTTATGAAAAGTAGTCACGCAAATATAGACGCGATGCTTTTTGGCCTATAATTTTAAGTAACTAATATAAAAATATTGTTTTAAATTTCTTTTTCGTGCGACATTTCTTTATTTTAAATGCACCATTGTTTATATATTTTAAAATAGATTTACATTATCAATATATAGACGTTTTAAACTGTTGATTGATAGTCCTTTTCCTGAAATATTTTAACGTAAACAGTAGCGCTTCTCAGTTATGAATAATAATAACAAAAGAAAAAATACTTGCATTTTCAGTAAACTATATTTTTAATTCATAATGAATGTCTCCATTAAAAATAAAAACGATTAATTTATACATTTATCTGGATCCTCGTAACGATGATATTCGTTTGTCGTTTTAATACTTTAATTTTCAAAATGATAATAGTGTTAAGATAAATCGGTTAAACTCAAGTTTATAAATTCGATTCAAAGCGAAATTCGATTAAACATATTTTGAAGTCCTGTGATTTTCGTAAATACGAATAAAAAAAAATTGGATCAATTTTTTCAATCAAAAAATTACTCTCTTTGTGAGCATGTAGATCTAAAATACAACAAAAAAGATCTTTAGACATTGTTTGATTAATGCAATATTTCTAGTATATACCATATCTAGTTTACAAAAATGAAAACTAATAAAATTGGTAACGCCACGGCGCGCCATTAATATTTTCCGTGTTACCTATAATTTTGTTTCCGGTTTTCCCAAACTATTTTGAAAAGCCCTTAGAAAATCAAAAATTTCCGGGTTTAAAATTTCCTTTTAGAAAAAGTACTACACTTGAAATACATTAAAGTAAGGATTCTTTTCAAAAAGTAGTTTTCAAATAGAAAAAAAAACACACACATCATAGTAAAACCGCTACGCTCCGAATCTAAAATAGTAATAAACTTAATATATTCTCTACTGCGTTCAAAATTTAAAAAAAAAAAGACTGATACTGCTAATTTCGACACTTTTTTAAGAGGCAAATTGAAAGGGAGGATTAATTAAAATTGTATTCATATGCAATAATTAAATTAAATAATTAAATAATTAAATAATTGCTAACGAAAAACAGTTTCGAGGAGAGTATATTATTTTTCGTATTTTTCGTCAGTTTCTAATGTAACCAATTTATCAACAAAAATTATAATGCGATTTTTTTTTCGTTTGCGGAGAAAACTATTAGGAAACACAACAACCGACTTTTATGTACCAATTATAAGATCAACAATTTTCCAAAACATTCTCTTAATTAAATTTTTGATTGGGTCAAGATTTCCGGTAAAAATGTTGTTTACAGACATAAAAAAATAAAAAAAATATAGTAAAATTAATACATTCCTCGTTACGCTCAGAATCTAAAAGTAATTAAATGTTCATATAATTTTTTATAAACGTGGCGTGTCCTGCTTTCCTCAAACTTTTGAGGTAGATTCGCTTTGTTGTATACTCGTATACTATAAAATATGAACAGTAATTATATGTTAAACATTCGTCCGGAAATATCGATTGATTTATATTGACGGATTTCCACGTATGTGTACTCTTTTAACCTTTTTCCCGTTAGGTTTCTGAAGTTACACTAAAAAGTTTAGCCCTACAGCTTATATTCGCGGAAAACTAATATTAATTAAAACGTATTCACGTTTACCAAACGATAAAATACTATTTACTTTTCACAGAAATTATATTATACCTAACGTTTACCTAATTTAAATACAGTAACGAACATTGAGGTATTTAGGAATTTTTAAGGAGGCATTAAGAGGATTTCCCATAGTAAAAGCCGTGAGGAGAGCTTTATAACTCGCGTATTTTTAACACAAACACGTTACCTACCTATATATTGGATACTTAAAAAAATGTATTAATTTTTAATAATTTGTCGAGGTTCTCAATGTAATGGTAGATTAAGAATATGACATTTTTTATCCCCGTGCTTACTATTGCACAAAATCTAATCACATCATATAGCGTAATTTTAGTTTTTCGATGATAAGAAAATAGAGGAAAATAGTAAATGTCTATATTATATAATTACAAAATGGATCACCGAATACTATGTTTTACGCCACGAGCTTTTATAGATACTTGTACACAGTCCGAAATCAAAATGTTAACAATAGAAAAAAACCAATTGACTTTTTTTTCTTATCTTTTCAATACCGTCTAAATATCGGAGGTGTCGAATCGCCCATCCTCGGGTACGCGTGTATAATGAAATTAATAGTCGGACCGTTTTCATTAGATTTTCGACCGTGGTCCGTGATATCGATATAATATAATATATATTATTATTCGATTTTGTTAACGAAAAAAGTAGCATACGAGTAAATCCCTTTAGGCTTAGCGGCGGCTTTCCGTCCTACGAAAAACCACCGGCAACGCGCTCCCCTGGGACTATGGCTTATCGGTCATAAATACAAGATCAAAATCCAATTTCATTGACAAATTTTTTCCATTGATATACGACTCTCACTCTCCTTCTCAATATATATATATGATACATATACCCGTATTATATTCCGTCGAGACGTAATACGCAAGAAAAAAAAAGGATACAAGAAGCTGATATTTCAATACTTAATAAATAAAAAAACACGGACGTTTTTACAATTTTTTGTTTCGCCTTATTTATTTTCGACGATATGCTTTCTGAAAATAATATGAATTTATTCCTGTAATATATTTGTAAATCGTACGCAATATAGTCCCGACTCGGAGCCGTATTTATGTGTAGACTACATTGGCTGCGTCCTATGGGCCCGCATCACACAAAACAAATCGTTGGAAATTGAATTTTAAAGAGACGAAAATTAAAAATGATTTGACACTGTGGTGCGGGCTCTTATTGTAGTGAATTTGTGTCTATTTAGAAGATAGAATACAAACAAGTTTTAATGAAATTATTATCGCGTTTCATATGTACATAGTCTCTATTTTCGCAGGGACGAAAATGTCATGCGTTATTCGGACAATTCCGACTAAAATCACGCTTAAGCGGGCCGAGTAAAACTCAATATAAATTTTGGTTTAAGATTAAAATCATCTCTAATAAAACTAAAACAGGACAATGTTCTGTATAACGCTACTTTTATTTTCATTTTTCCAAATATAACATCTTAGTACACCGTTAAGAAATAACAAATACTTATTTAAATAATTTAAAATTACCGTAAATTTTTAAAAATGCACATTTATACTCTCCAGAATATTATCATGTTTTAATTTTTAAATTTAATTTTCACAATATAAGAATAATAGAAGTTGAATAATTGTGTTGAGTACTATAACGGTTTCGAGTTGATTTCATTTATATTTCATCAATTTGATTTCTAAAGACGTAACGTACGCATAGTAAATTTATCCACATTCTGTTAATGAACTAGTTACATAATGTTTCTTTTTAAGTTATTATTGTGAAAATATTTTTTATATGTGATTTTTGCTGGATAATTAAAATAAAAAAAAAAAAAATTTGATAATCCAATTAGGCCAGCGCCTAAGATTAGACTAGGTTTCTACGGATCTTAAATACGGAATCTCCCAGAATATTTATAGTCTTGTTTTATTTAATGTTATTTATTCCGATGTAAATACGTTAAAATATACGCCGCTGCGTTTTAACCCTCCTAAATAATAAAACGCGGCGTTATGATTTTCAGTTATCGGACCATTTCTATGAAAAATCTTACTCCGGGGGTGGTTTTCGGTTGCTTAAACGTCCGTGTATTCGCCGAGGAAGTTATTTTTTCGTTACGAAATCGGATTTTTCGGTAGAATATAATGTGTTTGTTTATCCGGTTTCACTGTATTACCAACTATATTTGTACACAACACTGTTGTGTTCACATCCCGACGCAAGTAACACAATGCCGCCTGTCCATAAATGCGGATTCGATAAGCCCAAGACTCAAATCGTGTCATCCGTTCCTAGAAAGAACCAAAGATTCATTTAACCCCTCCGTGTCGCAGTAATAATGAGAAAGCAAACTTCCAGCTAACGGAAACCATATTACATGCGTGCGCAGACTGTAAAAGCAAGTAGTGGCCACATTGATATGATCATCGGCCCTCTGGCCAGCCATTTCATAAATGAAACTAACACGTTTACATTTCATATACCTATTTAAAATTAATATTCGTGTTATATATTTTTTTTTACATTGTTTAGTGTAATATAATAATAACAATAGCAGTTACGAACAACAATAAATTTAATAATAATATAATTTTAAGTATTTTATTATAAACATTCTATATTAAACAGGCATTAGCCAATTCAAACAAAGTATAACGAATATAATAATTAAGAATTATAAGCTAAAAGAGGACGGGCATATTTTGCACGGTGGGTGGCCCGCTGTTGTAGTTGAGTAATAGTTGAAAAGGTAGGATATAGAGGGGAATTTAATGTATATCTGCACGCAAAGATTAATCTTTTCTACCGAAAAATGATTCCAAGCAGAGTTTGGTTATAGATGTTTTAAAAGGCTGTGATATTTAAGATTTTCGTTTAAGTATTTATAAAAAAACAAAATTCTACATTATACTTTTTTTTTTTTTTTTACCATTAAATATAACTTATAATGAACCTCCTGTTAAATTTCAAAAATTCCGGTTTGGTCTAACAATTTTATCCACAGAGTACCTATCAAAAACTGACAACAACTGTTGATACATCAGTTTTATTTACCTTGGTTATCTTAGCTATGGTGTGGGATAAATATCGCGACTTATAGTACTCCGATCAAAATAGGTTTTCGATTGAAATTGATTACAAGGGAATACCTTAGTTTAAAAAGTAAGTCATGCGTCGAAAAAGTTTGAAGAGTACTGCACTATACGACGTCTAGTGTTAAAAAAAAATTAACAAACTAACTCTTCGAGCTGGTAATCAGTATTATACGGTGTTTTCGTGAGATAATTAATTACTATAAACGAATGAAATGCGTAATATTATATTATGTTTTTTAAGTGAAAATTTCACAAAATACACGATATAGTATTTTAAGTTAAAATATTTCTGATATTGCGGTATTATAACATTATAATAATAATACTTAAACGAAACGTCGTGTTTTATAATAAATTGAAACGTTTAATGGGTTCTTTGTCGCACGCGCGTGCGAAGATTTTAAGACCGTGTATAGCTCGCGGGGCTTAAAAACAATCGCTTTTTGTGAATTCTATAATGGCTGAGAAGCGTGCAGGTTGCACAATGTACAGGTACGAAATTCCCAAAACCCCTTCCGTTAGTAAATATTTTATTATAAATTCGTTGTACTGCGTCGAAGTGTAGTATTATATTTAAATATTTACTATATAGGGTGTTCCACAGAGTTGTGACAAATGATAACAATTGTATTTTTGTTCTGTTCATTATTTTTAATTTTTTTTTTTTTCTTGCAATAGTTACTGCTTACTAAAACCTTGGACAAATGCGTTTCTTATTATGTATTTTTTTTTTTTTTAAATCCTAAAATAAAAATATTCGTACAAAATCCACAATAGCCGTTTTATAAACTAATTTCCAAACAAATGTTACACATGTTTACTAATTGCAGACCGTTTATTTTTGGAAACTTGTCTAAGTTTACGATGACATAAATTATTTCTATTGTCACAACTATAAGTAATATAAATCGATTGACCAATAGTTTTCCCATGAAAATAATTTTTTAAACTATAAAGTGTTATAGAATATTAAAGATTCGCCATTAGTTTTTCCACTAGTCAAAAAATGTGTCACACTAAATATCGTGTTTCAAAATAAATAAACAAAACGGCTACCTTTCTTGGGTTTTGAAAAAAAAAGACGTCGTAGGATAATAGACACGGGTGCAGGCACTTTTATAGGTAATTTAATATATATCCGTAAGCAACGATAAACCATTGCTAAAAAATGATTCTGAGCGCAACTCAGTTGATAGTGATACTTTGTCAACAACATACATGTCGTATTATGGTAAAATTATTAAATAGGCATTATATAGTGTCTTTAGTTAATTTTGTTTAATATTGTTCCGATTTTCCAATGTTTTTTTCCAATTTTTCCCATTTATCGGGACAACTCCTGGAAAAATCGCGAAATTACCTCCCTAAAGATTTTCTTTTAGAAAAAGTGCTATCATTAGTATAATATAATAGTGTTATAGGCATAAATAACCATTATATCACGATTAAAATTATCTTATAAAAAAAAAATACCAACTTAATTTTTTTTTTTATCACAAAGGAAGACTCTTAATGAACCTCTCATTAAATTTTGAAGCATTTCTCTTCAAGTCTGTTAATTTTACCACAGAGTATCTACCGAATAAATATTATTATAAATATTATGTATAAAAGTTTCAAAATTAAAATTTCTGTAAATATCTTAAAAATGCCTTAAATTTTTTTGATTTTACCACGTTTAAAAAGGCAAATATAAGTTTATTGTCTACATTTCAAATTTTTACGAATGTTTTTAACTGAATTACAACAAATAACAAAATTGAAAAATAATAAAAAGCATTATTTTCGTAATTTTTCCGTTTTTCTTACGTTTAAACCTGGTTTTTCTCACATATTATGAAAACCGCTTAGGAAATCAAAAAATGACCTCTCAAAAGTACTATTTGGACAACAATCCATTTTAGAAATAGTGTCGCGCGTATATATCTAAGCAAGATTTATGGTCGAAATATTGTACACAGTATAAAAAAAAAAATAATAATAAACATCCTAGTAAAACCAATACATTCTTCGCTACACTGAGAATCTAAAAATCAAATATAAGAAAACAGACGAAATTTCATTGCATTTGTCAGATCTCCGTGGGACACCCTGTATACGTATCTAGCAATATTATTTCTTCGGGTTCGTTTAACGATGGGAAGACGAAAAGCGAAAATACACATCTATCATGTCCTCGTGGACATGAATATTGTAAATATACCAACTTGCAATATATATTTTATAAGTATATACACTTTCTGTCTGTACCCATTTATTTTGCCGGTCGCCGGGAAATTAGAAAAATTAGCATCGGCGAGAATAGCCTCTTGTGGCAGTCAAGATAAATCGGTTTTCATACCAGAATATACGCAGTGGTATAGCAGCGGTAAATACGCACCGAATGATAGTTTCGGCTATTTTCTTACATAGAGTCTGGGATGAATGAATTTTATGAACTTTTTAGCTTCCAACCGGATTTATTTTAATTTTTAATTATTTTTCCCCTTCTTTCATTATATACCAAGAACATAAAATCAAATCGATTTTAAAGATCCATTTAATATTAATAATAAAATGTGCGTGTAAAATTGTAAATTCAATATTAAATGAACATTTTTGCCGGGCCAAATAAAATTACCGGGATATTGCATTGACATTAGAAAATCCACATTCAATTTCTATACAATCTCATAGTTGAATAATTAACAATTGGATAATCTTATAGCCTTCTTTTAGCCTAATCTTTTTTGTTGCCCAGGGAGGAATCGGTTTTTGTGTTTTTTCCCCCCATTTTTGTGGCGACTCTGTTTCCGACCGCGAAAGAGATGACTTGTAGTAATCGAAAATAACATTATGGCGGGGCTTTCTTGTGGAATTTCGGTTCTAATAAATTGCAGGTGCGTCAAGTAGATCGTTGTTTGAAATTCCTCGTATACCTTTACCCTATATATACGTATATGTACGCACTATATATAAGTATATATATATATATAAAAACGGGAGGAAAAACCGAGAGGAAAAAAAAACCGTTGGAAAACCACGAATATTTATACGCAATACCGCCGCGGGTGTTTTCAAATCGATTTCGCTTTGTGTTATGATTCGATAAAAGAGATAAGCGTAGAGACTCGGCCTCTTTGCTAAGGTTTTATAAACGCGACAGTACGATAATATTATTACCAAAATTCTTTGGCTGTTTTTGAGTTAGTCGTGTATACGAATAAGCTGTTTTAAATCACGAATAATTCTCGATTTATTTCCGCATACCTGTGAATTAATTTGCATCCATATTGTCCATCATTTCCTCGATAACGCGTGTAGATATTTTCGCCGTTTTATTATCAGTAACGGTTGTTGCACTGTCGGTATGGTATAAGGACAGCGATTTAAAAAAAAAAAAAAAAAAAAAATTACAATTATTATTACCGCATTAATTGCCCCGATCGACCACGCTTCTCGGCTAGGTGACTGGGTGTGTGTCCCTCGCGCACCCCTGAAATCTCCTCGGACACGTCTCGCGCCATCTCTCCTCCTCAACGCTGAACTATACGACAACGACAATAATGATAATCATAATAATAGTAATAATAATAATGCATGTCGTATTGTTTCGGTATACTCGCCTATAACTGCGCCCAAAAGGGAATATCGTGTGCGAAAGGTACACGGCGATAATAGTACGCTCGTAAATGCCTATATCCTCCGCGAAACTCGCGCATAATATCTTATGTATTATTATTATTATTCACCCGGAGGCGGTTCAACAAGAATAATTATTATTACCGCCGTTACAACAAGAATATTATAATACGATAATACAATATTATAATACGGGCGACCGATGATAATAATAATAATAATATTATTATTATTATTATCATCGTCGTTGTAACGTGATTATCGGCCCGTCCAATCGAACGCAAGGATTATTACTATTATTATTATTATTATCATACCGATCGTGTCTATAAATATTATGTCGTTGTTCGGATTCGGACAGCGCGAGTCCGAGGCGTGTAAAACCATTAGCCGCGACACTGCGACAAAACCGCTTAAGATGCCCGTCACTGCAGAATTATTTGCCGTCTCCGTCTTTCTAACGGGCGATATAGCGAAACAAATACGTTTGCGTAAAAAAAAAAGGCTATAAAAAAACCTTTATAATCAGTTTTAGAGATGAAACATTTATTATACAATTTGTAGATTACTACATTTTAAAGGCAATACAAAATACAATTACTTTTCACCTTTGAGAATTCGATGAATATTTAAATAATTGTATACAACGGCGATTGTTTTTATACACCTACAATATATTATTGTTATTAACGATTTTTACCGTGGTTTTTTTCCAGTTTCAACTACCAGACGCCGTTAAAACAGTCGGAAAATACAAGAATAGGCACGATCCGGAAAACGGCAGTGGCGGCAGGGTGAGTAAGATCCCTTAGGTTTAGACTGAATATTGACTTATTTATCAAACGAAACGATACAGTTTTACAGTAGCTTATAAAATGTCAGTCTCATAGTATTCTACAAATTTCAATCGCTGCAAGTTTTTAAATGCTCTACTATTATTATTATTATTAACCACTGAGCGTATAAATTATACGAATCAATATTAGTATTAACTTTACTTTATTTGTTATTCGTGTATAGACTTCCGAAAAATCGCAGCATTATAATGCAACCTCGAAAAAGAAAAATATTTGAAAACATACCGAATAACCTTATACATGTTTCCTTCTCCTCTTAAAACGGCTTCAGAACTACTATTGTAAATATTTGTAACGATATTTTATAAACAGAGTACATTTCGGTATTATTTAAAATTGTTCGATACACGGTTGGTAAATGATATTATAATTCATTGTAACATTAATAATATGATAAACAATGTAAATGTGTAATAAACGAATACGATTACGTGTTTACAGGAAACTCCGGCGGACATGTGTAGAGTGATCGGAACGTAGGAAAAAATTAACGTCTGTCCCCGCTGCCTATTAAAACGTCCCGGAGATAGTTTTCGGTAAGTTTTTTAATCGTTTATATTTTATCATTTTATTTCTTTCGTGTAGACAATCAATAGGAATACATTTTATATTACACGCATAACACTTAACACACTTAACACACTTCTCCACTTATTGGCAGTCTAGCCAATTCACAGTAAGAGAGATATGGCCAAAACAATATTTATTTTTTTTCTGTCTCACTCTATATAATTTCCATTGTGGGACTCAGTAGTGTACTCAGAGATGGGAATGTAGGGAGTTACACCCTAACCCCTCAATGTCTTAAAATGAATACTTTTCAGTAATTTACTATAAAAACATATACGGAATGATCAATATTCGGTAACACATTCGTTTTATCTCTAAAAATATAAAAAATTTTTAAAATATTTTATGAAACAAATAGTTCTAAAATGTTATATAAATACCATAAATATAATATGTAGTTTTAGTTGAAATTAATTTTGGTGTTGACGGTTTTAATTTCCGTCTTATCTGTTGACGAGATATTGCACTTTTAAGTTTTGAATAAGCAGATAGTAGTGTATCATAATTTGTGTAATGCAGCACGTGGCGTTTGAGTAGTGCTCCATTATTCTCTCTCTCTCTCTGTCTCTACCCACGAAAACAGGTTGACGGAAATTAAAATGTCCAATATCAAAATGTATTTAAACTTAGTCTGTTTAAGAATTTTCAATATCGGTTGTTCTTCGAAAATCAAAAGTAGATAGTAGACTGCAATAGTTCCGCCATAAACAAATACAGGTGAAAAAATAAAACCTTGATGTAACATTTTCTTGCTGCTTGTTTATTAAATATATTATAAAAAAAAACCAAATTCCAACAAATTTTGATAATTCCGGGGATAATAGGAGTGTCTTGTCGAGAATCGATCGCCCTGTAAATTTCAGTTATGTTACAAGGAAAAGCTTGACTTATTAAACGAAAATTTGCTTTTTTGGCAACGATTTTTTTAATTCTCACTTTGAAGTTAGTGTACGCCGTATAGAAGTTTCTACGAATTTATTCACCATTATCATCTACTACATATTTTCGTCCGTTGGAAATTCCTAAGCATGCCGCTGAGTGCTTGGTCTAACGGGGTAATCGGTCTGTGGTCCAAACGTTATTTTCCCTCTCACTCAATATCGCCTCGTGATGACACTGTCTTGGCGCCGCCCATCAGTCAATTTAGTCTGTGATATAATATGATTGGCTACCGACTGTACGTCTCTTATTTGATGCTATCGTGTATAGTCGGTCATTAAGTCGTTTAATATAATATCTACGGTACGCACTTCATATGTATCGATGAATTTTGTTTCGCTACTGAAAATTCAATTCAACAAATATATTATACATAGTTATTTGATTACGGGTCTTCGATATATTTCTGTGACCGGTCAGGTACCGGACGAGTTAATTATTCGCAAATAATGCAAATACTCAACTCGATCCGCTGCATAGGTGATTTTTTTTTTTTTTATAAATACGATAATAACTCGCATAGTGTAATAATATTGATTCGACTATAGTTATTATCGTAAAAAAAAAAAATAAGTTACTCTTAGTATTATTATTATTATTATTATTTTTTTTTTTAATTTGACATATTATGTCAATTATTATTGTTATTATTATTGAACGAATTACGGTGGTTGTCCCGCCACTGACTACTGCACATAATATATAGCTCATACCGTTTGAGAGAAAAGGCTATAAACGTATTTATTTATTTTATTTTTTTTCTTTTCCGAGAGAGACAAATTGCAATAATCAGTCAATAGATATATATTAAAGACATTATTATTATTATTATTATTATTATTATATTCTTTTTTTGAAAACAGTCATTTGGATGACGTCATTTCGCGTTGTATATTATTATTATTGTAACTGCGAGTTGTGACATTAGTGTCAAATATTTTTCGCTTTGCGCTGCGCGTGTATACCAATTTGCTTAATACTATGCTCGTGACAATGATATATTTATTCTACAGATGAAAAACAGTACGTTCCAGTCCTAAACGGAACAACACACGAGCCTTGTACATATATATTTTATATTTATTAAATATACAGAAGCCCATCTCCCGTGGATGCAGATGAAAAAACACTTTCAACTCTCGAAACTCCGGGATTTCGTTTTTCGATGAATTGAAATTGTTTCCACTCTTTCTCATCGTGCTCTATATTTCTCTTTCTTTTTCTCTCTGTCTCTCTCTCTCTCTCTATCTATCTATCTATTTCTATATATCTCTATCTCTCTATTTATCTCATGTTTTACCTATATAATATAATATATATATATATATATATAATGTATAATGCATATTATGTATGTTGTATTTTGTAATCTAAACTTAATATTATTAATGTACAGTCACGAAAATAAAAAAAAAAAAAAAATAAAAATTCCCTGTAGTAAAATATATTATAATATTATATAGTTATTATGTAATATTTCCATGTTTAAAAAAATAATCTGAAAAATATAAAATATCGTACGGTTTTTTTCTCTCGTTATTATTATTATTATTATTATTTTTGATTTGTATACATATACCGTATTATCATCGTCTATATTGTTTTTTTTAATCTTTTCAACGGTTTTGTTTACTATTTTTTGTTTATTATTCAATTTTGCTCTATATGAATCAAACAAGAATATTATATTAAATGTAAATAATATTATCATTATGACTTATTATTTTTATTTCATTGATATTATTTAGTAGGTAAACTGTTTATAATGGCATCGGTTCTAGTGACAAACCGGGTATAATGACCCAAAATTGAAGGTTATTCTTGGTCGTCTTAGAAAAATGTGCTATTTATAATGACTGTATTCCTTTTTTTTTTTTAAAGATTTTATGAAAAAAAAGGTGTAACAAACTAAAATAACAGATTTTTTTTATTACTTACACGTATTTTATTTTACTTTTTTCCGTATTAAAGATAAAATTTAGTGAAAAAAAAAAAAAACAACACACCATATGTATTATAATCATACTATATATTATCGAGTTTTTAAGTTTGTTTTAATATTTTGGTTATAATAGCTATATGTTATTATAACCAATTTGTACTGATCCCTTGAGTGTCATCATAAACAGTTTCCGCTGTATTTAACATTTAATACGATCGATTTGTTTTTACTGTACATTATTGAGTTATTATATTATATAATATTTAATATTAAGTTTAAATGTATTAATATTATATTAATAAAATAAATTCATATTATTTATTATAAACAAAAATTGAATGTTGATGTTGAATGTTTTACACGTTTATTTTATACAAATTAAGTATGAGTTTTTAATTGTTTGTTTGTTTTTTTTTTTTTGTGAGTATCAACAATTATTTATAAAATAAACCTTATAAAACTTGTATTACCACTAGCCACTAAGGATATGTAAATATAATATTAAATGTGCCATATTTGTTTTTAAAAATTGCTGTTTTATTTATTTTATAATATTATATCATGTGCGTGAACAGAAATATTCCCATCACATCATTTTATAGTAAACAATAATAGCTGCAATGTAAAATTCGAAATTAAAGCAATCCACTTCGTTGTTCAGTTATTGTTTATTATAATATATAGATATTACACTTTCCACCAATTGCTGATGTACTACGAATTCAGAACTCATGTGTCACGAAATATATAGGTACCTAAATAATTTTTTAATTAGACAATTTATTGGTGTTTCATATAAGGCACCTGGTTGTGAAATTGCACAAAGTTGATTGAAAACACACAAAGTTATTATAGACCTAGCTGCTATAGATGAACGGACGGACGAGACGACATTTTTATAGAAAAGCCCCTACAACCCTGAATTCGGCCCTTCAAGACTGATTGCAACACATACTGTCAAGCCTAGATAAGTATAGTACATTGATTACAACAGCTAGGTAAATTAGTTTTAACACACAAAGACGACAAACACTCATTTTATGTTTTCACTCATTTCCATAATTTGTTAAGTAGGTCCATAGTCCGAGGCGTCTGTTACAAAATTAAGCTAAGAGCAGTATTTGAAAAGAAAAAGTTCCAAATGAAAGAGGAAATATACATAGAACGAATTCCTTTTTACAATAAGGAAGCAAGGAATAAGACGAACTATTTTTATGCAGTAAAAAATATAGTTTTATCTTTGAGTCGTTCCTTGTACGCCAAAACATAGAGAATTATAATTAAAAAGACGGACATACTTCGCACGATAGGTGAGCAACCATTGTAGATGAGAAGTCGGGAAGAAAGGATATAGAGGGGATTTGATATTCAAATTCTTATACAAAAAAATAAAACATTAAACTTAACTTTTTCATTTTGGCCATTAAGTACATCAAATAAAAAAACAACTGTTAAATTTTAAGCATTTCTGTTTGGTCTAACAATTTTATCCTCTGAGTATACCTACCAAATAAAAATACGTAAAATATTCGCAAAATTTAAATGTCTATAAGTAGCTGAAAAAATACTAACGGTTTGAAATTTTTTACAACGTCTAGAAAAAACAAATATAAGTTTTCTTTCTTTAATTTCAAGTCTTACCAATATTTCAAAATAAATCACAACAAAAAACAAAATTTAAAACAATAAAATTCGTGTAAACTTTCCGATTTTTCCTACATTTTCCTAGTTTTTTTATGAATTTCACTTGAAAAATCACCCTTTAAAGTACCACCCGGATAAAATAACTACACTTCGAAATCGAAGCAAGAATTCTGGTATAAAAATTAAACATTATTGTAATACCGATACATTTCTCGTTTAGAATCTAAAAAAATCGAAAATGTCAAATAACCGAAGAGCTCGAAAATGTTTTGAAAATCATACCAAGTCTTGAAAAGGCTAATAATGTAAGTACTATGTATTTATATAAGGAAAAAATTTAAAGTAAAAACATAAAAAAAAGAAGAGGGCCTATGAATATTTTAATAACGATGAATTCTTGGTGAGACAATAATTCTTTTCCGAATATAAAAATCAATTCAATCAATAAGATATAAAAATAAGTCGTCACTCTAGCTGGAACGGACGGCTTAACACCGTTATATTTTGGTAACAAATTAATGTTGAAAAACCTAGGACTAATTACTGTCATATATCTTAATTGATTGGTGAATCAGCTCTCATTATTAATTAATTAATTTTGATTAATTTTTTTATCTTATAGGGTAAATAACTATAATATCCAGTCTTGATTTGTAAATAAAAAAACTTATGTTAATAATTTATAAAAAGAACGGTGATCTAATCTTTTATTTTGGTGATGGTGTTAAATGGACTACGGAGCGATATGATCGTATATGCGATATGTGTATACTGACATATAGGTTAATATATTTTAGTTTTTGATGACAAACTGATAGCAGTAGAAGTTTGTGTTTTATTTTCGGAAGAAACGGCCGAATTCTATTTTTTCTCGAAAGTTTCCTGTGTCTAAGGACAAACGACATAGTAACTCTAACAAGTCCGTTGGACAGACAGTAGAGAAAGATTTTGAGTGTTTACTGAGTATCCACTAGAAAAGTAAAATGGTAAATGATTGAATTAGTAAATTTTAAGAGAAAATATTTACATTCTGTTTAGAAATTAATACTCCCACTGATGGGAGAAGAGTGCTGTGAAAAATTTAAAAGTTAAAGGGATGGTGTGATTTATTCGCCTCTAGGGATTTTTTAAGTGAGGGTGAATGTTTGTTCATTAAAAAATGTCATGATTTTTAAAATAATTTTTGAAAAGACTAATGAGTACGAACAATTCAATAGCCGAATCGTTTAAATTATCTTGGTAATTAAAATTTATACGCATACACATACGTTTTGAAACGGAATGATGTATAACATAGGTATTACTGTGACGTCCATTGTTGATTAAAACGATAAATTGGATTTTTATATTATATTGTTACGGACGAGCTTTTGATGTTATCAAACAAAACGAATGCTACATATAGTGGGTACGTACAATGCATAAAAGGTAATACTTACCGATAATTCCACCGCAATGGCACTGTGGACATTATGTCTGTCTGCAAATAGTATCCTTGAATGAATTGTTTTAAATTATTTATTTATTGAATTTGATTTTAAACATTTCTATAAACACGTAACGTTACATTTTTACTATTCAATAACATCTAGCGCTATAATTTAACAGTAATCATTTCTATAGATCAATGCAATATCTGTGTATCCACGATATTATATGACGAAAAAAGCATCATCATAAATAAAAATACGTCGTAGGATAATGGGAACGGGTGCAGACATGGTTAGAAGTGATTTAATGTATAGCTGTAAGTGCCTTCCCAGGCAAATTTCTTTATAGAAACATTAATATCATTATGAACTGTAACGAAATCGCTGGTAGAAAAGTTGTCCACAGAAAAGAAAAATAGTAATATATTTTAAATAATAGCTCCATTTCTGATATTTTCCCGTTTTTCAACTGAAACTTTTCGGTTTTTCAAATTTTATGAGAAAACTCCTGAGAAAATCGAAAAATGATCTTCTTTCGGCGATTTCCTTTCATAAAAGACGCTACACTTAAAAATCTGAGCATGTTTTCTCGTTAAAAAAACCATAAGCTTAGATTCAGAAATTCAAAATCTAAAATTATAAATTAAATAACATATGTGTTCATTTGTAATTAAAAAATAAATTATAAATTTATAATCAAATAATTAATAATTTTTACGATAAAACCAAATTATAAAAATAATCGAAACCCCCATGGCGTAAATATTTTGTGATCTAAAACCACGAACAATTTTTCTACCAGAAGTTTTGATCCGACTTTCAAATATAGCACTTTCTCTGAAATGAAATTGAACCGGGGTTGTAGGTCATTTTTTGATTTTCCCAGGGGTTTTCATAATAAACGAGCAAAACCTGGACAATTTACGAAATTTACTTTTTCAAATTGTAAATCGAATATTTAATATTGCGGCCTTTCAATTTATGTAACACTGAACTCCGCTCAGAATCGTTTTTCGCTACCAATGGTTAATCGTTGCGTACAGATATACGTTGAATTTCCCCTCTAACTCCCCAACTTCTCGCCCAGAACAGCGGCCCTCACCCATTGTGCGAAGTATGTCGATTTGTTTTTTTTATTATAATGCCGATACGTATTATAGTCGATAAATTATTATTGAATAGCAACACAGACGGGAAACTCTGCGCTCAAACGAACCGACTGTAATTAAAATAATACTATTTTGTATAGGCACTTACACTACACACAACGAGAAAATATAAACGTGCAGTAGTAAAACTGTGATAATCAACAAACGATATTATCATTATTATTACCGTCTCTGTGCAGTGGGATTTTAATTTTTTTTAGATTTGTTTCGTCATTTCAAAACAGCAATGCACTTCAATTATTATTGATAATGGGATTAAATAAATAATAATAATGAAAAAAAAAAAATTTACACCACAACGGATAGTATACCTGCGTAATTTCCGATATCAATTCCACGGGTTTTTTTTTTTTTTTTATTCATCTCGCTTTCAATTATTATATGCGATATATATCAATGAGGAATTTTATTTTTCTTGTCCCGCGAATAATTATTATTTTATTCGGACATATCAAAAGCATAGGAAAACGTAATTACAGCTTTTTTTTATTATTATTGTATTTTACCGGTATATTTTTAAATTAGTACCTACTTAATTAATATTTTCTAAAAAAAAATAAAAAACAATCTTCGTGGATATTAATTACTATTTTTAAAGTTTTACTATTGCGCATATTTTATTATTATTATTAATATTAATGAAAAAGACATTTCATAATGATTGTATATTATGTTATAAAATATTTGTAAAACTTGTTTTATGTCATTTTTTTTTTTTTTTTTTAATGTTTTATATTAACTTTTAGTAGCATTTTAACGACATTTAACTTAACAATATACCATAAAAAAAAAACAAACATCCAAAGATAAAAAAAATGGAACGTAAAAACAATTAAAATAAAAATGAGACCAGACATCGTCGCTGTGAGATTCGAACAACTATATTTACACTTAGCCAGTGTTTTTCTAGTTCCTTCAAAAAAGAAATTCTTTCCGTTCTTGCCTTTCTTATTCCAAATTAAAAAAATTACCGAAGAACATTTAGAGAATAATATTCAAGAATAATATTTTTTTTTAAAAACGCACTGTTGTAGGTGGAATGTATGGAAGGTATAAGGTGCAAGATATTTAAATTTTAGTTGATAAACTAAAAGCAACAATTAAACATTAAAC